CTGGTAAGAAAATAGAAGAAGGTCCTAAATTCGTTAAATCTGGTGATGCTGCTATCGTCAAGATGGTCCCAACCAAGCCAATGTGTGTTGAAGCTTTCACTGACTACCCACCATTAGGTAGATTCGCTGTCAGAGATATGAGACAAACTGTCGCTGTCGGTGTTATCAAGTCTGTTGAAAAGTCTGACAAGGCCGGTAAGGTTACCAAGGCTGCTCAAAAGGCTGCTAAGAAATAAGCGGATTGAATATTTGAAAATTCTATATATTAGATTCTTTTTTTGATTATTTGTGTATTCTCTTTTGTCTTCTTGGCATATATTTTGTATTTGAAATATAATATATATCTTTTATAAAATTTATTAATTAACTTGTAGATTGATATATTCTTGTCTCTTGCACATGAGTGTTTGTGACTAGTTTTGTACCTTACTCGAATACAATTTTCCTCATATGGTACCCATCTACATCTACAAACCAATGATCCATCTCGAATAGAATAGAGAAACGGAGATTTAGATAAGCCTCAAGGGATTCCGAGCATTCCTCTCGTGCAAGCTGCAAACTGTCTGTATGTATGGAAAGTGGGTACCTTGGCTGATTAGAATTTATGGCAAAATTGGAAGCTTTTTCTCCCAATTGAACTACTTCTTCTTGGTACTATACATTTTCGTGATAGAAGTAGCACAAAATACAAATATCAATTTTATAGTCTTAGATCACCCGTAGCCCTAAAACTGAATAGCTATATCTCATACAGAGTCAGAGTAATATGTAGGATGGTAATTTGATGATTATTTTTGATATGATGATATATCGTCAACTATATACAGGAACAATTGATTTATCCCAATCGTTCCATTTCACTAAAAAAAAAAAAGAAACCTCACAAAACTAACTTGAACTTCTACCTTTCTTGTTAACAACTTGTGAATATTCTTTAACAAGAAGATCATTAGAATTTGTTTTATATTGTATTGCAGAAATATTGATATGGCAACCTATTTATCACAATTGAAAGTCTCAGCAAGATTATTTAATCTACAGCCGGTGCTTTTACGGGGAGAAGCCGAAGCGTTGTTTAGTCGTCGTTTTGAACTAAAAAAGCAAGCTAAGGAAGCTCGTCATCGAGGAGATCGTGAGCTCGCATTCCAACTAAAAAGAGAAGCATCTGAATGTCATGCGAAGGCAGAGAGTCTAAGACGAAGAGCTGCGGTGCTATCGTTTATACACAATAATAAAAACAATCCAGAGGGGATACTTGATTTACATCATTTGTCAATTCAAGAATCAGAAACGGTTCTAATAGATATGCTTCAATATGGAATCTATAATAGAAAACCTCTTTGGAAGATTGTTTGTGGAAGAGGGAAATCGAGAAGTCATGTGCCACCGAGACTTAGACCGACTATTGAGACGTTTTGTGAACGTCATGGATTGAATTTGATTAAACACCCTTGGAATCCTGGTTGTTTAACAGTAGATGTAAGTACTCATAGAGCGTATTAGGAAATGGGCGGTTTGTTTTTTAGGTTGGGATCACACTTGTATTTAGTTTTTAGAACCATATCACCAATGTTTTTGCGATTATATAGTTATCTTTGTTTTATATGTGAACAAATTCAATACACTATTATCGAATAAATAATCAAACGTAAGTAATAGTTGCGTGTAGCACTTGGTAGTAAAATGATTAGACCCATTTTCCAAGCTTTTGACTTCTTCGAGGGCTTAACATAAAATTTTGTACCTGCATAGAGTGAACCCTAGCCTCCATTTCGCATCCACTTCCCTCAAAACTGTCAACAAATCGAGATTTCATCTTCTTCTTCACTCTGAATACAATCTACAAGTAGGGTTAATGGCGACTTATATCGATCGAGGAGTCAAGCTTATTGACGACGAAACCACAGAGCGTGATTACAACCACGCAACTGATTCCGAATACAAAAGATTACGCTCTGAAGCTGATCGATTATTTCAACGTCGTAATCAACTTAGTCAACAATCACAAGCTGCCTATAAACAAGGAGACGGGAAAAGAGCCCATGAATTAAGTGAAGAAGCTAAGAAAGTTGTTGCTCAGGCTGATGATTATAATCGTAAAGCTGCTGAATTTGTCTTTAGAGAGAATAATGAAGATAGTAAACCTGATGAAATTGATTTACATGGATTATATGTCAAAGAAGCAGAATGGATTTTACAAAGAAGAATAGCTCATGATATACAGACTAACCAAAGCCATATAAGAGTTATTGTTGGGAAGGGGTTACATTCAGCTAATGGGGTTGCCAAGATTAGACCAGCAGTTGAGAAATTATGTGATGAGAGTAATTTGAAAGTACATGTTGATCCAAAGAATTCTGGGGTTTTAATTATTGATTTGAAAGGTAGTGATAGTTCACAAGTGCCAAGTCATTGGACACCAATCTCTCAACCTCAACAAGCTTATCACGGAGCTGGACAACCACAATATCAACCTCAACAACATTATAATGCACCACAATATCAACAACAACAACAACAACAGCAACAAGGGGGTAACGACTCGCTTATTGAAATGGTCATTAAAGCATTTTGTGCGTGTCTTAATAGCAAATAATTAGATATAGAATTACATACTCTAGAACTCTCTTATATTATTATTAAAAGTATAAATAAACAACTTAGAACTTAAAAACTAGAAAAACATTTTCATGACATCTTCAAAAAACATTAAAAAGAAAAACACATTGACTAAACTCTATGTATGAATGGGGAGGGTATAATATTGTTTCTTTAATCCTATATGAAAACTTAATTTAACATGCACAACCACCTGCATCTCCATCCAAATGTATATTTATTGCGTCATTATAATCATCATTAGCATCATTTCCACTGGCAGCGTTTAATTCATCTTGTTGTAAAGCCATCTTAGCAATGACTTCAAATGCAGCATCAACATTAATAGAATCTTTTGCTGATGTTTCAAATACAGGATAATTTAACCCACCTAATTGATTATGAGTTATATTATGTAATTTCTTTTGTAATGAAGGAATCTTTTTAGAATCATCAACATCAATCTTATTTCCTATTATAACGAATGGGAAATCTTGAGGATTTGATACATTTGATTGAACTAAGAATTCATCTTTCCAACTAGTTAAATTATTTAATGATTTTTCATTGGTAACGTCATAACATAATACACAACAATCAGCCCCACGATAAAAGGCAACACCTAAACTTTGAAATCTTTCTTGACCAGCAGTATCCCAGATTTGTAATGTGACATGTTTATTATTATCAATTGTAATCTCTTTGGTTAGGAAATCTGCTCCAATGGTTGCTTTATATTGATGGGAGAATTTGTTGTTGACAAATTGTTGCATTAAAGAAGTTTTTCCAACTCCTGAATCCCCCAATATGATGACCTTTAACAATGTCTTCTTTCTATTTGACATTTTTTAGTTTCCTGATTTATTGTTAACTCAGTCTTGTGAAAGAGTGTCTTAAATTGATATTTCCTTTTCGTCAGTTGTAAATGTCAAGAGATTTTAATAAAAGTCAAAACAAAAGAAAATTGATGATAGATTTCTGATTGATTAGAGTTATTTATATACAGGAAATTATTTGACTCATCAATCTACAACCACGGTTTCAGTCAAACGATAACAAATTATAAATAATCAACATCTTCTCTACCTCTTCAAGATGATCAGTTAAGCAATTGATGAAATTGCGGAATAAGATTATTTAATATAACTGAAGAAATCGAACAATCTAGAACAGAAGAGTCAACTTGATAAGGAAATGGTGGCGTTTTGTCTATTTAATTACACCATCAACAATAAGCAAGTAACCATCCAGTATTCCCGAACACTGTGGATTACAATTATTTTTTTGTTTGTATGAAAAAAAAGTAGCTATTACAAATCAAACAAGGAAAGAAGGAGGGGGCAGTTATCAGCATAATGGGGATAAGATGGAGTGGCAAAAAACAAGCACAAGGGGAGCAATATAAATAGGCTTCAAATTCCCCTGAAAATTGAAATCTCCGAACTTATCAATGACATCGTCGATTCATAAAATGACTAAACTTACTACTAAATTTGCATTATCAAAGCAATCTACTTATACCTTAAACAATGGGTTAAAGATCCCAATTGCTGGTTATGGGGTTTATTTAATTCCTAAAGAGAAAACAAAAGACTTGGTTTATCAAGCATTGGTTGCAGGATATAGACATGTTGATAGTGCAATTGCTTATCATAATCAAAAACAAGCTGCTGAAGGTATTGCTAAATTCTTACAAGATTTCCCTGATAAGGCTAAACGTGAAGATATATTCTTCACAACCAAAATCAATGAAAATGCTCAAGGATATCAAGGCACTAAAAAGGCAATTGAAGATATTGCCAAAGATGTCAAAAGTTCAATTGGTTATGTCGATTTGGTTTTAATTCATTGGCCATTCTCCACTAAAGAAACCAGATTGGGAACATATAAGGCTTTACAAGAATTTGTCTTAAACCCAGAAAACCCAACTCTTGAAATCAAATCTATTGGAGTCTCAAACTATGGTGTCAAACATTTGGAAGAATTATTCAATTGGGAAGAATATAAAGTAAAGCCAGTAGTGGATCAGGTTGAATTACACCCCTGGTTACCTCGAGTTGATTTACGAGAATATTTATCCAAACATAATATTCTTTTGGAAGCTTATTCTCCATTAACAAGAGGTGAAAAATTCAATGATCCAGAATTAGTTAGTTTATCAAAGAAATATAATATCAGCCCGGGGCAAATATTATTAAAATGGGGATATCTTCAAGGATTTATTGTTTTAGCCAAAACAGCAACTCCATCGAGAATTAAAGAAAATTTGGATGCTTTGCCAGATGCTGGTACTGAAGATCTTGAATTGAATGAAGAAATAGTCAAGACATTACATAAACCAGATTCTAAAGGAGTACATACTTGGGGTGGTAGGGACCCAACATTATGGGACAGAAATGACAGTTCAAAAGCATGGAATGAATAGTTATGTAGGTTTCACATAGGTAGCGTCTCAATGTACCAATATTTTTAAAATACCAAAGCGCATTTTGAAGCGTAGATATACCAAATCTAAACCCGAAACAAAATTTGGGAAGGCTCTTGCAAATTTGGAAAGAATAAACCAAAGAAGTTTCAAGTCCAAATCCACAAATGTTAATAGTTTCCCAATTCATGTAAAGAATACGCAAATAGTTCTATGTACGAATGTGTAGATTCCCGAAATCTGGAAACTAATCACTCTAAGATATCAAATCTTGTATCCAGTAAGGAAGGATCCTATTTTGAGATTATAGAACAAAATGAAAACCATACTGAATCTTTAGCCTTTTCTTGTTCTTTTCTTTATAGACCATTGAACCTACCATGTTGAGCCTAGCAATCATCTCGCTATTGACAGTTTATCTGGCGGTTTCCAAAGCATTAATCTTGCCAGATATTTACTCGCTACCAAGTACGAGTTCGGAATTACTGTCTGGTATCAACAATATTGAAGATAGAAGCCCTTCTAACGAAAACAAAGCTTCTCTCTTGGAAACCAATACCTTGGACAATATCCTTCCATTCCATTATATCGTAGTCTACAAGCAGTCCACATCAAAGTCGAAACGTGAAGAACATGAATACTGGATCACCAGAGAACACCAAGAAATGATGTCCAACTACATCCGCAGGGATGAAAACGAAATCGCTCCTAAACCATTAGACTTCTTCGGGATTGGTGACACCGTCAGAGGATATTCCGGATATTTCTCCAACTCGCTCCTTCAAGAAATCCTCAAAAATCCAGAAATCGATTTCGTCGAACATGATGCAAAAATAAACATCCAAAAATTTCAAATCCAAAATAATGCAACTTGGGGTCTCGCCCGGATCTCACAACGACTTAATTTCAATAATGGATATTTCTTATATGACGACCAAGGAGGGAAAGGAGTGACTGCATACGTAGTCGACACAGGTATAGCCACCACCCTTGCGGAATTTGAAGGCAGAGCAAGCTGGGGTAAATCAATTGCTAATCCCGAATTGACCACTGATGTACATGGTCATGGAACCCATGTTGCCGGCATACTCGGATCAAAAACATATGGAGTTGCAAAGCAAGTCAAACTCGTTGCAGTTGGGGTGATGAATTCACACGGTGGGGAATATAATTCAGATATAATCAAAGGAATCGAATATGCCGCAATTCAACATAAGAAAGATATCCAATCTAAGAAAAAAGGATTCAGGGGGTCGGTGGTTAATATATCCATTGGAGAAGTACTTTCGAACGCATTAGATATGGCGGTGAATGAAGCCACGGCGGAGGGATTACATGTTGCGGTTGCGGCTGGGAATGCGGGTGATGATGCGCGTAAACATTCACCAGCCAGGGCTAGTTGACCCATTACTGTTGGTGCAAATACCAGAAACGATATAGTTACATCATACTCAAATTGGGGAGCTTGTGTAGATATATATGCTCCTGGAGATGAGATTGCTTCTAGTTCAATTAGTTCAAGATCTGTTATTAAATCAGGTACGTCGATGGCAACGCCATTTGTTTCCGGGTTGTTGGCATATTTCTTGTCATTGCAACCGGAAGGTCGTTCTGGCGTTTTGGTATGTTCAATTCCTACCATCCGCAATAGATAATAACCATCAAGTACTCCAGAAAACTGAGGATGCAATTATTTTTTTGTTTGTATGGAAAAAAGTAGCTTACAAATCAAGGAGGGGTCAAATATCTGTATAATGAGGGATAGACGGTATGCCGAAAAACAAGCACAAGGGGAGTCATATAAATAGACTGCAACTTCTCCCCTCAAAATTGAATCTGAACTTATCAATGACATTATCGATACCTAAATGAGTAAACTTATTACTAAACTTACTACTAAACTTGCATTATCTAAACAATCTTGCTATACATTAAACAATGGGTTAAAAATCCCAATTGCTGGTTATGGGGTTTATTTAATCCCGAAAGAGAAAACAAAAGACATGGTTTATCAAGCATTGGTTACCGGATATAGACATATTGATAGCGCAATTATTTATCATAATCAGAAACAAGCTGCTGAAGGTATTGCTAAATTCTTGCAAGATTTCCCTGACAAAGCTAAACGGGAAGATATATTTTTCACAACCAAAATTAATGAAAATGCTCAAGGATATCAAGGAACCAAGAAAGCAGTTGAAGATATTGCCAAAGATATCAAAAGCTCAATTGATTACGTTGATTTAGTTTTAGTTCATTGGCCATTCTCCACTAAAGAAACCAGATTAGGAACATATAAGGCTTTGCAAGAATATGTCTTAAACCCACAAAACCCAACTCTTGAAATCAAATCTATCGGGGTTTCAAATTATGGTGTCAAACATTTGGAAGAATTATTCAATTGGGAAGAATATAAAGTAAAACCAGTAGTGGATCAACTTGAATTACATCCTTGGCTACCCCGAGTAGATTTACAAGAATATTTATCGAAACATAATATTCTCTTGGAAGCTCATACTCCATTAGCAAGAGGTAAAAAATTCGTTGATCCAGAATTGGTTGCATTGTCAAAGAAATATAATATCAGCCCGGGACAGATATTATTAAAATGGGGATATCTTCAAGGATTTATCGTTTTAGCGAAAACAGGAACTCCAACGAGAATTAAAGAAAATTTGGATGCTTTGCCAGATGCTGGAACCGAAGATCTTGAATTGAATGAAGAAATTGTCAAGACATTACATAAACCAGATTCTAAAGAGGTTCTTTCTTGGGGTGGAAATGATCCAACATTGAAAGGATAATTCAAATACGTGGGATGAGTAGTTATGTATGTTTCATATAGGGAGGGGCAAAATGTACCATTATTACAATGCATAAAACTACCTTATACATTGTTTGGAAGAGTAGAAATACCTGATCTAAAATCGAAACAAAATTTGGCAAGACTCTTGAAAATTAGGAAAGAATAAACCAAAGAAGTTTCAAGTCCAAATTCTCGAATGTTAATAGTTTCCCAATTCATGTAAAGAATACGCAAATAGTTCTATATACGAATGTAGATTCCCGAAATCTGGAAACTAATCACTCTAAGATATCAAATATGGTATCCAGTAAGGAAGGTGAATGACGATTCTATTTTGGGATTATAGAACAAACCGAAAACCATATTGCACCTTTAGTCCTTTTTTCTTCTTTTCTTTATAGATCATTGAGATACCATGTGGATAATAGCTATCGTCTCGTTAATGACAGTCACCAATGCATTGATCCTTCCAGATATTTACGCCCTGCCAATCACCATTTCAGATTTACTGTCTGGAATCAACAATGTTGAAGACATAAGCCCTTCTAACGAAAACAAAGCTTCCCTCTTGGAAACCAATATATTGGACGATACCCTTCCATTCCATTATATCGTAGTCTACAAGCTGTCTTTAGCCAAATCGAAACGTGAAGAACATAAAGACTGGATCACCAGAAGACACCGAGAATTGATGTCCAACTATATCCGCAGGGACGACAACGAACCCACTCCCAAAGCATTAAATTTCTTCGGGATTGGTGACACCGTCAGAGGATATTCCGGATATTTCTCCAACTCGCTCCTTCAAGAAATCCTCAAAAATCCAGAAATCGATTTCGTCGAACATGATGCAAAAATAAACATCCAAAAATTTCAAATCCAAAATAATGCAACTTGGGGTCTCGCCCGGATCTCACAACGACTTAATTTCAATAATGGATATTTCTTATATGACGACCAAGGAGGGAAAGGAGTGACTGCATACATAGTCGACACAGGTATAGCTACCACCCTTGCGGAATTTGAAGGCCGAGCTAGCTGGGGTAAATCAATCGCTAATCCCGAATTGACCACTGATGTACATGGTCATGGAACCCATGTTGCAGGTATACTAGGATCAAAAACATATGGAGTTGCAAAGCAAGTCAAACTCGTTGCAGTTGGGGTGATGAATTCACACGGTGGGGGTTATAATTCAGATATAATCAAAGGAGTCGAATATGCCGTAATTCAGCACAAGAAAGATATCCAATCTAAGAAAAAAGGGTTCAAGGGATCGGTGGTTAATATCTCTATAGGAGGAGTACTTTCGAACGCATTAGATATGGCGATAAATGCGGCCACGGCGGAGGGATTACATGTTGCGGTTGCGGCAGGGAATGAGGGTGATGATGCGTGTAAACATTCACCAGCCAGGGCTAGTGGTTCTATTACTGTTGGTGCAATTATCAAAAACGATATAGTTGCATCATATTCAAATTGGGGGGTTTGTGTTGATATCTATGCTCCTGGAGGTGAGATCGCATCTACTTCAATTAGTTCAAGGTCTCAAATTGAATCAGGTACGTCAATGGCAACGCCATTTGTTTCGGGATTGTTGGCATATTTCTTGTCGTTACATCCAGAAGGTAGTTCTGAGTATGCTCAAAAAGTTGATCCTATTGTTTTGAAGAAGCGAATAATTGCATATGGTACGAAAGGAAAATTGACTGGATTGCATGGTGAATCACCTAATATTTTGGCGTTTAATGGTGCTGGTAGTGGGTTTGATTATTTCTGGAATAAACTTCAAATCTGATACCAAGCCTTTTACTTATAATGTCTTATATACCTTATTAAATCTTTTATAATTCTTTTATAATGAAATAAATCATTTGTAGCGTCTTTACGTTTTATAGTATTTCAAACAATTTATTGGATTTCGCAGCCATTTGTAATTTTTTGTAGTGCAACGAATTATTTTGAACATCTTTACACGACCAAATGATTCTGTTGTAAAAATTCCATCAAAAACTTTATAACTTGAAAAATATCAAAGTCTGTCAAGGTAGCAAGAAACATCCATTAAGTACACATCCCCAAATCAATCATGTCACAAAAGCCACAGAAACCAATAAGGCAAGACTATATCGCCAAAGTGCGTTATACCAACAATCTTCCACCACCTCCATTAAACCCCAAATTCATCGAATATAACACCACTGAACAAACCTCATCCAAAATTGAAGCTGAACAATTATTAGCTTCATTATTTAGAAAAGAAAACTTCCAAGGACTCATGGAAAGGATAGATGATGAATTGGGATTGAATTTGAATTTGATTAATAATAATGGATTTTTAGATCAAGGAAATGATTCTGTGATTTGTAATTTACAAAAAGATAAAGATAGACCAATTACATTACATCCTAGAGATCGAGCATTATTAAGAGATGCTGGGATTGGCAAGATTTCGAAATCAGAACCGGGGGTTTCATTCTTGAGAAGAACAGAATATATTTCAGAAAGAGAAAGACCTCAGTCTCGATTAGCTGCCACCAGTGAAGAATCGAAACTTGATGCCAAAACAAAAGCAAAAACAGCTGGGGAAGGGAAGCACGATGCCGAATCACAATTGGCGGCGGTTGAACATACGTTTGACGTTGCCCAAGAGTCATTGAATGATTTGAATTCGATCAAACATCCAAGAAAGAAACATTTAAAGGCGGTGGATGCTTGGCCATTATTGCCGGATACTTCTATGATGGATAATAAATTCTTAACGATTAGATTCTTGGGTTCGGCATCATTATCTCGTGATTTGGAGACGTTGAAGAGACAGCAGAAGGATGCATTTAATGCAAAATTTCATCAAGATTCAATTGCATCAACTGTATTCAAACCGATTTCTTCAGCTGACGGAGAATGGATTTCAATGTTTCAAGTTAAAGATGCCAAACGAGCTGCTGAATTGAAATCGAAATTGAATTCAACTGAACGAGAACGTCCGGTTAATTTATTAGATGAGGAAGAAGATAATTTGGATGAATATAATTTCAAATATGTGAAGAATTATGATATGAATTTCCAAAGATTTAATAAACCAAATGAAGAATTGGCAATTAAGTTTATTCCTGAAGAAGGGAACAAAGTTGGCGAAAAGAGAAAAGCGGCATTATATTATCCAACCACTGGTAGAATTGATTTAAAGAAGCATCGTGCATCTACAAATTCTGAAATTAATCGTTTCTTGAGAGATAGTACTCTTGGTGGAATAAATTTCAGATTGAGGGAACCTACTACGAATGAATTGAAGAAGATGGATAACATTAGATCTGAATTTGATCCTATGGAATATGAAGGAGAAGATGAAGAAGACGACGAGGAGGAAGAAGAGGAGGAAGATGAACATGAGGACAATGCGGATGAATCCAAATCATTGGATGAATTTAACGATGACGAAGAAGAGGACTAGAACTACTAGTGTAGCACGTGTATTAAATGTATTTATAGGATATAAAAGGTCTTCTATTATAACTAAGTAATTACACAACCTAGCTTTTTCTTCTTTTTCTTTTTCTCTTCTTTTGAATCACTTGACTTTGTTACTGGTGGTTGTTCTTTAGGTTTTGGTTTATTATAAGAAGCTTGCATTTCTTTTGCCATTCGTTGATCTTCTTCTTCTTGTAATTGTTTCAGCAACAAGTAATCAGACCCATGAGTTTCATCATGAGGTGGTAAATCCTGATCAATATCTAATATTGGTAAGAAATCACCGGTGAAGAATAAATCATCATTGCCAGAAACGGAATTTAATGATTGCCATATAATTTTGGAAGATTTGCTTGTGAATGAAGCATCAGTTAATAAGATATAAAACTCTTGTTCATCTTTTTTAAACAAAGTATTAAAATGATTATTTCTAAAGAATACAATGAATTCCCCTTTTAATAAATTGAAATTTAATCGATTTAATCCAATTTGAGTTAATTGAGTTTTATTTAAATCTAACCATTTTTGTACTAATCGTTTATCTTGAAAATGATCCAAAGTATCTACTACTCCATTATCTTCAACCAGCGGAGATGAATCTAATAAGAAATCTTGAATTTGATCAAATGTTTGTAATTTATTAAATAAATCAACTACATGAGCATAATTATCAATTTTGGGGGATGATGTTGGACTGGAGGTTTGTTGTTGATCTGAATTCCATTCAATATTTTCATTATCGATTTGATTTATAACCCAACCATGTTTTAATTTCAAATCAAATAATTTAAATAACGTAGTTGCAATATCATTAGGAGTAAAATCTCCCGTTAATAAATTTGGATCAACGGATAATCCAGTATGTAAAAGTGGTAAATTGGCCAATAATTTATCAACTTCATAATGGTATCCACTTTCTTCAACATAGATTAATAATAAATCACCTAAATGACTTAAAAGTGTTGATAAGTCAATGTTTGTTGAAATGTTATATTGATTCATTAAGAAATTCTTAAATTCTAAAACTCCAATCAATTTCTTTTCTTCAATTGAAGTAATTTTAATTTCATTTCTAGTGTTATGTCTTATTTGCTCTTCTGCTTTAAGAAGTAATGTATTAATTAAAGCAATTAATGGACATGGTCCATTCTTTTCTTGTAATAAGATTGGTGTAGCTAATTTACTATCGTCATCACCTGAATAATCTAAAGACCAATGGATTATTTTAATTGGAAATTTAACTTTTGAATGATCCAATTGAGTGTTATTAGACGTTGACATATTCTTCTAGGTGGTATTTGTAATAATAGTAATAGTGGTAGTAGTAATAGCAAATGATATATAAATAGATAAGATGTGGTAGTGGTGGTGGGGCTAAAAAAAATTAATAATAAAAATCTCGGGGGGTTCGTAATTTAGTTTTAGTTTACTATGGAAGATTGCTATGAACAATAAATCTTTGTCTCAGATTTTTATTTAAAACCAAAATTTAAACTTTTAAAATTAAATTCTTCTTCTTTCTGAAAAGATATAAGAATGAAGTAGAAGCAGAAAATGTAATAAATTAATAATCTCGGCTAAATTTTAAACTCATTTTAGTTTTGTGTAAATTTACTCATTCTTATTACCAATAAAAGTATGCTTAGTTTTTGAGATTATCGGCAGATACAGGCAATTGTGGGTGCCCGACAGAGTAGTGGATTAAACAATCACCAGGAATATTGCGACTACTACACGACTGGTCATACTGATAGGCGACTTAAAGGAAGAACTAGGAAGAAATGAAGAATACAAAATCCCGCCATTGGATCCCATTATCTTTCTTCTCTAGATGTTCAGATTTCTAGTGATATGGCGCTGACCATCTAGTGAATAAAGGTATACAGTGGTAGGATTTTGGGTTACTTATTCCAGAAGGGCATCCTCTCAGGATTTGAATTGCTGTGTTAATGGGATTCTTGTATCTTGCTATCATAACATCTGGAAAGCATTTGGCAAGAAAACTGTATGTCCGTTGAGATTAGCTTATGATCTGGATTCCAAGAGTCCTTGAGAGCCCAGTAAGCAGTAGATACCAGTCCATGTTGTCTACCAGATTGCTTGGATTGTTGTTGTAAATGCAACTTATTGGAATACTCTCCCTTCGATCCAAGAAAAGCAATACAATAAACATCTCCGCTGGAGTCCAGACAGGTCAATATAACAAGAGAGAATAGCAGTTGAAATATTCTTTCAGATTTAGTAATATATTTGCCTTCTATAGTAACAATTGTAAAATGATATATAACCAGGTTATATGAATAGACTGTATATCATCTATTCTAACACACACAAAAAAAACATAGGTAACACAGATAGATAGAGAGAAAGTAAACAACAACTAGCTAGCTAAACACCCAAATTTATTCAAACCAACTTTGTCAAAAGTGGATAACTAGTTCCCACAATTGCTAATAATATAAAAGTAAGTACAAGATTAGTATTAAAAGCTTCTTCTTCAATACGTTTTTGCATAGATTCATCAATTGCGGTTCTTGATTTTATAACTTGATTAATTGGTTGTTCTTGAATCTTAGCACCTTTAGGTACGGTTGAAGGATACATAACTTCACAAAATTGTTCAATTTCACCACATTTAATTCCAATTTTCAAATAATTTGGATCTTTAACTGAAGATTTATGATTAATTATTTGAATATATTTTCTAAAGATTTTAACCACTCCAGGGAAAGTTCTACTATTTAAAATTAATTCACAAGTTGTACCTTTTCTAATCTTTACTACACCATGTAAAACTTTTGGATTATTATAAACTTCAGCTAATGTTGCAATTGCCATTACTTGAGGAATTGCACAGAAACTAAAAGTAGATGAATCTTTAACCATTGATAAATATTCTAAACAATCTTTAACATGACCTAAAGCATTCAATACTAAATCATTAATACAACTTAATCCTTCAAATTCTAATTCTGGTTTTTGATGGAAATTTGGTAATGAATCAGTATATTTAGACCAAATTTCTTTTGGCCAGAAAGATCTACCTTGTTCTAAATCTTCATGATAATCTCTAATAATATTAGTTTTTTGTAAAAATAATCCCATTGAATTTGATCTTTCAAAATTATCTTGGGTAAGATTTGAATCAGCAAATTTTGCCATACACATTAATTTAGTTAATCCTTCTCCAACTAATCCAGCAACATAATGACAATATAAATCATAATCTTTAACAGTTTCAACTCCATTAAGGTTAAAATTCTCATCCAAAATATAATCAGCCATACCATTACCCATTTTATAAGTAATATCTTTAACAACATCTTGATATTGAGGTTTTAATTGATGATAAATACCTAAAATCTTATCAAATTCAACTAAAACAATTCTATCTTTTTCATTTGGACCATTTCCATCAAATGTCCAATCCTTAGTATTTAATTTCTTATCAAATGATCTTAATAATGGTACTTTAGTTTCTGGATCAATAGTCATATCATCTTCAATAGTATCTAAAGCTCTTAAAACTAAATAGAAAATCATAATTGCATCTCTTAATTCAGGATGTAATTCTTCAATAACAGCAGCAAATGATCTTGATGTTTTGTTTAAAAGAATATAACATCTTTGCAAAGTTTCTGATTCTTGTGATGGATTACGTGGATGTAATGGTTGTCTAAATTTCATTAATTGAATTGCAGCTTTCAATTCATTTGGATGAAGTAAGAATTGTAATAATTTACCCATGGTGATGATGCTCTGTTTTGCTATATTTAGAATGTGTTTCTATAAAGAAGTATCAACTACTAGACCTTTCTTTCAAATATGGAATTATCGGAGTATTGAGGAAAAGTAAATAAAAACAGAATTTTGATTTTTGTTGGAATTTTTTTGACATTTTATTTTTTTTGGTTTCCGTTTGATGTGTGTAAGAAAGTTTTTATACGACCAATTTTACATCGTATAAATTTATGGTAATTATATTTATTTATTTGCAACTCCCCTCAAATATAATTTAATGGCTTTGAAGTCCCACGTTCACTTACGACCAGACGAGCTTGCCCTCCTCTCAGAAGATAGCAACCCCAAAGAACGAAAAGGCAGTGCAATCACAGTGACATTACCAGGCAACAATTACCGCAAAATTAGAGAATGTCATTTGAACAAAAGCGAGGTAGGTGGGAGATTCACTCCAAACTTGACAATTACTCCCCATACATAACCTAGTTGACGGAATGTAAGCAATTGAGGTTCCAGATCCGGCTACCCCGGGAAATAACCCCTTGAGAGAGATGCCTTGATCATAGGGATACTTGGTCCCCCCACCATGACGCGTGAAACGACATGGAAGGTCGGAATAAAGAATGTCGTCGGGCTTCCTGTCGGTCGACTTTTTTTGCATCAGCTAATGTCGCAATGAATAAGCCGAAAAAATAAGTCTAAGTAATTCCGTGCGTTTTATCCTTCGCTTAATCATCGGAAGTATGCAAGGAGAAGACTTGTACTATTCCGCCCTACATAGGGGATTTATCAATTTGAGAGAAGATTGATTGGATGAGACGAATTAGATTATATAACTGGTGTAGTATAATTTCTGTACGAAGTTTCACCCAACCAAAATTTTAAACAAGCCACTACTGTGACAGTCTTGAAATTAAGCCTTCAGCTAAAAACTTGTCTAACTACACAAGTTTAACCGGAGATCCAAATTCACTTATTAGACGTGTTTTACAATTTTGAATAAATACATATGTGTAATACGGGTACGCAACCCGGTACCCTCTATACAACCAAAACCCTACATATCTCAACTAACTACTTCCTGAGTTTTCAATCTTTTCAAACCATTTTCTAGCAGCTCTTATGTTATCTAATATTAATAATTCTTCATGTTGTTGAATATAATTATTTTCTAATTGAGGTTTATCTTTTAATACAATCATAATAAACATATTTTCAGTTAAGATATCAATATAGAAATTATTTCCATTACTACCTCGTATTATTAAATTTCTAAAATTTGTTCTTAATTTTGATATTGATTGTTTATATGTTTTAATAATATTTGAAATCTTTTCAAACCTTTTTGGATCTAATTCTTCAACACTAGTGCTGGTGCTATTATTATTATTCATGAGTCCTCCATTCAGATCTTGTAGTTGTTGTTGTTGTTGAATTGATGCAGTTGAAGATATGACCAAAAAAGTTGTCTTTTCAAACAAGATAATTTCTTCAGCATCTAAAATAGAATTAAATTTAATTAAATTACTATTAAATAAATTAATATTTGGAATTAATGAACAAACAATTTGTGACCAAGCTTTATATAAACTTTCATCCCAAATTGATGTAGGAAACCCAATTAATTTAAATTGATATGGATTGGAAATTTTTTGTAATTTATCCATCATTATATTAAATAATTCTTCACGTTTATCAATTTGAACTAAATCCATTTTATGTAATAATACAAAGATTTTAGCACCAGGACTATATTTTTGTAAATTCGTTAACGATTTTATAAATATTTCAATATCTTTATTAATTGATTTACTTTCAACATCAAATACATGAATTAAAACTTGTACCATTTTGAAAATATGATCTTTTTGATTAGTAAAATAATTATCCATAAATACATCTTGTCCTCCACAATCCCATAAATTTAATGTCATATTTCCTAAGAATCTTAAATGGGATAATTCAACATCTATAGTTGCACCTAATCTTCTGGTATCAAATGCACTATAATTCGAAAAGATAATTGATCTCATTGATGATTTACCAGAACCTGATCGACCCATAAGTAGTAATTTCTTTCTTGATGAGTGTGACATATTTGTTATTGTAATCTGATGGTTATTGGGAGTTGATATATAATAAATTGCTAAAGGAAAAGTAGATGGTTGATGTTTACGTGATGTTTTCTTGGGGATGCTGGTTTGTCAAACAGGCAAACGACCAAACAAAACAAAAGAAAAATTGACATTTTGTACACGACCATTAATTTAACTTACATTATTGCTGCAAATAATGTTTGTAATTTTGCAGTCAAAAGGAATCCACAAAGGTAAAATATATTTCTTGTTCAGAAACTAATTCATTATGGTCATTTCGAATATGGACTGAGATATAGGTCTTGATATTAAACTGCTTTTGTTAAAAAAAAAATCGTAATAATTTTTGTCAAACTTAACATCATTCGACTACACTCAAGGCATTCTTCAGGAAGGAAGCGATGCAAATTAGGTATATGAAACGAATTCATTCTTGTCCAATATTACAAGAATACAATGGCCTGGACTGTATCGAGTTTGCTGGACGTATAAATTAGCTAATGTCGCTTCCGAGTTCACATAAGTTAGGCTGAACGCATAGAAATTATGATTCGTTTCTCAGGCTTTGAAATGTGAAATGTTGAGAAAGAAAGGATAGATCGACCAGAGTACTGGCACCTTATAGGATAATACCAAGCGACAGGAATCTTATCTGTGTCCGCAAGATTTCCTCGGTTTGAGAGCCTGTGTCTGACAACTGCTTGTATGAAAAGACAAGTATCAAGTATTGGCTTTGCGTTGTCTTAATCTTCTGAGAGAGAGAGATCCCCCTCTCTCATCGCATACTGAAAATTTCAGGTAACATTTAAGAGATCTCGCATACGAAACAGATTTTAAAGAAGATACACAAATCATGTATTATTCTATAAAAATAATATTAAATAAAAACCTGTCCGAACTCATTACTCATTACAAAAATAATATACAAAAGGGATAATTTCAAAAAATGAATCTCAATTATCTCTGTTTCTCTGTAAAATTTCTGTAATGTCAGTTCTTGGTCTTATTTAAGATTTCATCCGCCCAAGTAGGTAAAACAAATGAAGCTTCATGAATTCTCTTATTATAATATTTCAAATTCTTTGAAACAAATTCATCAGACCAATCGAATCTGATTGGTTTAGTAACATCAGCATCTTTATCCTTAGAACAAACCATAAAACCAATAGAACCACTTGGGTAAGTTGGAATCATAGTATAAGCATATTCAGCAACTGGGAAGATTTCTTGACAATCCTTCTTTAATTTAGAAATAATATCCATATGAATAAAGATGTTTTCAGCTTGAGTAGTAATAACACCCTTTTCAGTTAAAGCATCTCTTAATAATTCAAAATATGGTTTTTGGAAAAGAGATTCAGCTGGACCTTCAGGATCAGAAGAATCAGTGATAATAACATCGAATTGATTCTTATATTCAGCTAAAAACTTGAAACCATCACCGATGTGGACCTTAGTTCTTGGATCGTTGTAAGAAACAGACATATTTGGTAAATATTTTTTAGAAACTTCAATAACAGTTTCATCAATATCACATAACCAAGCTTCTTCAATTGATTCATGTTTTAAGATTTCTCTTAAAACACCACCATCACCACCACCAATAACCAAAGCTTTCTTTGGGTTTGGATGAGAGTTTAAAGCTAAATGAGTAATCATTTCTTGATAAGAGAATTCATCACGTTCAGTGACTTGAATACAATTATCTAAAACTAAGACATTACCATAAGTTGAAGATTTGAATACCAAGACATCTTGATATTTTGATTGTTCAACATGTAAGACTTTGTCAACTTTTAAGGACATAGCTTGACCTGGCCACATGGTTTCGGAGATTTCAGCAAACCAACCATCTTTAATGGATGGGTGAGTTAATTCTTGAGCCATCTTTGATTTAATTGATGATTTTAAAAGGAGGGAAGAAGAAAAGGAAGCAGAAGTAAAAGATTTGAAATTTCGAATAAATTGAAAAATTTTCATTCTTTTTATAATTTTCTAGGCGAATCAAATTCCCTCTCTCGAAGGCTTTCTCACTCTTTTTAGTTCTCCGCTCTCTCCCCCATGTGCGAGATTTTTCAAAACACAAGAGAGAGAGATCTTTGAAAAATTTTAAATTTTCAGAATTATAATTTAAAAGAAGTCAATAATTAACAGCACCCTTCCATTCTCCATACTTCAATTAATAATATCAAGCAACTATACGGGTCAACTATATATATAAGTAGACTACGAGTAATACTACCCGCTACAAGATCAATTTTCTAAATTTAAAGTTGCATAAAACGTTCGTTACACATAGCCTTATTGTATCATTAAATTGTCTTTGTGATAGGGCAATTGACCTATTACACTTAACAAAGAATCAGGGCGGACCTTTTTTTTTTCTGACTCTGAATCCAAGTTTTTTTTGGATCGGTTGCAAATTGAGCCATTTTTACTACTGCTAAATATTGTAAACAGTAGAGACTACACATTGAATCAGAGATAATAATTAGTAAATTGGTAGTCAAACTGACAACTATACAAATAATTTAATAAATAAACACATTAAAAAGTAAATAATAAAACGAAATAAAACTGTAAAAATGGATAACGTACTTTAGAAAAACACAACAAATAAAACTAATTAATCAAGACACACTGATATCAAAATTTAAAACTTAAAGTCATGAGCGGTCTTATCATTTTCTGGAGCAGCCGCATTTTTAGATTCACTAGAAGTAGCACTAATCTTACCAACAGGACTTGCAAATTCCCAATCACCCGATTCAAATCCATCGTGATCAGCAGGACGACGTTGTTGTGGAGGCACAGAAGTAACACCTTGTGCTTGAATGTTAATTACTTCATTTGGATTTGGATTCTTTTCTTTCAAGACATGATAAGTTTCTGGTCTATCTCTATGGAAACCTTCTTCCTCTTCATCGGAACTTGGATAATAAGTTTGTTCGGCAGTAACAATTGCACGAACTGCTTGTGGTAAGATATCAGGACGGTAGAATCTTAAATCAACTCTTCCAATGATGTAAATGAAATTAATGATGATTTCAAAAATACCCCAACAAATATACATGAACCAAGGTTCTGCAGCCTTTGAGGCATCTTTATTATATCTATATTGGAAAACAACAATGGCTCTACCAATTGCTCCAATAAAGATTAAAATAGTAGTAGCAATTAAAATCATGATTGAAACATTATGTTTTAAATCACCTCTTTGATTACTTACACCTTTAACGACTTTATAATGATGATGGGTAGCAGCAATTACTCTAATTGCATGACGATGATTAGAATTTCTCTTCATGAACCCTGCTTCTGCCTTTTGCGATGCATTCTTTTCCACGAAATAAAATGGAGCAAAACTTTCAATCCACCATGGTTGATAAGTATATAAATTTTCATCTTTGGAAGTAGGTAACCAGAATGAAAGTCCAATTAAAGCAACCGAAGTTAATGAATATGCCAAAACACAAACAGAAGTGAATTGAACCACTTTAACCCAACTATCATAACTTGATTGAGAAAGGAAATTCAAATATGGAACAAATGAAGCAGCAATAGTAATTCCAATTAAAATTAAAACAAATCCATATAAGGTAAACATAAATCCCCAAAATAATTTACGTGAACCACCAACTGGATGTCTCCATGTAAATAATCTTTGTGCTAAAATTAAATTAGCTGATACAAGAATAATAGCAGGAACAATTAAAAACACTTCACTTGTTAAACCCAAATCAACCAAAGTAGCATTAGTTGCCCATTTTGCTCTAAGGGCAAATCCAATGACTTTACAAATACAATAAAACACCCAAACATATGAAATCCAGAAATAATGACCTCTTGACGAATTAATTATTAAGATAAGTGCATGTATTAACATAATGACTCCAAATATAGCGGCAAATATAATCGATGGCACTTCATCTTTTGAACCTGGATAACCTCCAAATAAATTATTTTGATATCCAATATTAAATTCAATAAGTGCTGGTGGAAGTTCATCCCCCATTAAATTTTTGGCAAATGTAACTAATGGTTTAATACCTGTTCCTGGAGCAGGTCCATCAAACATTGCGGCAAGGAGATTAACTAATCCTGCTACTGCAGTATTTTCTTCGGACATGGTTGTTGTTGAAAATTAGATAAGAAGTCTCTAAAACTCAAGAAAGAAAATTTTTAGTTTAGTTTTTAATAAAAAGGGACAATCAATTCTTTTTAATATTAAGAAAAAGAATCATCATGTTTTACATATATGGGGGAATTACATTCCGCTGTTTCTTGTTTGTTATTGACGGTGAATCCCATTTTTTAGGGAACCTAAAAAAAGTCACTTCCTAATTAGGAAATCACTTGATTTTTTTTCTTTTTTAAGGTTTTGGAAGTTTTTTTTTTCTTGGAGATTTTTTGTCGTAAGAGCGTGATTTTTTCAACCCCAGACAAGAATAAAAGGTAATTCCATGTATACGGCTGTACATGGAACCTTATGAAGTGAGGTAGATGGGGGGAGGCTTTGGTGAGTCAATATAATAAATTCTTGTTTGTTTTGATTAATATGTTTGACGATTTACAGATGAAATTAAGTTGGAATTGAGTGTGTATAGATTGGTTGCAAAATATCATACAAATGATCTTTCAGGGAGATCGCAATTAACAAGTAGAACGGGGCGATCAGGCATTCTTGTTACTAACAATAAGATTTGTAGTTAAATATACAATATAAACATTTTTTCTTGTATTGTTCTTGGTTCGTATTATACATAAAGTTAATTTATATGATTTTGTGTTTTGGTAAACTTTTATCCCAATTTGGAAGTTAGTTTTTGCCGTCTTGCATCACATCGAATTTGCTGCTACAGTAAGACAATGTGATTGCGATGACATAATCTGTTAAGAGGCTCATCTAGTGACTGTTAAGATAAGATTATTCTATATATGAATCATTAAATATACATTTTATTACAAAACTCATTAGCTCGAATGATTTTTTGTTTTTAAAGGTTTGTTGTGAAAAAGAAGGAATAATTAAAGTTTTACTGCAAAAAGCTTCTCCCGTTATCCCCAAATATAAGGAAAAATCATCCCAATTAAATTCCATTGTCATGGAGACTATTTCCTTCAGGGTTCGTACTCCAGAATTTCAGTAAATATCGTCATGACAAGGATATACTTCTGTACCAGATTTAACCAATGTTCACGAAAATTTCAAGAAAATAGACGACAAAGAGAGTGAACGTAAGGCTATTTCTTAGTGTTTTCTTTTTGTCAAGTGTTACAATTGTTGCATCAAAATGCATGCAAGATTTTAAGATTTTGAAGAATTGCAATTTTATTTCACTACTATCCCTGGGCTTCTCATTATTAATTCTTTAGCTAACTACCAAATTGCCAGATCACACGACAAATCATCGATAATCATTTCCCCCCACAAAATATGGGTTGTATAAAATATTCAGATCTAATAGTTTACACTATATATTATTGTGCAAAATCCACTATTTATACACTATACAATTCCATTCACATCGAAACCAAACCAGAGACACCTTAAAACAACAAATACGATATAAGGATAACACTTGGACCAAGTATGAATCCAGTCCAACAAAGAACATTGCCAAAAATTTTCTTTCCTCTAAGCATTTTCGATCTACAAAGCATAACCAAAGGAATTTGACTCATTTGTAATAATAATAAATATCCTCTTAAATTTCCAAATATGACATACATTACCAATTCATGGACCAAACTTGATAAAACAAAGGTAAACAACGTTGCTTGATGTTTATTCATCGTTAAAGCACTAATACTTGAATGATAAACGTGCCTAAGCAAGAATTTATGCACGGGGATATTCCATAATCTTGCAAATTCGGAAAAATCACTACAATTCCACCAAGGTCCATAAAATTCTCGATCGGCAAACATGCTGAGTTCGGCAATTGCCGATAAGATTGAATCCCAAATAAGATAGAATGTAAACATGTATATCATGAGGAATGGTAACATCATATCGAATAGGATATAAAAAAATTGAGGGATTCTTTCAGCTATTGGTAATTCACGAGCAATTAAAGCTTCTTCGAATAATGGATACATACTCCATTGAGCAATATAGATCATTAAGAATATGATCCCAAAGATTGCACATACTTTATCAAAGACAAGATACCAATTAATCTTTTCAGTACGGGGATAATTTAATGTATATACAACAGTGGGAAACATTGAATATTCAAAATAATTGAATAGATTGATATTATTGGGGAAATTAATATGACCTTGTTGTTGTAATTCTTTAATTGATAAATTCATATGATCAGAAGCTGACTTTTGATCAAATTCTTCGAAATTATCACTATTGATTTTAGTTTGACATTCTAATTCATATTTACAAAATTCAATACTATTCTGTAACAATTTCGTGGTATCTTCATGTTTGAAACCATTAGGTAAAGGCTGTCCCTTTGATAATCTGTCTTGATAATTTTCTGCAAATAAAGCTTCATTATAAATTGCCCATAAATATCCATTATAAAATCCATATGAATGCATTTTCATAACCATTACAAGACTGTGCAATAATAAGTAAACTTTTGCAATCCAAGGGAAATCCATCACATGATTCGAAGCGATCCAAATCCAAAAGAATATAAAAACCCCATCATAAACACCCTGTAATAACCATCCGGAATTATTCCAAGTGATTATATTATATTTACACCCCAATTGAACAAGCAAGGGGAAATATGAAGATAAATACATTGCCAAATCAATTAATCCAACTTTTATAACATCTCTAAGTAAGATTTGAACAATTGGCCATTCAAGTATTGATAATTCATTTTCAAAATATGTATGAACAAAATTATTAAACATGAAAAATGCAGTTGCTAACCAAAATAAAATATAAAATCCAAAAAATTGACCTTGTTTAAATGATTCTGAATCAAAGATTGTGGTTGATTTTGTTTTGAATTTAATATCACCAAATCGTGATACATATTTAGCCTTGGAACTGGGTTTTTTATTAATTCGGGATTTTTCTAATTTGGAAACACGTGTAACTAGTCGATCTAATGTGATTATACCTTCAGGTCCTTTGGTTGTAGTAGTTTTAGTTGTAGTGACTTTCTTACGTTGTTTTAATTCTTGCTCTAAGTTATTGTTTTCTACTTCTTCTTTGGTGATCGATTCAAGGGTAGTATCTGATTTATTATCTTCCTCTGATGATTCTGATGAAGCATAATCATTATTTATATCTAGGAATTGTCTAAATGTATTAATTCTTGATATATGATCAAGATTATCAGCAGTTTCTGATCTCTTTATTTTAGCTTGATTAGTTGACATTGATATGTGTTGATGTTCTAACTAATATTGATATGGGGGATAAACTTGGAAAATTGAAAAATGGGTCAGTTGATGGGAGGAGGAGGGAAAGGACGGGGGAAGCAAGGTCTATTTATATTTTAACCCAAGATACTTTGAAAGCCAAGGATTGAATGACAAGATATGAAATATGTAACCCGAAGAAACCAGAAAGAAGATGAGGTAATGACAAAGTTGTGTGTAATACACCCGATAATATAATTCAATTATCCCCGAAAACCTTAAAAATTACACAAAATTTATTTTGTTGAGTCTTTTCTTTTATCCCCCTTCGCCTATTGAATCATCAATGGAACAGGTGATAAGTCATGAACAAAGAGAGAAAAAAATGACAATGGAAGTATCGGATATGGAGAGAAATAAGGAATACCAGGGGAAATAAGCATAAGAAAAGCAACTGCAACTGGCGGGTTACATTCCCAACTTATATTACCAATACTGGTTGGGCTCATCAATCAATCAGCTTTTAACATGTGTTAATTAACAGTCTAATTAAATATCTTGGCTGCTGGCAAATAAATCGATAAGAAAAAAACTTCAACTGAAAAATTTCAGATCAAGAATTTTTGTTGTTGCAATTTTTCAACTTTAATTTAATAATACTAATTTAGAGACTAATTTCATTCAGCATTATGCCATCCGAAAGGCAGGAACACAAATACCCGTTCAAGTTCTTTTTTACTTGGTTTTTCCATTATAAATAACAAAACTCTTTTCTATACTATATACACACACACAGTACCTGGGGGCTATGGCCAACTATCTATATACTCTTTCAAATGGTCTAGTATCATTAAAACATGAATTCCATACCAAATCAACCACTTTTTCAGCTTCTTCAGGACTTTTACAATTTGGATTAGCTGCTACTGATATAGCAGCTCTTCTTCTAACACAACCTTGAAATTTCTTACCAAAATTACCTAAACCAGTTTTCTTAATTTCTTGAAAAATCCTACATTCACCACTTAACATACTAGCTCTTATTTCAGTACATGCATGATGTCTCAAATCTTCAAACTTAAGATTAAATCTTAAATAATCATACACATGAACCAATTCATGAGTTAAAACATCTTCTAATTGCCATTTACTTGTAATCCAATTGGCACACAACAAAACCCCTGATTGTGGATGGAACCCACCACCCTTTGTATCCGTACACATATCACATATTATATTTTCTTTACTTAATCCTTGACCATCTTTAGCAAATTTATTTATATTTTCTAACATAAATGTAACTGATGGAGAATATGTCAACATCCAGGCAAGATTTTCATTACATGTCTTACATTTTTCTTCTGGATTACGGAATCGATAATCATATTCATATTGTTTGGCTTCTGTATCACTAAGACCTAATTTAGTGGCATATTGTGCTGAACGTCTCCACCATTCAAATCCGGTTAATTTTTCAGGTGGTGAAAGTGTAAGCTTCATGAAATCATTTTCCTCCCCTTGTTTGGACATTGTTGGAAATGTATATTCTATAGTTTATGAAATCTCTACTAACCGGATGTTAGTAACTGCTATTATAAGTATTGACCCTACTGTTTGTTCTTGTCGATGGGCTCTGGAAGTCAATTGATGGAACGAAAAATTTTGGTTGTTTGCTGGGAGTTTGTATGCAGGAACACATTTTTTTAGAGAGACCATTGGTTGCAAAAATGTTGCAAAGTATTGGAGTGCCCAATAGAGAAGAAAGTTTTGTCATCTCACAGCATCTATCAGAAGATACCCCTCCACATATTCTATAGCTCTTGAAAATGGTAAGTTAATTACAACTTATTTTTAGGATTAATCGTCGTGGTTAGGTGAGAAACCAGCCAATTTATATCCGAAAGCAGTAAAACCGTTGACCGACAACTTATAGAAGATGGTATATGAGCGTAGAAGATTAGATCGAACTTATACTTATCTGTATATCTATCCATGGATTCCAGCACCCAAAGCAATTTGCTAGCTACATTGCACACTGTTGTTTCTGAAAATATGAGCCGCACTCGTTCCCGATTTGGATTTTTCTCATCTGAAAAATCTCTATTTTCCAAACTCATCGAATCACATTCCACAGTCTTTTCTAACTCAAGCAATATATCACCAGTGAAATAACAATGGTTTCCAACATTTGGATAGCTGCAGCCGACAATCAAAGAACAATAGTAGAACACTACATTACCAGTGGTGAATTCACTCCCAACTCAAAAGATCCAAATGGATATACACCAATCCATGCCGCTGCATCATATGGTCATATTAATTTATTAAAATATTTAATTGATAATGGCGGAAATGTAAATATTCAAGATAATGACGGAGATACTCCCTTACATCATGTTGAAGATGTTAAGACTGCGAAGTATTTGATAGAGGAATTAGGGGCGGACTATAAGATTAAGAATGGAGAAGGGATGAGTGCGAGGGAGTATATTGAGGATGAAGGGGAATTTGAAGATGTGGCGGAATATTTGAGACTGTTGGCGCATGATAAACCAGTATTGGGTGGACTGGATGGAGGGTTTGTTGAGAGTTTACCTCAGCCGGGGAATATTGATGGACATGAGATTAGATATAGTATGGAGAATGAGATAGAAAATGAGGAATTATCACCGGAAGAAGTAGAAGAAAGGAGAAAGAAGATTCAAGCGATTTTGGAAAGTGAGAATCCTGAAGAAGCTTTGAGAGAATTAGTTAAGAATGCTGTGCATGAAGGTATGACTCAATTTAAACAAGATCAAGAACAGGTACAACAAGAGGAAGCTGGGCCATCGTCAAAGAGAAGAAGATAGTGCATTGTATAGAGTATGTATATTATTAAGCTTATGTAAAATATTGATGATTGGTTCATTTGTTTATTAATTGCCGTGATTGGCGAAGTATAGATCCTCATCTAACCTCGAACACACACTAAATGATATTTTACATCTCGAAATCTCCATTATTAGATGATTAGGTTAAGAGTTCTGAATATATCTCGGCGGTGCTCCAATGATTTCCTAACCGGCAACAACTAATTAAGGTTTATAATTCCGTGAAACTTAAATAATGGGCAAACACACGTTCCTCTCCACCAAGATACAACGAAAGAGGATAGAAAAATATGGACAAATTAAACTTTACAAATCATCCCTCTGTAAGAATGAAACGCAGTTATTCAGGAATAAGTTTATAAACCTGGAAGGGAGTTATCTATTTGATGTCTGAGATATTATGAGCTAATACCTTCCTACATGACTTATATAGAAATTAACTAACTAAACTAGTTTTACAATCTCGATTCCAAAAGGTGGAAACCCGCTCATATTAATATTAATCCAGAAAGCTTAACTAATAATTTCTTACCATATTAACTTCTATAGAAAACATCGACAAGAAACAATCTATGCTTATAATCGTTAGACAGTCTAGTTGCAAACCTTTCGATATAATGTTGAAACATTATTGGTTTGAATTCACCTTGGAAAAAGACAATTTTTCATTTATCATCTCCGAACTCATATGGTCATGTGTCTATCGCCACAAGAATGGCAACCAAAGCTGAATCTATATATTGGAATCGCATAAAAACGCTTCAAACATAACTCGATGAATACCTATTTGGAAAACTAGATCGTTATACTTGATCTAATAGGATCCCATCTTCATGAAGAAAGAGTTTGAATATAAATTATAAGTATTTACTTACGTTTCTCCATATGGGCCAGTCTAAATATGTTTGTCCTCTTCAACCTTCCCCCCTCCTCCCCCCCCACATGAAAAAAGAGCGAAGTATAAGTATGGTTTTGTTCAGTTACTTGGAAATCATCTAGTAAACCGAGCTAAGACAGTCATAGTAACATGTATATACCGAACGCATTGCAACGACTCCTAAACTTGAGTCATTTACTTTTGAAAATGAAGAAGAAAAGGAAGCTTCCACATTCTTCTTTATCGTTCTATAAGTTCGTACGGAGGAGGGTAAGTTGGACGGAGTGTAGGAAAAAATTGGTCGACAAAATTATTTTAGTGCGTCGGATATTTTCTTTAGATTTGTTCGACGAAGTTGTTGAAAATTTAAAATCAGATTTAACAACTTTTATAAAATTCTTCTAAGTTCATTTAATATCACACGAAGTAAACCCCATTTGATATCCGAATAATGCTTTTTGAACATTTATCCAGATTACTTCCAGCTGGAATGCAAGGAGGGTATGTAACAACCAAACTTACAATTGATTTACATTAACTTCTTTACTAACATCCATACTTTTTTAGAGTTTCTGATTACTCTGACTTCACAGTTGAAGAATTAACTGCCATGTCCATTTGGCAAAGACTCGCAATTAGAGATTGGAGATTAGAATTATTCACTGTTGGATTCATTGCTATTTTTGCCCTTTTATTCAAAGCTGGTGATTTCTATAATCAATCTAAAGTCACCAGTTTCTTAAAGAAATTAAAACCAGTCTTGGAACGTAATTTCTATCAAGTTGGTGTTGGTGAAGGTAAATTATACATCAAAGATAATGCTGAAGCTTATTCAAGTTATGCAACTGGTAGATCCAATATTGCTAAAGTTGATATTAAATTAAATTTAGTTCCAAGAGAGAATTTATTTGTTTGGATTTTAGAATCAGTATTATCATTTTTTAGTGCTACTGTTAAAGCTCCTGAAGATATAGTTGAATTTACTATTACTCCATCTATTGAATATGATAATTTCATTGCTGCTATTGTTTCCAAATTAGGTATGAATGAAGCAAGAAAATTGAATTATTTCCTTTCATTATGTAAAACTAGTGATTCTCCAAACTTACCTGAATCATTTGTTTATATGAGTGAAGCTAATGAATTCCAAGAAAAGATCACCACCAATGAATTAAAGAATGCTTTAACTTTAAAGAGTGCTTCTTTCATTAAACTTATTGCTATTACTGATCAACCAGTTGAAAAACCAGAAAATATTCGTGAATTATATCCAAGAAGAAGAATTGTTGTTAGTTGTAACATTACTAACAATGCAGCAAACATCAAAGTTATCGAAGATGTTTTGGATGCTTTATTTTCATTTGTTGATAAATTAGCTAACAAGCAAATCACTTTCCGTCCTGAAGCTGTCAAGAGAGTTGTTAAGACTAGAGAAACTGAAATTGAAAAGATTAGAAAGGTTCATGAAGAAGCTCAAAAGGAAAAATTGGCCGAGGAAAAGGCTAAACAAAAGAGAGAAGAAAGAGATAAATTAAGAGCTTTATCAAGAGAAGAGCAAATCAAATTGGAAAAGAAGGCTCAAGAAAAGCAACAAAAGAAGTTGCAAAGAAAACAAAAGGTTAAAATGTAAGAGATATTCTTCCCTTGTTTTGTTGTTCAATTAGTAAAACGTTCACTTCTGCATGACATTTTCCTTTTTTATATATCCGCTTTGTTTGGATAATTCTATAAATTTATAATTTTACATAATAATTTCGTAATTTTACACTTTCCCAGTTAATCTCCAACCTCTTCCAACTGGAGTATTAAATACCTCAACAATCCCAGAACCATGAGAATCAGCCAATACCCAATTTAAATCATATCCATAAAATGGTTTTCGAAAATTGTTCATCTTAGAATCACCTTGGAGTGTGGTTCCTTCCCATTTCTTGACAATCTGTTCCTCCAACATTTCTTTATATTTTGGTTTACTTAGCAATTTAACCAACCATACTCTACCGGCATTAACTAATTTCAAATACGTTCCACAATTAGGATATGAAATCGAATATTGATGAGATTCAATCTCATTCAAATGATTAGATGTCAACGTCACAAATCCCAAACTTACAAGATGACTCAACTCTTCATTATTAAACCCACCGTCCCCCTCATCTCCAATATTAATGAACAAAGCAGTGGGATTCTTAATCACATATTCCTCAAATTTCTTTAAACTCGATCCTCGATTCCCCCCTCGCTTCGGATCCACAATATCATTCAGAGCAGCCAATTCGGGTGCAAGTTCCAACTGGGAATTTCTGATTTGATTAAGATACATCTCAGCCTTCACCACCACCTCGACATTCTCAAACCCATATGTCACCCTATTATTCCTCTGTCCACTGGTATTACTTCTCAGTATAACAGGACTCGCATTCGTGATTACAAATTTCCTAATCTCCCCCTGTCTGATCTTCGTCTCCAATATCCGATCTACAAAAGTATTCCCCCTATTTTCATAAATCGAATATAATAAACTAGTAGTAATCAACCCTTTTGGTAATTGATGAGTCCGATATTTTAATATATCAACCTTAGGTCCCATTCCTAAGCCTTTAAGATTCATGATTAATTCTTCCATATTTCCTTGGGCGGCAATTATTTCATCTCGCGTATGATAATGATTATGAAGCGAGGTGGATTCGGACCAACGATTGTTGAGGATCGTGTCGATTGCCACCATTATATCTTCATTTCGACATAGTTGATAGTCTAATTCTACATTATAATCGACTATTTCTAATTTGTCCGGGGAGGATGAGGATGAGGATGAGGATGGTTTCGAGGTTTTGGTGGCAAGGGCTTGGGAGTAGAGTTTTTGGGATGGGAGGATTTTTTTGATGCTGCGTTGGAATTTTTTGATGGGTGATGAAGAGGGACTCGATCGTTTGGAGATGGAGGATGTTTTGGCGGCACTGTATTGAAGTTTAGGCGGTGTCATCGTGTGAACTGATAAAGAAAAAGCAATACAGAATGGGGATGTTGCTTGAACGTGTTTTTTTCTGGTGTGAGGAAAGTATGGGGAAAATAAATTACGATGGGTTGGGTGGGTAGGTCGGTTGGACCCTTCAAAGGGAGAATATTGCTTTCACATAATTACTTCGTGCCAACGAGTAGACGTTCAATTCCTTAATGGAATTGGTTACTAAAATCAAGTGAATGTTAATATCTTCCCTCTTTTGAGAATTTTCGTATGGTTGCAAAAAAGGTTGCTACATGCCACCACTGATACCGAGTTCCTTCAACCCCTGTGATGCCCCACAATTGATAGATTAGATCCCATTGAGGGTCTGAAGAATTGGAAATGACTTGATGCCGGTGAACGGGTCAGTATAAAGGTGGAAGAGAACATAAATAATTAGCTAAAGGTGAACAGTTTCCTAAGCTATTAGAGGGTTTCTACTTCCAATCTCTCTTTTCTTCGCTGACAGGGAGAGAGCGACAAGGCAAACTATGATACAATCAGATTCCAAGAGTAACACATAACTCGAGAAATCCTTCAAAGAACAAAACACACATTGCTTCCTATGAATAGGATATCAACTGACGTAAATCTCATTGTCTCAAACACTACATTGGTATGACTAAATATGGTATGACGTTTATTTACATGAATTTAATTTCCTTATACACACACAGACACACACTCTATCTAACTTCAATTTCCGTTGTAAGATCAGCGTCTTCAGTTGGAGAAGTAATTTTCAATAGATATTTACCAACCATGGTTATTTCTTCAATAGGTTCATCTGGAGTTTCAATCAGCGCCAAAGTAATTTCCTCAACTGGCACATTCACATCAGCTTCATCTTTTAAAGTATCCTTAACATATTCCTTTGTGATTGGTAAGTACTCTTTCATAAAATATTGAAGACTTGGTACCCTTTCAGTCAATTTAGCAATAGTATATTCTGGTTCAGATGGTTTAATTACCAATTCGTCAGGAACGTTAGAAGTCATATTCTTGAACAAATCAGATAATTCATCCATCGATAACGCTTCTACAACTGGTTTTTCAGTTGGTTCTTCCGTAATTTGTGGTTTATGTTCAACTGGTTGTTTTGCCTTAGGTTCAACTGTAACCACATCGATTCTAGGGCCTTGGGTTGGTGTTATATAACATGCCTTATTCTTGTGGTGGAGATAGTTTCTCATAAATGCTGGTTTTACTTGAAGTATTTCTCCTCTCACACCTACGTTTGGAACATCTTTTAATAATTGGATGGGGATCTTTTGCACTGGGTATTTGTGGGCTCTAAAACGGACAAAGACCAATCCAGTCGCGGTTACTACCTTTCTACTAGTAGATTGAAACATGTCTATACTCTATATGACTATCAGTGTGTGTATATGTTTGATTCAATTGGTTTAAACACAAGAAATGAAAATTTCCATATTTTTTTTGTTGAAAATTTTTGTTGGTGAGGAAAGTTACGCGGATCATAGTAAATATGATACTCTGTATATCTACATATGAGACGATGAGCATCTCCATATTTGATCCCGTTCGATATGTTCACTCTTCCATACTTTCTAAAGAATATATAAAACATGGACACTGACATTATATTATGTTCAATCTGTCACATTAATCCAATCAAATACACCTGTCCAGCATGCCTGACCAAAACATGTTCTTTGCAATGTGTAAAACGACACAAGAAACAAACAGAATGTACTGGGAAACCAAATATAACCAAATATATCCCCAAAAATGAATTATCATCCACCAATGTCCATCTCAACCGAGATTATAATTTCTTATTGAATGTTGATCGAACCATCCAACTCGCTAAGGATGATATAAAAACCAATGCAAAGAATTTGTTTAAACGACCTTATCATCAACAACGACCAAACACCACTCAAAAACGATTCAAGAAGGCAAGTGACAACGCTACACAACAAGAGGATAAGAGGATAGCTTCCATACATGGCGTATTCCCCAATGATCCACCTACGGTGATTAAACGACATAACACCTTGATTATCCAACTTCCTCCAGGAATGCACCGATCCAGTTCGAATAAGACGGGATATGATAAGAAATTAGGGATGTTTGTATGGACAATCGAATGGATTCATTTGGATCTGGATGGAAAAGAAGTGGCTAAATTTGTGAGTTATAGATTGAAAGAGGCGTTGTCATTACGAGATGCAGTATGTATGAGTAATTTACTCAAGGGTGTTGAAGATAAGACTTCATTGAGATTTTATTTACTGAATGTGATTAATAATCCTAAAGGGTCAGTAATTGAATTGGATCCAGAGTCAAATATTTCAGATGCACTTAAGGATAAAATATTATTAGAATATGCCACTATATATGTCACTACCGATGAGAAAGTACTTGCCGATAGAGTAGTCTCCGAGAAATTGGCTTATGGATTAGAAGTTGAAGTTGAAAGTACTTCCGATTCTGACAGTACTGGATCAGACTCGAGCAGCGATGAGTCTTCTTCTGACAGTAGCAGTTCTGATGAAGAGGAAGAGGATGAGTCTGATTCTGATAGCGGACCAGAAGAGGCGTCACTGAAACCGCCTGGAGTGATCAAGTTTCAAGATGAGGACCCACCAAAGTTGATAGAAGAGATCAACCCGGAAGAAACCGCCTCTACCACCACAACAGAAACAACAGCATTACAAGATGTAGATTAAATAGATAATTAGATAGTCTTAATAGAAACTGGTTGCAATTTTGGTTCCATTCGCACGACCATCTCTACACCCTCACTCTAAAAAATAAAAACGACAATCTCCTTCTCCATCTCATCTACTTTCAACCCCAATACAACCATGGCCAATGTCTTCAAAAAACTATCAGATTCGGACAGAAATCCCACCGCCACATTATATTTCGGCAATATCGACCCCCAAGTCACCGAATTATTAATGTATGAATTATTCATCCAATTCGGACCAGTACGATCAATCAATGTGCCCAAAGATCGAATATTAAAAACACATCAAGGGTATGGATTTGTTGAATTTAGGAGTTCTTTGGATGCTGGATATACGTTAGATATTTTGCGTGGGGTACGATTGTTTGGAAAATTGTTAAAATTGAAAAAGATTGATCAGGGAACAGGGGGTGTGGGACAACAGGGAACTGGACCGATGAAGAAGATTGGACAAATGAATGTTGTTGGACAGGGACAAGATTTATTAAACCCCAATTATATAGATGTTGGAGCTAAATTATTCATAAATAATTTATCACCATTAGTTGATGAAAAGTTTCTATTTGAAACATTTGGGAAATTTGGTAATTTGATAAGATATCCAATAATCCGGAGAGATATTGAAACAGGTCAATCTATGGGATATGGATTTTTAACGTATGATGATTTTACCACTAGTGATTTGGTGATTGAAAAAATGAATAATACGATATTGATGAATAATAAAATAAGTATAAGTTATGCATTTAAAGAAGATACTACAAGTGGTCAAAAGAAAGCAAGAACAAGACATGGTGATAAGGTGGAAAGATTATTGGCTGAAAGTGCAAAGGCTAATAATTTGTTAATTACCAAGAAATTGAAAACGAAGAAGAAACAAAAAGTAACTAAACCTCAACATCATCGAAAAAGCGGATAATTATCGAACCGTGCACTCCGAGTTCGTTCGTTCATTATCAATTTGATCGCATATTTTCGATTCGTAAGCTATTTAGTCATGGGAGAGGGAGGTGCTAATTGGATGTGAAAACTCGGAATAACAGGGCATGATGCCTGAGAATGTACCCCTGATAGTATGTCAAAATTCCAAGCGAAAATTACTCACTCTCTATGCAGATCTACCGGTTTTAGATTGAGATAATATCATCCCCAGCCCGAAGTTCTTACTGATGGCAAAAATCTCGAAATGGAGCTTGTGTACTCCCCACCATTTACGCTTATAATCAAGTACACATTTTTTAGATAGAATTAGGTAATCTTACTAATTGTCAATCAAATACCTCGAAGGCTTCTATAAAATATTTCAAGATAACGTTTATCGGCTCTTTTTTCGGGTTTATTTAGTGTCTTATTCCGACTTAGCGTACACCATGTAGATATGATAGAATAAGTGGTTTACCGGCCCAGCCACCACTACAGTCGCCACCTGCTCCACTTATGGAACAATAACCAATGCTTAGTAATTTCCAAATACCACAGTTTTGTGTGTACAGTTTTTGTCTTATTGTTCGGTCCGGCGATTTCCCAACTTGGGCTTATTTCCGGACTCCACAGTAAATGGGTGCGAAATATTCATGCTATAAATATAAACCTCAATTGTCCAATTATAAAAAGCCAGAAGATATTCTTTTCCAAAACATTAATGTTAAGAATTTCTTCAATCTTACCAAAGCTACAACAATTAACAAAAAGACAATTTCTTTCCACAAAAATGCCTGCTATTACATTACCATCAACTCAAANAACACCAAAGCTACAACAATTTACAAAAAGACAATTTCTTTCCACAAAGATGACTGCTATTACATTACCATCAACTCAAAAGGCTGTTTTCCATGAAGAATTCGGTGACTATGATGTTCTTAAATATGACAATGTCCCTACTCCAACCATTGAATCCTCTCATGATATTATTGTCAAAAACGCCTATGCTGCTGTTAATTTCATCGAAGCATTTTTCAGAAAGGGGATCTATCAGGCACCTTTACCTAATATATTTGGAAGAGAAGCCCTGGGGGAAGTTGTTGCCATTGGAGATGATGTTAAGAATTTAGCTGTCGGTGATAAGATTGCATATATTAGTCCTGCTACTTTTGCTCAATATACCAAAGTTAATGATTCTTTATTTAGATATATCAAATTGAATTCTGATGTTAGTGATGAAGAATTGAAGATTAATGGATCGATCTATTTACAAGGGTTAACTGCATTGACGTTTATTAATGAAGCTTATAAGGTTAAACAAGGGGATTATATTTTAGTATGGGCTGCTGCTGGAGGTGTTGGGAAAGTATTAGTGCAATTAATTAGTCAATTAGGTGCTCATGTCATTGCTCTTGCTTCAACTCCTGAAAAATTACAAGCTGCTAAAGAATTAGGTGCAGAATATTTGATTAATAGTTCTAGTGATGATATTGTTGCGAAAGTACAAGAAATTACCAATGGACAAGGCGTAGAAGCTTCATTTGATTCAATTGGGAAAGATACTTTTGAAACTTCTTTGAATTCACTTAAAAGAAAGGGAACTTTTGTAAGTTATGGTAATGCTTCTGGTCCAGTTACTCCATTCCCATTAGCCGTATTATCAGCAAAGAATATTAAGATTGTTAGACCTCAACTGTTAGCATATATTGCTACCCCAGAAGAATGGAAGTATTATTCTCAAGAATTATTGAAATTGGTTGAACAAGGTAAATTAAAATTTGATATTTCAACTTATGAATTGAAAGATTATCCTCAAGCTGCTAAGGATTTAGAAGGTAGAAAGACTACTGGTAAATTAACCTTAAAGATTCCTCAATAGGCGGACTCTCTTACTCTCTATTTAGTTATGTCTAAATATATGCCTTTTGTTTATGTTTTGAAATATACAAATATATTTATCTACAACTTAGGACGGGCGTTTTCATATTTCATTAAATCTTGAGGAGTTGCAACTCCATATACAAAATTGCCTTGTCCATTAGTTATTATAGCAAAATAAGTACCAGTATTAAAGAATTCAGCTAATTCTTCCAAAGGAGTTAATGGTGTCAATATTTGATATCTTTTACCCTTGGGAGTCTTTGGTTTTAAAATAGTTGTCTTGATAGACCGTTTAGCAGCTCCTGGTTCTTGCTTACCCTCCTGATGTTCTTGTTGATACTTTTCTCTTGCATTTTGATTAAACCAAAGCATATAATTCTTAACAATTGGTTTTAAGAAACTTCTTTTTATTCTATCAATAGTTAAAGTATCGACATTTAATACTCCTAATAATCTTTTATTGACTTCATGTATAACAGGTAAATAAGTAAATTCATTCTCATAAGCAATTTCAATTGCTTCAAATAATGAAGTTGATGGTGTAACAGATATTGCCGGTGGGATATTTAAATCTTCGATTGTTGCACCTCTATAATCTCTAATGTGGAATAATAATGGTGTTTGTGTCATAGTGTCTGGCTATATGTCTGTATCTATATTAGTTAGCAGTATGTGTAATATTAATAGCAGCAGTAGTTATTAGTAGTGGTTGTTGCAAGGAAGTTGTGGATGTTGTAGATTCATATGAATGAATGAAAAAAAATTGTTAAATTAATTATTAAAATTTTCCCCTTAAGCAAATTTCTTTTTAAAATTATTTAGACTGTAGATTTTGATTCATATGAATATGATTTTATAATATTTAATTACTTTTAAAAAATATATCCTTTATCAAGCATAGATTAGATTAGTAGTATTAAATAGATATGACATGAGATGTTTATCCATTTGAAAACATGATTCCTTTCTTACAAAGTATTATTAATAGTACCCCCTAATAACATCTATCAAACACCACACTTTCTCACTCTCTCTCTGTTAAACAAGCTTTTTTTCGCACCCATTAAATAATTCAAATTGGTATTCTTACAATAGAACTTTCAATCAAGGAAAAAGATACAGAAACTCAAGAAACTAAATTTCGCGTGCAATATGATGGCTTGCTCTTACGACTTGCCAATTCCCGGTTTGTCCTCCTCTGATCTAACTTACATTTACTGTGGTACTTCTACAGCTTCCAATTCGAAAAGCTCCGCATGAACCATTTATTTTCAACTCTCAATTGTCTTCTTCTAAATGAAGAAGTCTAGTGAGTTATACCTGTTAAATGTGGCGTTGAAGTGATTGAAATTGGTCAATTATGCGACATAGGTTGAATCCTAAAACTAACCTCCATAGGAGGGCTCTATAAGACCATCAACGAATCAACTGGGGTACATACAGAAACAGCATTAGCAAATCTGGCCAACACCATCAAGAATTGGGAGTTGCTGGCAATAAATTAAATATTTATTGTCCCTTGTTTTCACTAACTATCAGGAGTGATGGGTTTGTCAATTTCTTTGGTTGCCAAAAAATCAGAGAAAAGCTTTGGCTACCAAAAAACAACATTACGAGGATAATTTGGTTGTCAATTTACTGAAAAGAAGAAGAGGAAGAAGAAGACGACGCAGAAGAAGAGCGAGACAACATTAATGATTCAATTCAATTAAACGATACGTAATTATTAAAGAATACCTTTGTTTACTTACACACACCTCTCTCCCCGTTTATGCTAACTATTATTATTATTATATATGATTGTTGCCCGTCTGGTTCATCTCCTATGCAGCCTCAGCACTTCTATATTGTTTTTGTTGACTAGTAGAATCAGACTCCACAACCTCTCCTTCTTCCCTAACAACCCTCCTCCAAACCTCTTCATCATTACCGACATCTAAAACCCCAATCCTCATAGTCGCCAACAAATTCACAGCAGCAGTCAGATGTCCATACACACCACCATAGAAAGCTTTAGTCGCATCCTTCCCATGGGATGCTTTAAGCAAAGGAACCCCACCAGGATGTTGATCCATAAATGGAGTCACATCATGAATAATATTTTGAATCACAATATAGATTCGATCTTCATTCATCAGAGAATTCAAAATCCGTTTGAAATCTTTCGGGGTAATTTTAGGTAATTTTGAAATTGGAGTTCCCCAATTCAATTGTGATTTCATTCGATTTATAACTAGTTGTTGTTGTTGAAGTCGTAATTGAATAACTAAATTATTTGGAGTTCGACATAATTCTTCCACTTGTCCTAATTTCTCCAAAGTCCATATAAACCATTTCGTGGGGTCATAGGCATATAATGCATTATCGGAACGATAATCATGAGGGAATTCATGATGATAGTTTTGATGGGCTTGTCCATACGTAAGAAATGAAATTAGGGGGTTATTACAATTTTGTGATGAGTTTTTGTCACTGAATGGTTGTGTTGGGATTGTGACTTGGATATTCTTGAGATGACAAATTGATTCGGTGGATAGAATTGATAATTGGGCTAAAAACATACGTAATATCCCAGGATATAATATTCCATTGATGATTGTATCTTGGCATATAACCATGGTAATAATAACGGGGATGACAAACGTGGTAACAGAAAACCAAATAAAATATGTTGCTTCTTGCCATATTAATAAATCTTTAATATTGTCATGATAATAATCATTATTGCGATCAATATCGCCCCCATCAAATTCAATACTTTCTTCATTTTCCAACACAATTTCATTCTTGATGATATTTGGTTCTCGCTGTTGATCTTGTGGGAATTCTTGTTCTATAAATTCTTGATAAAAAGTCATTAATTTAGGTTTTCGCAATAACCAACCCCAATGCGCAAACCAAACTCCCCGTTTAATCAGATATGGATCTCGTTCAGTATCATCAGTAAAATGATGATGTGCTCTATGTAATGATGCCCACCATCTGATTGATCCTAATCCAATACTACTTCCAAATATGGCGAAATAATATCTTAACCAATTAAACTTAACTTTAAATGAATTATGAGTGAAATATTTATGATATCCACTGGTAAATGCTAATATGGTGATGTTATAATATATACATGTGAAATATAAAGTTGATTGATTTTCAGGTACAATCAGCTCATCCATTTGAAATAAATAAAGGATGGAAAGTAATGGTAATACCACAACAGTCAATGTATGAGTATAATTTATTCGGCTAAACAAATCTCGCTTTCTCTTTCTCATATCATTCATCTTGGTATTCTTAATTTTAGTAGCTTGATCCAATAAAGTTTGCTTAGTGGATGAGACAGACCCCGAACCACCAACTGAAGAAGCCACAGAATCATCAGTCGTTATCTTCCTCTTCTGTACTTTTGTTCGCGATACATTGTTATTAACCTGATCCCTACTCATTACTATTGGTTTCTATAACCTTCTTAATTGTCTTCATTCAAGGTATCGTAATGATAAAGAAGGGTCCTCCAGCTTCTGGTTTCCAGTGCCCGCAAAAAATCAATGGAAAAAAAGATGGAACCAGCAAATGTCGCAAGATAACCAACATACGACATCAATCCGGGTGAACGACATTGGCTAGCAGAAACAAAAAACTTTTCAATTCCGCAACAACACAACAACACAACACAACAACAGAAGTTAGACAGCAGCCAGTAAACTAATCAAAAAAATGCCAGCAGTTCCTCCACCTATTCGTCATCAGCAGTATCCTCCACAGATGCAAGTACCAGTACAACAACAACAAGTACAAGCAGCCGCAGCAGCTCAAGCACAAATGGCAGCAGCCGCACAGGCAGCAGCAGCTAATAAACCAAGACCCAATGTTGCTGGAATACCAACAATATCATATAGTCCAACCGATATAACCATTCCTCCAGCCTTATATGACAAGGTACCCAATTTGGATCAATACAAAAGACTCAAAGAAGCAGAAGAGCGAATTGACTTATTGATTTCTCGTAAAGCATTAGATTTCCAATCAATTCAACAAAAAACAATCCATCCTTCTGAATATAAAGGAGAAACAGGAATCTTGAGAGTGTTTGTATATAATACTTGTGAGAATCAACCTTGGCAAAAACAATTATTGCAAGAAAATGGATTAGCTATTCCGGATCCAACCACTAGTGAATCCAATTGGACCATGAGAGTTGAAGGAAGATTTATTAGTGATTCTGCTACTAGTACTGGGGAATCGGAATTTTTGAAATTCAGTTCATTCTTATCAGCAATTTCAATTGATTTAATTCCAAATGATGACTATCCAAATACTCAATCAAATATCATAGAATGGAGAGATGATGGTGTTGATAAAAACCCAGCAAATGCATCATTTGATGGATTAGATATCAAAAGAAATGGAATATATAATATCAAATCCAAAATCGCCATATTAGTTAAAAGTCCATCAGCAAAATTACGTCTTTCCGAAGAAATGGCCCAATTTACCGGTAAACAAGAATGCACCCAACAAGAATTAATGTACTTAATCTGGCAATATGTCTTATACAAAAACCTATTCCGCAAAACCGAAAACTATACCGAAGTGGCTGCGGTGGAAACCTCCTCAATCCGTGACCCAACCAATACCGCCAATCAAGATGAACCAGAAGACGACCTAACCCTAGTCCAATGTGATAGTATCTTACTCGACTTATTAAAAGTCCCCACATTCAAGTTCTCCGATCTTTATCGATTATTACAACCACATTTCAGACCCCGTGAACCAATAATCATCGAATATGAAGTCAATACCCGAAAATCAACCACTCTTGGCGAATGTGTAATCGATATCCCCGTAGAATTACCTATTAATCTTTCAAGAGCTCAAAAGGAATTGGTTGAAGTTAATAAAGTCGCAATTGAGAATTTGGCAAAAGCAGATGCTACCATCCAACAATTAAATCAACGGATTTCGTTAGGCATTGTGGCATTACAGAATGCTAATTTGAGAGAGAATTTCTATCGCGAATTAAGTGAAGATCCGACTGGGTTTGTTGAGAAATGGATTGAAAGTCAATCGAAAACTTTGAAAGCGTTGAAGAGCGATGAAGGATACGACGAAGAGTTGGTTAGACATGCAAAGTATTTCCAAGAGAATGAGGATTTGATTAAAGAAAAAATCGATTTATTACTTGGATCAGGTAGATTTTAGATGTGTGTTAGAGTTATGTTGTATAGTAGGTTTTTTCTAATTGGCTATTATTATATTGCTAAAGTTACATAAAAATTATATAATGAAAGTCTTGTAATATACATGTATCAATTGTTCGATCAATCTTGATACTCTTCATCTTCATCATCTTCAGAGATGTTCTCCTCTCCTTCGTAATCATCATCATCATATGCACCATTTTCATCGATATACTCTCCAGAGCCTTCAGCTTCAATCGCAGTTTTATATTTCTCAGAAGCACGGGCGTCACTATAATCTACAACTTCTCTCTTTCTTCTCGTCGCTCTCGAATCTAAATTCAGTTTCCTTAACTCTTCTTGTGAGGCTAATAATGGTAAGATTCCGCTTAGGTATTCATACAATGCCAAAACCGGTCTATAAATCTTCGATGCCATTGGAATAACAACCACGGGTTCCTCAGTTTCAATCATACCCAATCTTCGACCAAGAAAGTTAACAAATTCCCCTAATTCACTGACATCCTTTGCAACCTCATACCAACACTCGCTCTCCTCCACCGGCTCTGATTTCACTTCCATCCCGTTGTCATCAAACTCCACCCCATCACTCGTTAAAGCAGCCACCAACATCAGATGTACATCCTGGACAAACACTCCAAATCCAGAAGGAACTTCTCCACCAATAGCAGCCGCATTCAGCAAGCCCCAAATCTGACTCATTTTCCTCACAGAATTAAGTCCACCATTACTACCCTCATCCATTCTCACAAAAAACACTCTTCCAATACCAAAACCCAAATCACCAATCACAGAGGGTATCAATCTAAGTCCCATAGAATGGACCATGGGGTCAGACATAGGATCAACGTATTTCACCACACCGGCGTCGTCATCTTTTCTTTTGGTGAGTTTGATCTCCGCCTCGCGTTTCGTTTCTTCAGTATGTTTGAATCCGTAGAGGACTGATCGCGCGGCGTAGTAGGTTTCTTTATCCCCGGGTAAATCTTGAGCATGGACTGATCGGGTGATTGCGGATTTGATTATGTCGGATGTAGAAAGGGACCATTGGATAAGTGTGCGGATGAGGATGAGTCTGTCTTGAGGATTAGAGAGGGCTGCAAGTCCGTGCGATTCGAATAGTGGAGTAGTGTAGAAGGGGTTGAATGTGATTAGGTATTCTTGATTCTGGGGGAGTTCGGAGATATGGATCTCCGGATGAGAGGGGTCGACTGGGGATTGAATGGAGTCTGGAGAAGGTGGGTTGGGGTGTGGTTTGAGTTGTTTCCATTCTTGTGGAAGTCCGAGGGAGATTGACATTGGTTTTAATTCTGCAATCGCTTTGGCGATCGACGTGACTGGTTTCTTTCGATTTAGGACTAATGTCAACAATTTCTTGAATAATGATTCCATTTCAGGTGATATCTCATCAGTTCCCTCCGTTTCCTCCTCATTCGCCAAAGAAACTTCTCTCGCGTTGTATTTATCATCACATATCCCGTCACTTCCAACCTTGGGCAATCCTAACCCTTTTTCAAAATCTTTAGGACCTAAATTGGTTTCCATCGGTATAACGTCCTTAAACTTATTCAAAAATCCAACAATAAATACTAAATCACTAGCATAGGGGGATTTAATACACGGGAATCCAAGGGCGATTTTTTCCTTTTTGGCTCCTTCAAAATATTCATCTGATAAATTGTCATCATATAAATCATAATACAATCCGACTAACGGACCTGGTAATTGTCTTGTAAGTTTATTCCTACCGTTTTTGACAGTGGTTCTACTTGTGGTTTTGGTGAGAGAAAGTTTAAGTTTCTTTTTGGTGGTGGCGGCAGCTTTAGCAGGTGATGATTTTCTCTTTGAAGCTGCTGGTGTGTCTGAGGACGCAGTAGATGAGAATCCTATAGGTTTTGGGGCGATTTTGGTTAATTTTGAAGGCGTGGGTTTGAACGTTTTGTTTCCCAATTTAAGAATTAATTTAGGTGCTTTCTTTTTGGTGCCTGAAGGGGAGGTTGATTTCAGTACGGTCCCGTTTATAGGGGGATCTGACTTTTCTGTCGTAGGGTTGGATTCGGCATCTCCCTCACTTTCTATTTCTTCAACAACTTCTGGAGTTTCCAGCAAGTCCCCGTCGCCATTATTTGGGGATTCTTCTGATTCCATCGTATCATTCTGATCACCGATATGTGAAGATTCCTTTGATTTCTCTCCATTGGAACTACCATTTGAATTATCATTATTGATTTCCAATCCAATTGAAGTATTACTATCTTCACTTACAGTAAAATTCAAAGTAGCTTGTCTCTTTCTAACAGAATCTAAAGTAACTCTTCCTCTTGGACTTTTCCTAACACCAGCTTTCCCACCTCTTGAACCAGGACCTTGTACAGGTTGAGAATCCAATCTAAATTTTGATATTATTGATTCATTATAATTTTCAGAAGATGAATTTTCAGGTTGTGGCCAATTATTGGAAATATGTTTCCGAGGTCTACCTAATCGTTTTGGTTTTTCATCTGGATTATATTGAACTAATTTAACTGCTTCATCTTCTTCTGTTTCTTGTTTTGTTGAATTTTCTTGAGTGTCGATATCTTTTGAATAGTCATTACCATTTTCATTGAAGTAATTTTCATGATTCTGTTCATTTAAACTGTTTAAGATATGTAACGCAGCCTCAGTAGTTGATTCTTCTACTTGGGGGAGTGGAATATTGTCAGTTTCTTTAGTCGCCGAAATGAAGTCATAGTCAAAAGTAGTATCCTGTCTATGTTCGTTGGTAGTAATATCAGTATCATCTACTTGGTTGGTGTCAACCTTAGTGTTGTGAGATAAATCACTAGTATTATATATATGATGATCTGCTGCTACAGCAGGATCAATGTTTGAATCCATTTAACTTAGTAGATTTTATATATCCTTGTATAGGTAAAGTAATTTGTAACAGAATCGATTTGAACGTAAATGTTGAAATTTTTATTTTTTTTGTTTTTGTTAGTTAAAGAATAAATTATGAACAGGAATAAGAAAGAATGAAAGAATTCAGGGCGCTGAAATTGAAAAGAAAAACAGAAAGCCAAACGAAAGTTGAACCAATAGAAGAAGACCTTAATACATTACACGTCATATGATAGAACTTTGTGAGACAGTAGAGAAGTCATCCAAATCAAAATGAAAGGAAATGAGGATGTGATTCAGTGATTGTTTTGAGTAGGATATAGTAGTACACATTCCCCAAATAAGGTTACTACGTTCAGACATTTTTCATATCATGTCACGAAATACTTTTGCTTGATCTTAGTTGAATGTTGTACAATAAAGTTAATCACCAAATAGATAATGCCCTGCGCACTTGGTAGCTCTCTGTACACTCTGAGTAATAAAAATACCACCAAAAAAAAATTGTAAAAAGACGCGTCTTCAACATCACGTATTTGTTCACCAATACATTCACGCTTCCTATTTAATTCATCAATTAAGATAAAGCAATATGTCAGACTATAATTATGGTAACTATGGAGATGGTGGTTTCAACACAGGCACTCACTCTGCAGGTGGTGGAGGTGGATTCTCTGCTGATAATAGTAGTTCTCAAAAACAACAATTAAGAACAAGTTTAACTCCAGTAACAGTTAAACAAATTAATGAGGCAACTCAACCTATACCAGATGGTGAATTCAAAATACATAATGTAGAATTAAACATGGTTTCATTTGTGGGTGTAGTAAGAAAAGTAGATGTTCATGCTTCTGCTGTGGTCATTACTGTTGAAGATGGTACTGGGTCTATTGAAGTACGTAAATGGATTGATGAAGGTTTAACTAATGTTAATCAAGAACAAGAAAAATTCCAACAACAATTAGATAAATATGTGTTTGTTGGTGGAGCATTAAAAGAATTCAATAGTAAAAAGAACATCCAAAATGCTCATGTTTATCCAATTACCGATTCCAATCAAATCTTATATCATCATCTTAGTGCAATTGAACTCCATTTGAAATCTCAAGGAGTACCAAGTTCTAAAGCTAATAATAGCAATAGCTTATTCGTTAGTAACCCAAATGAAAACCAAGCTCCATCTGGATCGTTGTCCGATCAAATATTGGTAGTATTAAGATCTCAAATTCAAACTATGCCTGAAGGAGTTCCAGTTTCATATGTTGCTCAAAAGTTAAATATTGCTTACGAAGTTGCAATGAACCATTGTCAAACATTAGCTGATGATGGGAAGATTTATGCTGGTTATGATGAAACTACTTTTCTTTGTATTTAGGAGCCACAGGTTAAGTAATTTATATAATCAATACATCAATACAATTTGAGTTACTCTATTACAGCTAACCCATGGGCCCAACAAATTGGGTCAAGGGCCGAATAACTTATTTAATCAATACATGAAGAAAGTTTTATTTCCTCTAGTTAGAAGAAAGCAGGTGTCTCAATTCTATGTCCCAAGACATAGAACGATATATCTACTACTTGGATTAATAAACTTATCGAATAATGTGATATCAATTAACGCGTTGATACAGATTGTAGTTTTATATATGCAGAACTCTAGTTCCGGCATAACAACCGCTGAATTGAGATCATATTTCATAGCCTTTAGTCTTTTGACATACGCCCTTGACCCCATTCAACATTGGGCATAATGATCTCCAAGAATCAGAAAAAGACTCCCAGCTACAATTAAAATACATATCAACCAAACTTCATGATTCTAGTTATTCCAGCAGCAAATGGCTTAATTAACACCAATTCAAGAATCAGAGAATTAACGAGATAAACTTCTATATTAATGTGTTATTAGTCTTCTTTTTAACAATCCTACTAGTTTCTGGTAGTTTAAGCGTAAGTCTTCAGTTATTCGTTTTATATGGAAACCCGTATATAAACTAAAGTAAGAATACTAAAATCTATTAGATTACAGTAAGATTTTTTAAAATAAAAGCGTATTTTCTAAACAAAACCATATTTCAAAAATGCGGGGAATCCATTGGTTTGTAAACCTTCGCCAAGCATCAATAACAATTCTGAATAATCTTAATTTGGATATAGATTTAATTGATTTAGTTGGCAAATAAAGTTAATAAAAATTAATAGCTGGCAAATAAAGTTCTGGCAAATAAAGTTCATAAAATTAATAAAAAAGTAAACGGGGATCATACCCATCTCCAAATTTACCAAGTGGTAACTGGGAAATATGTTGATTTCTGAAAACTTAATGCAATGGTTTGTTTGACAGACGGAGTTTATAAAGCATTAAAAGGCTGCGAAAAATTCTCACATGCACTGGTTTGCAGCCTGGTTAACTAAATGATGTGATGTTTTGTTTAATATCCCTAAATTTTGAGCAAGAGATTAGTTATGAACTGAAGTAGACTTTATAATTTTATGTCTTCACCTTTGGAATTACTAGCAGATGATCGGGCTCGTAATCTTCCTACATATGCTGAGAAATCCCTTCTCGCAAGGAATTCGAATCACGCTCTTAAGGCATTTGGTTAGATGCCTCGCAATATTCCCGCCTAAACTTTACAGTGGACACAAAGTATAAATACACCGTTATTTGACTTACAGTTGGCTATTCGGGCAGACAAGATATATTCTCTATCAACTTTCAAAACAAAAACAAATCATGCTTTATCCTTATATTCTAGCTATGATCTTGCAGGTCATTGCAGCTTTAGAATTCTCAAACAATTATTATGTTATTACTGAATCATACGGTGGGCTGGGCGAAGACATTTTGGTTACCCTGACAGGAGGCTTGTCTCTCGTCGACCTTGATTGGCTAACTATTAATTTGTTAGAGAACTATAATCTCATGTATATCGAAACCAACATCCAACCAACTGGGGAATATTTTATCAATGTTGTTAGGAATTCCGGACGTTTCCATATTATATCATCGGCTCCGAATACGTCTTTTCGTAATTACTATTTATACAACTATGACACAATCACCATAGCAGCTGCCAGGTATGGTGATTTGGTAGTAAGCCTTGACTACTTGGAAAACCACGGGGATCTTTATCTTGTCAATGTCGATTTTCCATTTCGACAGGGCCCAGTTGGGGTTGCCGGGCCGCAAATGGTGGTAGGTCGCTTTTGTGTTGAAGGTTCCCACTTGCAGGTGAAAAGTTTAGAGTGGCTGAATGAACTGGGGTGCGTGGAGCTTCATCGAAGCATCTTGGAAATCGATATAATGTGGGCGGGTATAACATGCTTGGAGGAATCCGTCTTGTTAGCTTCCAATCCAAGAGAGACTTTCACAGTTGCTGGTTTTGGTAGAAATAGTTTAATCAAAGTACTCAATGCTGATAGTAGTAGAATATCATATGAATCAACCCTTTTAAGAATAGGTGATTACCGATTTGAAATTGGACCTGGGTATGGCTTTGATAAATTCTCATTCGAAAATGACCAATCTGAAACCAATGTACTAGTCATCTCGTATCCTGATTCTGCCGGAGGTGGTGTGGGATATGATTGCCCCTGTGAATGTGATTTTGACATCTTACCTGAAAGAGCTCTACGGTCAGATGACTACGGGAAATCCAGCACAGCTCGAGAATCAACTACCCCAACAAATTCAGAGACAGAAGAAACCACAGAGACAGAAGAACCTACAGGGACAGAAGAAACCACAGAGACAGAAGAAACCACAGAGACAGAAGAAACCACAGAGACAGAAGAATCTACAGAGACAGAAGAAACTACAGTGACAGAAGAAACTACAGAGACAGAAGAAATCACAGAGAGAGAAGAAACTACAGAACAGGTTGAATCTAATACAGGAGAAGGCTCGGAAACGACTGAATATTTTACCACTTTGGAATCAAGCGAGATATTTGATGAAGCGACTACAACAGAATTCGAAACATCAGAACCCCCCATAAAATCTGAATCAAGCGGCCGAGAGTTGGAGTCCACAAATACAGACCTAGAAACCTCAGAAACCTACTTACCAGAATCCAATGATGAATCAACTTCGTCTGAATGGTCCCAATCATTTATTTCCGTAGAAACTGAAATTGGAGAAACGTCCGAGGAACCTAGCTTCGAATCTTCTATAAAACCCTCAAGTAAAGGGGATAAGTCAGACGAAAGAAGTACGGAAGTCTCCATTGTATCACCCGAAAGTGAAGATTTTGAAACCACTCAAGAAATAACTACCGAGTCAACCTTTGTTCAAACAGCAGATCAAGTACCATCCAGTCGAATAAGAACAGATTATTTCACTGTTGAGGCTGAAGATAATGATTCTTCACAGCTTGTGCCAGATTCGACTTCATTGGAATCGAGTGGTATTCAACTGACTGATACTTGTTCCCTTAGCAACGACGAGGAATCAAGTGCTCGGTGCACCAAAAATTCCGACTGCAATGGTGAATCAGTTTCAAGTTCCATTGTTTCGAGCACTATAACTGAAGTAGTTATGATCACTGACTGCGAAGGTTCCAAAAAATGTACGTCTTGCATTGCTAATTCTACCAAAACTGGAAGTGGCAAGACTGTCTCAAAGAAAGCTGTGGAAACTACCACCACTTTTACAGTTCTAACTACTCGCGAGAAAGTAACACGTTCTGGGATGGCAACTACTATTCCCACGACTATTATCAGTATTAGTACATATACAATTGATCTAATTGAAGAATCTAGTCCTGTTACTATTGTAGTAGATACTGATACTACCGGTGAACCCATTGGAGCTTATGACGATAAGAGTCGTGGTACCATTGCCTTTTATGGTCCTCAAGGAAGCTCAGTTCAATCAAATTCGGTAGACATTTCTACGTCTGAAGTCATTGAAGATTTGATTCCCCCAGTAACCACTGATATGCCCTCTGCTGGGACTGCTGTTAAGATCTCTACTCCAATATTGGTTCTTTCCCTACTAGTTAGTTGTTTACTGGTCTAGATATTTTTAGTGTTTTATTTTATATAGTTCTAATGTTTTAAGTGTATAGTTAAGATTCTTCAAATCAGTATGCCTCCATGGGGAGATTTCCTTATTATTATTGGACTTTTTCAATCACCTAATTGAATATAACTATTTAATAAACGAACGACAAACCTATAGACTTATTCTAATTGAAAGGGACCTACAGGAATTCAAGTTCTTTCCAAACTTGATCAAGAAATTCTATGTACTTTGTGATAGTTGGTGTGGTGTCTTACTGTTCTGTTACATGGTATGTTTACACAAATAGTTGGCTACGTAATCGTTGCACAAAGCTTGACTCTACATTCACTCTAAACAACTAATTACAAGTTATACATATATAAACTACTCCGTCTCTTCATCAATCATTGGGTTATGTGATTGTAGTTTTGCACTAAAAAACGCGTCCCATAAATCGAAGTTAGTCACTGATTCTCCTTGTGTCATCCCTTTATTAACCAACGTATCTGTCCCTCCTGCATTCATCAACGTCAATGAATCAGCCTTACTCAAATCCTTCTCTCTAGCATTTGCAATCAATGATGCTGTTCCTCTAGACGCCAGCGCTTGAGGTGTTGCTGACTCTTCACGCTCCGAAACAGGTGTCATTCTATCACCACTACGTTTTTGTTCTCGAATGTATTTCAACCTCTTTCTGGTTGACATTATAATAATACTCTCTTCTACAGTATTCTCAATAGCAAACATCCACACGGTTGTTGGTTTCGTTTGTCCAATCCGATGAATTCTCGATATAGCTTGTAATTCCAAACTAGTATTCACTAACGGTTCACACAAGAAAATATGAGTTGCATTAATCAAAGTCAAACCAGCAGCCTGTGCTTTTGCATTCAACAAGAAGCAAGTGATTTTATTCTTGGGATCTTTAAAAGTTTCCACCGAATCTAATTTCTTCACTCTTCTGCCGGCACCGATTTCCGGAGTTAGGGTTCCATATGATCCAATGAATGAAATATCCATGGCTTTGAAAGCACACCCTAAGATATACAACATATCTTGCCATTGACTAAATATGACAATTTGAACATCGGGATCGCGACTCTTGAGATATATCACTTGCTTAACAATCATGTCGACTTTGGAACTATATGAGGATTTCAAATTGATTTCTTGAATTTGTTCAATATCTTTGTCAGGTAGGGCCTTATATATCGAATGTAATTCATCTTGGTCTGTTGGTATAGCTAATGAATCATCCACTTGTTTTGCTTTGAGGTCAGGTTTATAATGGGTGAAATTATAAACTGTAGATGTGGTTATCAACGACTTACACATGGGACATGAATGACGATTCCGTAACCAGTGTTCCAAACATTCTTTACAATATTTATGTCCACATTGTGTTAACGAACCAATTGTGATTGTTGATCGACAAATAATACAAATCAAGTCCTCTTCCTCTTCTTCAGCCTGCTTGTGATTATGTTGAGTCGATTTATCAACCAAAGTGGTCAAATATCTAAACTTGGCAATCGATTTATCTATCCTCTGTTTCAAACTAACTTGTTTCGAATAATACTCCCCAATTTTAATCATCAACAATGATTTATCCAATCGGTCTCGACTGAAATTAAAACTAGCTGGTTTAACAGTATCACTAATCTGTTGTAATCTTTTATAATAATCAATCCTACAATTAAAAACAGCATTACAATTCAAATTTAGTTCTCTTTGCATCAAAACAATCGCCAACCGTTGATTATCCAACAACACGCCCAATCTATCGGTCATATCCTTCACTAATTGTATTTGTACTCCCAGTAACAGCTCTTCTCCGTCTTCTTGAAGGGTATTTATACTCACAACCAATTCCTGCAACGAACAGTTCACCGCTGGTTTAATTTCATCACGTTTCTTCCCCAATTCAGTTAAAAATCCCACATCATTCAACTTCAGCAATTCCAATTCCTGTTCACGTTTCTCTTGAGCCCGCCTGACTCCGATTATATTTATCGAATTCTCAGTTCCTGTGATAAATTCACTCCGGTCCCCAAGGGTCTTCGTAAGGATGTATAAATAGCTCGAGATTCGGTCTTGGTCAGCGATAGTGGATTCATATTCGTTTCCCTGCGGATTTTTATCTTGGGATAAGACTGGGGACGAAAGAAGGGTGAGAAGTTCTGACATCCACTGATTTATGACTTCTGCCTGGTTGTTGAGTTGGGATAGGAGCGATGCTACTTTATTGACAAATATTTCAACCTTGAATGAGACAATATAATTACCAAAACCAGACGCATCCATGACAGGAATTGATTTAAATAACTTCTTAGAATTCTTTGGAAGTAATATCGTACCATCGTCGAGATAATCAGTGGTTGATTCTCGATTAGTTATTCTAGCTTTGATTAGCTTTTCAACATTCATGATCGACAATTTCAAAATATCTCCTCTTGTCCGTTCTGCCAATTCATAATATCTCAGTTCATACCATTTAGTCCTGGCAATTCTTTCATTTGGTTCCTGACTCTGATCCCACACAAATCCGTTCTCAATCGGTTCTTCATCATTCAATATAAATTTCTCAACAGGGACTTGATTAACCAAACTTGCCAATTCGTTCGCGCGGGCNTCAATATAAATTTCTCAACAGGGACTTGATTAACCAAACTTGCCAATTCGTTCGCACGGGCTGATTCAGCCGATAGGTCAAACCATTTATGCATCTGTTCTGGAATATTAAAATCACATTTATGTTCCTTTATCAATGTCTGGAACTCCGGATCATAGGTTTGGAAATATGAGGATGCTAACAAGAAATAAAATTTATGCAATAGAACATTCCAATTCCTAAGTTTCAATCGGGTGGATTGGATTGTATCTTCAAGTTTCGCAAGTGATTCATCTTTTGGTTTACGCGATTTATGATCATCCGATTGAAGACTTCCGATCTCATCGTCCTCTTCTTCGTCTTCATCGTCAACCGTGCTTCCGTCCTGTTTGTCATGCTGCTTTTTCCATTCAGATCGCTTTTGTTTATACTCCCTTATATATTCCGCTAAAATCAATTCAGTCCGATATATAATCTTCCTTGTCTCGCCAGCACCAATTTCCAAAAACTTCAAAGCCATTTCCGGCCAATACACATATTCCAAAAACTCACCTACATCAACATATAATTCAATCAACGACTTTTCAATAAATGTAATGTCATTATATGCATTATTCAACATATCATTTAACAAATTCTCTAAAGTTTGTAATCTCAACAATCCTCCACCGCTCCCACCAATTTCTCCCAATCCACGTAAACCACTAATATTCGTCTTTCGATACTTCTTCGATCCCACATTCAACACTCCAATTTGCGGCGAACAACAAATCTGCCTTAATCGAGAAAGCCAAGTTCTCATATATGATAACACCAATCCCAGCGGCTCCCAATCCAGTGAAATCGGATTTCCATTCACATCCAAACAAATAGCCGCCAAACATTCTTCAAACCTTTGATTATAAAAATCTTGTTCAATAGGCGTAAACGGAATCGTTAATAATATTCGTTGTTGTGGAGGAAGTTGAATATCATCATGCACCATTGCTTTCGTATGTCGTATTGAAATCTTGGTCCATAATCTCACGAAATCTTCTGTGGTCAATTTATCCCAGATATTTGACCCCATTTCACCCATAAATGGGAGATATTTCAAGAATTGTAATGTGGATAACAAATCCCGCAAATCCTTTTTGATGGGGGTTCCACTTACACCCCAAGCGTGAAATCGGGGGATAAGAGCTGCTGATTGGAATGCTCGTGAATAGGTGGAAGAAACCATTTGGACTTCATCGAGAACAACTCGCCAGAATTGTGTTAGCATTAATGGAGATTCATAATCTACTGTACGATAAATTTCTGGGACACGGTTGTGTTTGATAGCGAGATGGATTTCATCTTGAAGGGCTTTTTCGTAGTCGGTTTCGGTTTGGGTATTGGTGGATCTTATATTTGCCTTTCCTGAAGGTTTTGAATGGGTCATTGTAAGTTGGAAAAGGGATTTATAGTCTTCTAATAACGCTTCTTGTTCATCTCTAGTATCTGCTACTGACCTCTCTTCTTGTTCATCCTCTCCATCTTCATCGTCACCCGTATCAATAGTCGCATAATTCACTCTTTGTTTCTTTCTCCCCATTCTTGTCTTCTTATTGGTTGAAGAATACTTGGCATAATCCAACTCCTTCGAAATCGTAGCATATGTCGTAAAAACCACATCAAATTTCCGTAAATATTCTGCAATTAATGCTGGTTTATTTTCTAATTTCGGATATCCATTTACTCCAGCATATACAGTCACCGCCAAACTAGGAGCCAAATGAACAATTTCTTTCACCCATTGTTTCAATATCGATTCAGGAGCAATCACTAAAGTTGTTTTTGCTTTCACGATCGTTTTCATATCCCCAAATGAGTTCAATTGAATCTTGACTGGTTCATTGATTTCCAGGATTGGTCTTTGGTTCAATAGGATCAAAGTTGTGATTTCGACGGTCTTTCCGAGACCCATTTCTTCACATAGGAGTCCTTGGGCAGGGAGGACGGGTGGATAAGTGTTCTTGTCAGCGTCGTTGTGATATGATAGGATATATTCTATCGCTTGTGGACGCAGAAGGGTTTGTGAAGTGAGATGGTTGTAGAAATATAGTTTGTTGTCGATTATTACCCGTTTCCAACCAAAACAATGTTGATTTAGGAGTTTGTATAATAGTTCATCTTGTTCTTCCTTTTCCGTGGGTTCGGAATTGAGTAATTGGAGATCTAAATCAGATAAGAATGGTACTGGTTCTGTACGATTGGTTTCTTTATTAAGCTTAACATTCTCCATTCCTAATAACCAATTCACGGTCTTTTTTTGAAATCGTAATAAATTAGTTTCTAATTCCGGTATATCAAACGATTCCTCATATTTCGGCATCAACGCCGTATTCTCCGAAATACATCTATAAAACAAACTAGGACTAATTTCTTCCTCATCATCCTCCACTACCCCATATATCATCACCTCATTCTTAGTTGGAAATGGCACAATCTTCTCCTTCAACAAATTATTAATCCTAACCAAAACATCATATTTCCCACTCAGGTATAAATCACAAACATACCCAATCCTATATTCAATCTCCACCTCGATTTTACTATTTGCAGTATCGAAACCTAATTTCAACCTCGGTGGTATATCAACCAATATCCCACTCTTGAGCTGTTGTTGTCGTTGAAGATTTAATAAATAGACTTCATCGGAAATATCTTGAGACATGGTCATACTGAATAATATCCTCGAGCGTGATTTTGCAATCTGTTTGTTCTTGATATATAATAACCCATCGGTGATTTTGAAAAATACATCACTTGATTCAAATTCGTAGTAGGTGGAACTGGAGGTGGAGGAGGAAGAAGAAGTGGTTGGTGTGAGGCAATTTAAGAACTTTCCGTAGATTGGGACAGGCGAAATATCTTGGAATTTAATATGTCGATGCACAAGCGAGATACTTTCCAGTAGTTGTTCATCTACAGAGTTAGCTTCTGATGGGTTTAGCTTTCTTCTTTTATTGGAGTTGAGTTTGAGTTCTGTTGATTTAGTTATGAATTGTGACATGGCGTATAAATCAAAATGAATTAATTGCGCGTTGCTAAATGAGGAACTTGAATCTGTTGACTGTTGGGGTTGAAGGTCTGGTTCTAATTGAACCATCTCAATATTTTGTGGTGGAAGTGAGAAGGATGACATCGTTACCCCTGTCTATTCGATCGTATATATCCTGTTTACTTTCAGAATAATGAAAAAGGAAACCGTTATCTGAATTGACAGAACAAGCTTTTTTAAATTTTTTTTTTTTGCCTATTTGCCCCGGACAATGTAGAGCTACCAAATGATTTTATAATCAGGAAATTTACGAATACTTCCTCATCAGTATGTTACCATTGTAGACTATTAATAAATTTACAGAGATCAATTCAAGATATGCAAAATAATGTTTAATATTATATTTATCTATAAACTTAATCCTTATAAACAAAACTTCTTTTTTCTGAAAATTAACAATATCAAATTGATCAATCACACCTAAACATCTCTCTCTCCTGATAATACTAACATACATTTCAATGTAACACGACATTAATGTCATTGCAAACAAGAAACTAGCTGATCGGAATAGAAACTTGTTTAAGTTTCCTTCTTTCCAAAATCGACGCCCCACCAAGATTTAAATCAAATACCTTCTGTTGTGGACTAATATGAGCTTTATATTGTTGATGATGAATTCTTCTATTATCAACTTGTTTCACATACTTTTGTTTCTCAGTTTGACGTTTTTCATACATGACTAAATTCTCTTGTTCTTCTTCATCTTCCAGTTCTTCCTCTTCAACAAGATCTTGCATTGGAGGTGGAATGTTGGCCGAAAGTGCTGCTTCTTCATTCATACGATGTACGGCTGTTGAAATATCAAAAGCGTCCCGAAGTGCCACTGCTGCTGGTGAATATAATTCAGGGTCGAAATTATTTTGAAATTTCTTGGAATATTTATTAACTGATTGAATTGGATGTTTGGCATTAACAGTCGCAGCTGCTGCAGCAGGAATTGATTCATTGATTGGACTTGGAACTGTTGGATATTTGTTTGAACCTTTCTTTATCCATGGATCTTGTAAGAATTCCAGAATTGTATATCTTTTTCTCGGATCTACTGTTAATAATTTACTTACACATTTTTTAGCATCATAACTAATTTCATCCCACCAAGGTTGTAAAAATGTATATTCACCCCTGGCGACTTTTTCAGTCAATGTTTCAATTCGTTCATCATAAAATGGAGGGAATCCACATAATAAAGTATATAATACACATCCAATTGCCCACATGTCAACTTCCCGCGAATATCTTTCATCTCTTACAATTTCCGGGGCGGTATAACCAACTGTACCACAAGGGGTTTTGGTATTATGTTCCCATATTTGTTTTGATAATCCAAAATCAGCCAATTTAACAATTCCAATACCACCACCTCCTACACCAGGTAAGAATTCTCCTTCATCTTTCTTGGTATTTGGATCATCTGATTTACGTAATTTAGCACGCGGATTGGAACTTGGATAATGATCAATGGGGAAAAATAAAAGATTTTCCGGTTTAATATCTCGATGAACGATACCAACTTGTTCATGTAAATATTTAATAGCATGAGCAACTTGAACAATTACCCAACGAGCTAAATCTTCTGAAAAATAAGTATATTTAACCACGGCAGTAAATATTTCACCACCAGGAGCTAATTCTTGGACAATATAATAATAAACTGAAGAATCAATAAATTCAATAAATTTTACAATATTTGGATGATTTAATTGTCTCATTATTGTAACTTCTTTCAATACTGCATGCTTTTGTTTTTCATCCATTTGAAATTTACGTAGTACTTTAATGGCAACTTCTTTCTCAGTACTAATTTCTCGTGCTTTATAAACTACTGAAAAGGCACCTTCACCCATTTGTCCTAATATTTCATAACGATCTAAATCAGGGAAGTTTCTTGAAGTCTGTTGTCGTTCTAAACGTTCTTCTTCTACTAATTGGGTGGCAACAACACTATAGTTTTGTTGTTCCTGTTGTTTTGGTTGATCTCCTTCATAACTCATAATAGCATCATTTAAAGTAGCAGATGTACCAAATGTGTCATCTGTGGCACCACCTTGATGAGTGTAATTTGTTTGGTATGGGTTATTGTTGTCGTTGGTATTGGTATAAGTAGTTGGTGTTTGCAGGGAATCAGAATTTTGTATCTCCAATTGATATTGTTGTTGTTTCTGTTGTTGTTTCTTCTTTAGTTCATTGGCTTGCTTACCATGCCTTATAAATGCTTTAAGGTTTTCAAACATCTTTGTTGATTTATTTAAAAATTTGTTTGAAAGAATAAAATGGGAATCAATCAGTTTTGATTTTTGTTAAAAATGGATCTTACGGGAAACAATTAAAATTAGGGGGAACCAGGAAAAAAAAAAAATATTTTGGTTAAGGTTTTAAATTTGGTTGTGAAAACAATTAGAAAGAAGACGACGATGACTATCAAGTAATCGGGTAAACTTTCTTACTGTGTAAAATGAATAAACGGTTCCTGTTTTAACTAAAAGATTTTTAAATTGAAAGAGAAGGAAAAGTGAAAAAGATTAATTGGAATTTGTCATTGTATTATATAGTTACATGTATAAACACAAAAGGATCATCATATAATATGGGATATTATTCTCGTAAATTAAAAAAGAACGTGTGACGTAAGTAATTCTTCTTAGAATTGGGGACAATATTAAAAATATTCACAAAAATTTCTTGGACGTGACAGATTGATAGGAGAAAGAGAAAAGTAACACGGCAAAATGAGATTGTCTATAAAAGAATAATACGTCATCAGTGATTAGAATCATATGATTTCGAACTTGTAAAATACTTCTTTTTAATTAAATGCCATAAGAATAGAAATGTAATTAAATTATAAATAAACTCTTTCGAAACAGTGTAAATAAACTTTTTAATTAGATTATGCCCTTACGGGGGGGGCAAAGCAATTAGAATGGGCGAGGAGGGGGGAGTTAATTAGTGAGACATTGACAGTAGAAAAAAAAATAATGGTGACGATTATTACTACGTCATTAATATTAGACAAAAGGGTCATAAGGTATACATAATAGAATTTTCTAGTAGGTACAAATACACAGAGTGTTAACCCCAACTATATGATGAAAAACAACAACTAGTATGATTAGTAAGAAATAAGAATGTGGTGGTTGATCTTAACAAAGGGAAAAGTCAGGTCGTGTATTACATGATAAAATTAATTTAATTGCTTTTTTTATTATTCAACGGTTTTATCATTTTCTTTTTCACTTACCCTGACTTTAATTTTTCACTCAATATATTCGAGTACACATTCATTTCCAACTCCTTATCAGTTTATTTTCTCTTCCTTCTTCTTTCCAATATTATAAAATACTATTACTAGAAATAACTTACACCACTATGACTGCTGCTGCTCCTATCAGATCCCCTGCTACTCCACCTGCTATTGTCTTCACTGATTGGGACGGTACTGTCACTTTACAAGATTCAAATGATTATATCACTGATAATTTAGGTATGGGACATCCTAAAAGAATGATTATTAATGATAAAATATTAGATGGTACAACCACTTTCAGAGATGGATTCAGAGAAATGTTAGATTCAATTCATAAACCTTTCAGTGAATGTATAGAATACTTATTAGCCAATATTCAATTAGATCCCGGATTTAAATCTTTTTATGAATGGTGTCAAGCCGAAAATATCCCCGTGATTGTAATTAGTTCAGGTATGAAACCAATCATATCTGCTCTTTTAACTAATTTAATTGGTGAAGATGCCATGAAAAATATTGAAATTGTAAGTAATGATGTTGAAATTAATCCAAATGATGAATCTGATTGGGAAATCATTTATAGAGATCCTGAATCTGGTTTTGGTCATGATAAAGCAAGAAGTATTAAACAATATTTGGATAATCATGGATATACCACTAAAGATAATACACCAGTATTGTTTTATTGTGGTGATGGTGTAAGTGATTTATCAGCTGCTAAAGAAACTGATTTATTATTTGCTAAACATGGTAAAGATTTAATTAAATATTGTATTAGAGAATCTATTCCATATACTGAATTTAATGATTTCCAAGAAATCTTATCAAAAGTTCAAACAATTGTTAAACATAATGGTGATATTCAACAATTTATTGAAAACCCTTAGATTTGGGTTCATATATAGAGAGATTAGTTAGAACGGTTTATAGAGATTCAATAGATGGTTGTTGCATGTAACGCAACAAAGAATTACATTTGCTGTTTTCATATCCGTTGTAGAACTCTTGATTTAATTGGTTGATTTTTAAGTGTCTGAAGTGACCTTTTTTTTTTTGCAACCAATTTAATTTACAGACAACAAATCGATCAATTACATATTAATACTTATTAAAAAATGATATAAACTAATTAAAAAAACACATACAAATAGTCTATAAGAGAACCCACACACTCCTATTCTCTCACTCTCTAAAGGAAAACATGTTTAAAAGCTTCTTTAGCATCCTTAGTCAAAACATTTCCATGACACATAACAATCTTATCAAAATTCCATCCATAAATAGCTTCCAAACCAGGTTTACTCTTGTCAACATTCACAAGTTTTCTAAAAAGAAACCCCCCAACTTTTGAATATGGTTGCATATATCTTGTCATAAAACTCCACCCACCATGAGGATTGAACCCTTTTGGATATCCTGTTTCTGGTGAAAATTGTTCCAATGTAACCTTTCCACTAGTCAGACCAGGCACACCTAAATTAAACAACAAATCGCCCTCAAATACAGCCTTACTGCTCTTTTCATACATCACTAATTCTTGATTTTGATGAAATGGTAAATATACAAATTCGAAATTGTTAACAATAATTTCATCACCACCAACAATTGAAGCCAATTCATCACCTTTCAAAACTTTATTTCCTAATTTTGAAGTAAATAAATAATCAGTTGGCATATCGGGGATATTTTCCATAGCAATGATTTTCACATTTGGGAATTCAGTCTTGTATGATTTTGCAGCAAGGTTATGTTCACGATTAGGAACAATAACATGAGTGATATTATATTCTCCCCCCTCGGTTTCGGAATTGGCGAATTGGGAAAGAGTGGCTCGGACTTGTGGACCATAAGGTAATGGAGACCAGACTACTATGTTTTTGTTGAATTTGAATAATGCCATACGATTACCGAAATTGAATTTGTTAAAACGAAGGAAAGCACTAGATGCTAACATTACATTAGGGGAGATTGATTGAGTGACAATTTTGAAATTTGCTGGATAACCGTTCATGTTTTAGCTTTTGTTTGTTGTGTTGTTGTACTGTTGTACTGTTGTATTGTGCTGATGATAAGATTGGAAATGAATATTTGAGGAAGGAATTGAGATGAGTATTTATACCTCCTTGGAATAAATCATTGCTCCGGAGATTATCTCTGGGGAAAATAGAAGGGGCTGGGAAGAAGAGAAGAGCAAAAAAAAGATTCAGATTGAAGCCTAGACCCTTTTTAGTCATTATTTGATGTAATCTGACAATTATCATCAAATCATTACCCCAATAAATAATCTCAAATTACTAATTGAAAAATGTTTAATTTCTTTTAAAACTTATGTAATTGATGAACTAAAACTAATAATAATAAATCCGGTTGTAACCGGATATATTTCCTATATATGTCTTTATAACCGAACTGTTTATCACAGCCTCGAGGTATATCAAATCTCGGTGTTATCAATTGACCTCAGTGCTCTACTCTTCACATAGCCTTGATCTTAATTAATTTCCAAGTCATACAATACAAACGGTTCATAATCAGCATCTACTAAAGAAGCATATTCATGAAGATTTGAAGAATGAGAAGTATAATCACTTCCACCAAGATATCCAAATTTTGCAATTAATTCCTTTTTAGCTTTTGATAAATTTTTTAAATTATTTCCTTCAAATTTAATTAAATAATTATCAAATTGTGGTGGTAATCCATATCTTAATACTGCTTCAACATAAACTCTAATAACTTTCAAATGAAACCAATTTGCCATAATATCAGAATATGCAGTTTTGGCTAATCTAATTAATTCATTTTTCAGTTTTAATTCATTAGCTTTTGTTAAATCAAATTCTTTTCTTAAATTATTCAACATTTCTTCACTATATACAAAATCATTTCTTGGATGCCATTTTCTTTCTCTACTTGAATTAATAAATTCATTTTGAAATTTCTTAAATAAAGTCACAGTAAATAAACTAAATTCTTGATCTTTTGCAATTAATTCTGCTGAACGAGGGATAACAAATTCTGTTAAAGTTTCATAAGCTCCTTTAAAATCATTAACTAAATTGTTTGGAACCGCAATTAAAATCGTAGTTAAATGTTCCAGATCTAATACAAATTGTTCAGGTTTAACTATTTCATGTAATGATTTTATTGATAAATCACCATTCTTTTTACGATCAGCAGCTAAGAAATTAGATTTAGCAGTTTGATAATTTTGATAACTTGCTCTAACATCATTATCTAAAGCAATTGCTTCTCCACTTAATAATTTAACTAAAAAATTAATTGATTTATCTAATCGATATTTGGATGTATTCCAATTGAAATTTTGTATATAATCATATACTAATTTCAGTTGAACAATTCTAGCAAATGTTTTAGATGGAGTATCATTAATTGAATTTAAGATATCAATGATTTTCAGAATACTGGAACCTAATTGTTGATCAATCTTGGCAAGTTCTTCACTTTCTGTAACCAAAGAATCTAATGTCCCCGTTTGGAAATCGGGAACTTTAAGATTATATAAGGGTGAAAGTCCATTATTTAAAGATTGTTCTAACCATTCATGGGCATTGATGGATTGTGGCAACGAAAGGATTAGATATTGTGCTAAAGGTGGATTGGATGATGATGACATTGATGTGTGTATGTGAATTGATTGGGGATTATGTGGGGGTAGAAAAGGATGGGAATTGGTCTTATCGTGGAAAATCCTCCCGCGTTGAAATACACCACGAGTGGAAATGGTGACAATTTTGTTTGGTGGGATATTTGGTATGCGTAAATATCAGAATAGATTATGTATGTGAATCATTCTGACATATACGCCGGGACATTCAATTTTGCCATTTGCTTCACTATCCATTGTTTAACACATCTATAAAACCTATAATTCTTTCAATTACTACACTATGGCATGCTTCTGATCAGCCAAATTACTGACACCATACTCATAATGCAGTTCCATCACCTATACAACTTCGTAGCTCTATATTAAATTTTTCACCCCAAATGATCATCGCGATAAATCACTAAGAAAAAAAATTATTTATCAAAATTATTAAACCTCATCTCTAGCAATCTCCTCTAAACCAACCCATCTAAAGCCATGACCAACTCATTAGAAGAACGTCTCAAGATCCATTCCACCGCCTTTGACGGTCTTCTTTCCTTAATTCCCGCCAAATACTACTATGATTTAGCAACCCAAGATCAATGGAATGCCAAAAAGAAATCTAAATCGGAAATTTCTCAACATAAACGAGCTAAATTAAACCCAGAAAATCGGGAAATGGCAGATGAATATGAGAATTCTCATGTTTCTGCTAAAGATGTGATGGATAATTCGGTGAAGAAAGGTGCGAAGAAGGTTGAGTTGCCTAAGAAGTTACCTGCTCCGATTTATGACGATAGCGAAGAGGACGTTGAGATACCTGATATGGATGTGAGTGGAGACGAAGAAGAAGAAGAAGAACAAAAGGGAGAGGATGACGATGAAGGTGATATTATGACTAGTAATGGATTAATATTTGATGATGAAGGGAATGAAATAGAAGAAGAAGAACAAGAAAGTAAATTTGAGAAACAACAAGTTCAAAAGAATAAGAAGAAGAAACAGGAATTAAGTCCCGAAGAAAAGAAACAACGTGATGAGAAGTTGGCAAAATTAAGAGAACAGCTAGCAAGTAAGATTACTAATTTAAAAGAAAAGAGAAAAGCACCAGGTACCAAAGTTAGTGGAGCACCACAATCTCGTGAACAAATCTTAGCTGAAAGAAAACGAAAAGAAGAATTACGTAAAGAAAAGAGAAAGCATGCCGAGCTTGAAGATGATGATTCTGATTCTGATAGTGAAGGTGAAGATGTGGATGAAGAAGTAGAACAAGAAGAAAATAAACTGACTGTTTTGTTTGGAAATATTGTTTTCCAAGATGGATCTCAAGTTACATCTGATTTGACTAAACTTCGTAATACTGCTGAAAGAAAGAAACAAAAAGGACCAGCTAATAATGATTTAAAGGCCCATTTAAATAAGATTCAAAAGAAGAAAGAGAAATTAGCAACATTATCAAAAGAAGATCAAACTAAAGTACAAGAAAAAGAGAAATGGAAGAGAGTGATGTTACAAGCAGAAGGAGTCAAAGTAAAAGATGATGAAAAATTATTAAAGAAAGCTTTAAAACGTAAAGAAAAGCAGAAATTAAAGAGTGAAATTGAATGGAAAGATCGTAAACAGATTGTTAAAGATACTGTTGATGCTAGAGCTAAAAGAAGAGAAGCCAATTTAAAAGCAAGAAGAGATAATAAGAAGAAGAATGGTGGAGGTAAGAAATCAAAGCAACAACCAAAATTAAGAAAATTCACAGGAATTGTAAATAAAAAGAAGAGAGCAGGGTTTGAAGGTAGTGCAAAGTCAAAGGGTAAGAAGTAGAGAGACACTTAGTATTATATAGATAATGTAAAACACACACACTTAGTTAATAGATACACAATTCATACCATCATCCACAGTAAATTTTATCTTGTAACAAGCAACAAAGGGTTCCCCTTGTTTGTTAACAGCAAACAAAAAAAATCAACCAGCCATAATATTTCAATCTATGCGGCCTCGCGATCTTCTTTTCACTACTCACTTCTTCTTCTTCTTCTTCTTCAACAACATCTACTAACAAATCATGTCAGCATTACCAGAACAATTAAAGAAATATTTAACTCAAGTTGATCAAGTATGTTAATTACGCTCCAAGTCAATTGCAATTGGCCCTCCTTGTAACTGTGTCAAGTCAATACTAACCATTTCTGTTTCTTAGGCAACTGGTGGTTTACCCCTTTTACACCATTTTGAATCCAACACAGGATTACCAAGATCTTACTTTGTCATTGTCTTTGTCGCCCTCTATTTCGTGGCCGTCTTTTTAAATGTCGGAGGTGTTGGACAATTATTATCCAATATTGCTGGATTTGTTATTCCAGGTTATTATTCATTACTAGCACTTCAAACTGCAACAACTAAAGATGATACTGAATTATTAACTTATTGGGTTGTATTTGGATTCTTAAATGTTATTGAATTTTGGACAAATGCAATTTTGTATTGGATTCCATTTTATTTCTTATTCAAGACTATCTTTTTGTTATATATTGGTATCCCAGGTTTCGGTGGGGCTACTGCTGTTTATATTAATGTTATCAAACCATTTTCTGATCAATACATTGGAAAAGGTAGTGAAGCTAAAGATATCGCTAAGAAAATTGAGAAAGCAGCAGAAGGTGTTTCTTCAGGTGTTGAACTTTAAATTAGTTAGCTTGTATTTTCTGCCCTGTATGTATTATTGAAAATATATATATATGTATGATTATAATAAATCATTTATCAAATCATAAGGACCTTCATTCGGACCCAAATCAGTATAAAAACACTCAACATCCTCATATCCAGTCAAGGCCAACAATCTCACCTTTTCATGTCGTTGAAACAACTCCGAATCCATAATAAACGTTCTTAATCTCTCACTAAACCTAACCTCCCTAGTCCAAGGGACAACATGTGACACATTGGGAAATACCTTCATTCCAACACTTTTCCCAGCTGCTACTGGACAAGTATACGTCGTGATTAAACTTCTAGTATCTTTCCATTCGGGAGCAAGACTTCCTGCAAGTAATAAACTCATGGCCCAGAGTGGGACAAATCCAATGCCGAAATATGAACTTCTTACCAAACTCAATTCAATTGCCGATGTGGTTTCTTGAGTAAATGCAAACAGGATTTCTCCAGTTAGGTTGGTTTGATTGGCAGTTTCATGAAGAAGGAGGGTGATTCCATCAGGGTGGATTTCATGATGTTCATCACTGGTATAGAATTCAACCCAATTTTCGGGGATTTCAGAAAATTGGGAAGTAGTCAGGTCTTTGGTATTGGGGGTTATGTAGGTGTTTGTGTCCATTATTTGGATGATTAGTTGGTGGTTTGGTTCTAGGTGTTTATAATGCCTTTGAATGGTTTTTGAGAGGCGGGTGTAGTTTTCAACTTCGATTAATTTTGGGGTTGGGATTGGTGGTTCAGTATCTCCAGGGAATGGGTCTGAAACAACAACACCGGTGAGAAAAATGAGTACTGCTGATAGTTGTAACAAAATGATGTATTGTCTCATGGATCACGTCTATTGAAATGAAGTATTTGTAAAGACATATTGATTATTCATTTTTGATATGTGGTTCCACATTTTATTTTTTAGTAGAAATGGCTGCGAAAATGTTCTTCACGGGTTAGAAAGTTAGCACATTCCTCTGAAGAATCGACAACTCGACAGGTTAAACAAATATGACAAGCCATCCGAACTAAGGTCTTCTATTTTATTTCAATAGGCATGGCCTTCAATATAAATCGAGATGACCAGGATGGCTGTGCAACAATTGTATATGCAGAAGAATCGGATCATCAGGGCATTGCCAAGACAACCATCGGGAAGGGTGCATACATTTACATTTGCGCTGCAATTAATTAATAATTCGAAAATAGTCTCCAGATATGATGGGGTCTATATTTAGAAACAATTTAAGTGAAGGGTGTTTGATAATTGTAATTCGAATCATAATTGCACAGGGAAAACGGAAATGATATTTCCGTAAAGTTGTCACTTACATATTCTAGAAACAGACAAATCAAATTACGAAAAATGGCTTTTAACCAACAACTATGTAAAAAAAAAAAAACCTGGTGTCGTCGCTTATGATGCAATAGATCAGGAATCTTGTTGTTAGATGGAAGATTAAAGAGAGTTTGTCTATGCAGGAAGCAAGCAAACCAATAAACAAACTAACAATCGGAATCACAACCCTATTTTTTGCTGCATGACACGAATTGCTTCATTCCATTAGACGAACAATACCAGGGGGGGTTTGTAACTTTAATCAAAGAAAGACTACGTGTCCCATTGGCTAGCCTTTAATGTATGAATATGGTAATATCGTAACTTGTGCATATGAGTACTTTTAATAAGGCGCGTGGTGGGTAATTAACCGTGGGTGATCTAACAATTAATAAGTCACAAGTGTATTGTTAGATTAATTTGTTTTGGTGGCTTCAGCCGTACAATAGAAATGTTCTGTGCAGTATTCTCTCATCGTGTCATATTTCCGTACCTTCTTTTTTTTTCTCTTGCGGCTTACAATGGCTGGGGGATGTGAAATTTTGATGATTCTTTGTTGTTTATTCACTCACATGAAATTCATTAATCTTAAAAGCCTTTTATGTACAATTGTCATCTCTCAGCCAATCTCTGTGTCCAATAGTTAGCATTTGAAATTTATGAAATAATTATTATTTTCCTTCGAGTAAAGAAACAATGACGTCAAATCACCCCTCTCGCTCTTTCTCTATCTGGATCTCCTTCTTTTGGGTGAATAGTTAAGAACGCGGTTGCTATTTAAGTTCTGTAAATAAGCGTAATTTTATGTTTAAATTCTTTTTTGCTTAACTTTCCTTAAATTGTCTTTTTTTTACAACCATTTCACCTTAACCAATTATCATTCAAAAGTTTAAATTTATCTTTTTACATTATTTAAAGACATCAATTTATCCCTTCAATTGTCAATTTTAACCAAACTCCCTCATCTCCCCAATTGACAATTATATTATCAATTTTATTTAATCAAATTGCAAATATATTTTTTTCATAAGCGTTAATCAAATTATTATTACTTCAAGATGGCAGATGGCGATTCTCCAACAACGACCAATGCTTCTGTTTCACAATTCTTATCAACATTAATTCCAACTTTAATTACTGCTGTTGTATTTGTTACAATATTCTTGGCAATCAGAAAGAAACAAACTAGGGTCTATGAACCAAAATCAGTAGTTAAATCATTACCTAAAGATTTACAAACTGAACCAGTTTCAAGTGGTGCTTTTAGTTGGTTAACTAATTTATTAAGAAAACCTCAATCTTATATTATTCAACATTCAGGAACTGATGGATATTTCTTTTTAAGATTTTTATTTGAATTTTTATGTGTTTGTTTAATTGGAGTTATTGTAACTTGGCCAATTTTATTTCCAGTTTATGCTACTAATGGTAATAATTTAATTCCGGGTTCAAAAATTAAAGGATTCGATATTTTATCATTTTCAAATATTACTAATAAATGGAGAGCTTTAGCTTCTGTTTTCTTATCTTGGATATTGTTTGGATTGGTTATATTTTTGATTTATCGTGAATTGGTTTATTATGTCACTTATAGACATGCATTACAAACTACTCCATTGTATGATTCTATGTTGAGTTCAAGAACTTTATTATTAACCGAAGTTAATGTTGATATATTGAATGATTCAAAATTAAAGGAATTATTCCCTAGAGCTAATCATATTTGGTATTCAAGAAATTATAAAGAATTACAAGATAAAGTTGAAGATAGAACTAAATTAAGTAATAAATATGAAGGTGCTTTGAATAAAGTGATTATTAAAGCCGTCAAATTGAGAAATAAATTATTAAAGAAGAATAAGCCAGTTCCAGAACCAGAAAATGATATTAATCAATATATGAAAAAACGTCCAACTCATAGATTAAAGTTTTTAATTGGTGAAAAAGTTGATACATTAGATTATTGCCCCAAGAAATTAAAAGAATTAAATGATGATATTGATGGAATGCAAGCCAAATTTGATGAAAATGAACAATTACCAGCAGTATTTATTGAATTCCCAACTCAATTGGATCTTCAACGTGCATATCAAGCACTCCCTTATAATTCTGAATTTAAATTATCCAAATATTTCACTGGAATTGCACCCGATGATATCATTTGGAAAAATCTTCAATTATCAACTTCAAAAAGATGGGCTAAGAAATTGATTGCTACTAGTATTTTAACTGCCACAATTATATTTTGGTGTATTCCAGTTGCTGTAGTTGGTTCTATTTCAAATATCAATTTCTTGATTGATAAAGTTCCATTTTTGAAGTTTATTGACAATATGCCCCAAGCACTCATGGGTATTATCACCGGTTTACTTCCGGTTGTATTATTGTCAATTTTGATGTCATTAGTTCCACCATTTATCAAGTTTATGGGGAAATTTAGTGGATGTATTACTGTGCAACAAGTGAATGAATATTGTCAATCTTGGTATTTTGCTTTCCAAGTTGTGAATGTTTTCCTTGCTGTTGCATTAGGTTCTTCTGCTGCTTCGGTCGTGACTGAAATTTTACATGATGCTCTGAAGGCTTTACAAACTTTATCGGCAAAATTCCCTACTTCGGTTAATTTCTATTTTGCTTATTTATGTTTACAAGGGTTAACTATAAGTTCTGGAGTGTTGTTACAATTGGTTACATTAATATTATCCCATATTTTGGGTCGTATTTTAGATGGAACTCCAAGAAAGAAATGGACTAGATCAAATACGGTTGGTGAACCTGATTTTTCAACCTTATATCCTGGATTCCAATTATTAACTGTGATTGCATTGGCTTATTCAGTATTAGCACCCTTGATTTTGGGTTTTACTTCAATTGCATTCCTTTTGTTTTATTTTACATTTATTTATACTTTGATTTATGTATTACGTCCAAATGTTCATGATAATCGTGGTAAGAATTATGTTATTTCATTATTTCAATTATTTACCGGGATTTTCATGGCTCAATTATGGATAACTGCAATTTTTGTATTTTCCAAGAATTGGGTTTCAGTTGCCCTTGAAGCGGTTATAATTGTTATTAGTGTCTTGGCTAAATTTTGGATCTCGAGGAAATTTATGCCATTGATCGATACTGTGCCTATTTCTGCTATTAGATATGCTAGTGGAGATTCCAATTATTCATATCCTAAAGATCAAGGATCAGCTGAAATTAAACAAGTTGGTGAATCATATTGGCAAACCCCTGATGGTGAATTGCCAGAAGCAGAAGAAGAACATAAGGATCAAGTGATTCCAAATAAGAACCTTTCCGAAAATCCATTTGGATATGAAACCACAACATTATCCACCCATCCTAGAAAAGATGAAGAAGATCTGTCAGATGCAAACAACCCCAATCACAACCACAACCATAATGAGAAATTGCAAGTTGTTGGAGAAACTCCCAAGAAGACACTTAATTGGTTTAAGATTTTTTTCCAACCCCATCTCCAAACTTTTGAACAATTACGAAGCATCTTACCAGATAGTTATTTTAACTATATAGAATACAATGAAGAATTCTTGGCTCAAGCATATGATGATCCAAATGTTTATGATAAGATGGGTAAGATTTGGATTGTTAAGGATCTGTTGGGATTAGGACAGGTTGAGAAGGAAAAGGCGGCAACTCATGATGTGGAGGTTATTGATGATGATGCTGGACTTGATGATAAAGCTGGTATTGAGGTAAATGGTCCTCCTCCTGATAAGGAAGAGGATATTAGAATTTAATTTTATGGCTTGTGTGTAGTGGTGTAACTGTTGTATTGTTTTTTTTAATTTTGTGTTCTACTTTTTTTTGGTTTGTGTCATAATTTTAATTAAAGTTTTTTTCTATGGCTGCAAAAAATATAAAACGATCGATCTGTCAAAAACTAAAAGCTTAATTTTTATTTTTTAGGGGTAAATAATTTCTTTAGCGATCAACTCTTTACTAATCCAGTAGGAAAATAAAGAAGTCGAGAAATTCCTTGGCATAAGTAGAAGTACAAAGATGTAGGGAGAATAAAGAACAAAGAAGTTCCAGGTGGGGAATTTTTGAAATTTGCTTGTCAAAATGTCCCCACCACCAGAAAAATCCTTCTCTACAGATCCTTCAATATTTCTTGTCTAAAAATAGACACACACATTCCTATGTCCATCAATTGTAATCAAACCTTCAACTTCAAAGTTATTGTAAAAGTAAAATTATTTATTAATTCATTAAATTCTGCAGAACTAGAAATTAGAAATTTAGAAGAAAATAAGAAATTATTAAAATAAAGTTATTCAATAGCATCTCTATAAAAAGGAAAACATCCTCTTTTTTTTGGGTTATACATGTATAACCTTAATAAAGTATCATTATGCAAAAAAACCCAGAAAATAATAAATTAAGAAAGAAAACTTTCTAGCAATGATAATCATTGCATCTATGTAGAAATTTCATTCTTTTTAACAGCACTATCAGTTGTAGTAGTAGTACTATTAATATTAGCAACCGTCGAAGTTCTTGTTTCTTCCTCTCTGTTTGGTTCACTTTCACTTCTTCTCTCCTCTACACTGTGACTTTCAGTATATCCTCCAGGGAATGGAGTTATTGGAAGAGCCGAGAATGGGGGTGGAGAAGGTGGTGGTGGAGGTGTAGACTCATTTGAATATCTATCTGATTGGTTGATTGAATTCTCATCATTAACTATATTATCATCACCGCCGCCTATAGAATCCAGCACGACAATTCTATCATTCAGATTCAAACTTGAAGGTTTTGGATGTACAGGAGGAGGAAATGGAACTTTTGCATTTGGATTTAAATGAAATTTTCCTTCTGAATCATAATACCCTAAATCAGTTTCATTTGTTTTTTCAGAATATGTTGGGACATAACTACTTGGTAATTCCGGATCTCGTGTTTGTTGTCTTACACTTGGTTGATTATATTGATTTTGTGATTGTCGATATGATGGAGGTGTAATCCAACTAGTACCATAGATTGGTGGCTTTCCTATTTCTTTCCGTTTCTTATTGGTTCTTACTGTGATTGCTATTGACATCATTACTCCGGCTGCTAATGTGACGGCTAGAAAGATGTATCCTACACCGGTAGAGCCGCTGCCTTGTCTTTTGGATAATTCAATTGTATGGTCTGACGGATTATTGATATACATATTGTGTCAAATTGGTTAATGCCTTGTTTCTTAAAAAGTTTTTGACTTTTTAAAGTGATTAGTTAATTGGCGTTACTATTTCTAAAGTTTTTCTCTGGATGAGACTTTTACGTAGATGATTCTTATAACCTTCTATTAATTGAAACTTAATAAGTTTAGTAACTTAAGGGAAGTGAAGAAATAAATTAAAATTAAAATTAAAAAATTTGTTTGAAATTCTTAATCAATATATTTATATATGAATTCCCCTAGAAGAGAAAGTGACAGAGAGCCAAGAGTGACAGGAACTAGAACTAGAATTAGAAGAAAGGGGATAATATGGGATTGAATTATGGGGGAAAAATAAAATATTATTTATTTAATTGCTCAAACTAAAATGTCGCAACGTCGTAAATAATTTCATGTCACAGGATTCTATTGTTATTTATTATTCTCATTAAGCCTTGTTGGGTTAATTATACCTTAAAAACTATGATATCATAGACATTAATATGGAATCGGATTTAATGCCTCGTTTATATCAAACGTATCTTCTATTCAATTGAATCTAGCATCATTCAGAACAACGAGGATTTTTGATATACGATTTACTAATATTTACAAAATTCTAGAAGGGACCCAAAATCATCTCTCTTCAACGAATTCACTATATGACGTAATATTTCCTAAGAAATGGCCCCGCAAAACCATCTCAAAGCAACAGTTACGTCTCTCGTCCTTTTATCGGGACGGAGATATAAACACAACACACAGATGTCCAATCTATGCCAAAAAAAATATATATTTACTATTAAAAAGATAAATTCAACTAGGAAAATAATTAACCAAAAATGGGCTATGCCGTGCTTGTTGTTCAACGTTTCCCTCCTTTTGTGGATGTTTCGGACATCGTCGGCAATGTCTCTGAATGACTTGTGGAAGAACTAGCTATTGAATGTGCGGCCCGGTGGAGGCCCGGCTGGCGGTGTGAATGTTTCAACAGTATGATAATTAACTTCTGATGTATTGTTATTGCTATTAGGATTCAAGCCTGAGGCAGTAGTAGAAAGTGGTGGCGGTCCAGCTGGAGGTCTAAGCATATCACCAATACTTTCATCATCTACTCGATCTCCCTCTTGATTAGCATTAGTAGGTATTTGTGAAGGTAAATTTGATTGTAATGGACTTGCCCCCGTCCCAACGAACGCATTTCCCGTCCTTTGATGTACTTCAGGTGGATGAGGAATAGGAGATTTTGCATTCGGATTAGGATGGAAAACCCCTTGTGGATCATAATACCCCATATCGTATTCATTTGCGGTCTCAGTATATTGTGGAACATATGCACTCGGTAAATCCGGGTCACGGACATGATCAGGTTGATCATATTGATTTTGAGATTGTCTATATGACGGTGGAGTCATCCAACTCGTCCCTGGTAATGGTTGTGACCCTCTTTGCATCCTCCTTTTGTTTACTCTGAATGTACCTAATAATACAATGATTATCATCACTACAAATATAGCAAAGAACGCCCATCTTGCCCCTCCGGACCAATCTGTATTAAATTCTTGACGTTTGACATGTTCAAGATTTATTATTGACATGTTTTATGTTTTGTTATTATTACTCTTTGATATGAAAGCGAATGCGGAATCTGCGACAGTTGTTGAAAAACCCTTGTTGGTAAGTAAGAAATAATTTGTATAACCAATGGCCAAGGAATAAAGAAATTTGTTTTTCTTTTTTGCTTTCTTTTCGTTTCATACTTTTTTTGGGGGTGTAGTTTAGTGTTGGTTTTAAAAAAAATGGTTACGTAATCAATTCGGGGGAAATTTTCGGTCATTTGAAATCTAAAAAATGGCTAATGCTAACGAGGCTATAAAATAAAATACATCAAATTCATCCCCAAAATATCATTTCTGTCCATTGTATAATTTATTATTTTTTTGGATAATTTGAACTTGGCATGACCTCGGGGCCATGTTATTCTGTACGATGTATAGTATAGATGTTTGAAAATAACAGATTGATTAGCGGATATTATGGCTAATGTGATCCCAATCCGTTCTTAGCCCCAGTTGATTATTATGATCATGTGTACGACATTTTTGGCAATGTACGACATCGCCAATTTAACGGTTGCTGCTTTTTTTTTAACTTTTAACTTTTTACAACCAACTGGTTCAAGGACAAAAGCCTGAATGAAGGGGGGTACGATTATTGAAATTGTTGATGACTCTTCAAGGTATGTATAGGATAAGTAGCGGGTGTTGGGCTTGTACTAGAAAATAAATTTATAAGACTAACGTAGATCTAGAACTAAATTAGAAGTACTTCAGAATATTTGGTTGCAAATCACCCAAAGCCTTACGAACTTTGTCCCAATAACTTTTATCCTATTTAGAAGCTGTTCATCCAGTACAGATAGAAACAAGAAAACAATAAGCATCAATCAATTCTCATCCAAAGAAAATGAATTACTTAAATTTTCATCAATTATTAAAATCATTAGACTATTAATCAACCATATACAACAACCAAATAAAATAACAACAATTAGAGATATTTATTATCAAGATGTAAATCTATTTGAACATAAGCAGATTAATTGTAAGAATTTATTAACTTTGATAATTGAAGAATCGTTACAATGGTCATTGGAGAATGATATTGGAATCTATCCATCTCCAAAAGGATTAGTCTATGGGGATTGGTTTTTCCAGACTAAGAATCAACCAACATTAATTCCAATTAATTTTCAAAAGGTACTAATTACTGCTAACGATAAAGACTCTGATAGAAAGCTATTGATTGTAGTATTAGAAAAGGATGCTGTATTTCAATCATTTGTTAATTTTCTTGGTAAGTCTAATAGTACAATCTTATCAAATTTCTTAATTATAACGGGGAAGGGTTACCCTGACAAATTAACTCAAAAATTTCTTTTCTGGTTAAAACAACTGTTTAAGAATACGGTTTCGGTTGGATTTTTCGATTCGGATGTTTATGGTATTAATATCTATAAACAATATCTTAAGTACGATAATCTGTTGATTTATGGTGGTGTATACTTAATTGAGACAGATTTGGTAAATTGGTTGCAAATAAATTTAAGAGAAATTACATTGATTATAAATATGTTGAAAAAGAACCTGGATGGTGACAAACTGAGTGAAATGTGGAGACGAGAGTTAACAAGAGGATTGTTGTTGTTTAATAAATCAGAAATGAATGTTATTGAGTTATCAAATAACAATTCAATTAATGATTATTTGATTGGTAAAATTCAGTCCATAGAGTAAGCTCCACCCAAACACACGTGACTTGTGCTAAGATTTCGTTTCTATTGTGTTCGATAAAGCAACCACGAAAAAAATAAAAATTCTCAGCAAATAAAATTATTCACGTTGCTAATTTTAATACGACAGCAGGACGACGCACTTCCATTCATTAATTTCTCGCAGTATAACACACACACATTTTAAATTTCGCACACGCTGTAACCTCGTTGAAATTTTCAAATCTGCAACAAAAAATTTTCAACACATTCATTACTCTTTCTCTTTTCTGTATTCTACATCCATTGAATCGTATCATTACAAGAAATGTCTTATACTACTCGTCAAATTGCTCCAGCTAACACCTTAGACTACAAAGTCTACGTTGAAAAGGATGGTAAACCAGTTTCTCCATTCCACGATATTCCATTATTCGCTAATGAAGAAAAAACTATCTTAAACATGGTTGTTGAAATTCCAAGATGGACCAATGCCAAAGTAGAAATCTCCAAGGAACAAAAATTAAACCCAATCGTCCAAGATATCAAGAAAGGTAAGTTAAGATTTGTTCGTAACTGTTTCCCACACCACGGTTACATTCATAACTATGGTGCTTTCCCACAAACTTGGGAAGATCCAAACCAAATCCACCCAGAAACTAAGGCCAAAGGTGACAATGATCCTTTAGATGTTTGTGAAATCGGTGAAAGAGTTGCCACTGTTGGTGAAATCAAACAAGTTAAGGTTTTGGGTGTTATGGCTCTTTTAGATGAAGGTGAAACTGATTGGAAAATCATTGCCATTGATGTCAATGATCCATTAGCTCCAAAATTAAATGACATCGAAGATGTTGAAACTCATTTACCTGGTTTATTAAGAGCCACTAACGAATGGTTCAGAATTTACAAGATTCCAGATGGTAAGCCAGAAAACCAATTCGCTTTCTCCGGTGAATGTAAGAACAAGAAATATGCTGAAGAAGTTATTGCTGAATGTTCTGAAGCTTGGGAAAGATTGATCAAGGGTGAATCTCCAGATTCTAAGGGTATTGATTTAACCAACACTACTTTAGATACTACTGCTACTTTCTCTGCTGCTGCTGCTTCTGAAATCCCGGCTGGTACTAATGAAGCTCCTGCTCCAATTGACAAGTCTATTGACAAATGGTTCTTCATCTCTGGTGCTCATTAAATATGACGTTTATAGTATGTTGAACCCATTTGTATGTACCTAATGTGTGTTTAATAATTAAATGTTGATTCTTATCGTGTAAAAAAATTTTTTTTTTCAGTTACATCAAGTCCGAAAAATCTCCGATAATGTAAGTTTTTTTTTTCTACAATCAAATTAGTGATTCTGCATGAACTGTCGTTAAGCCGTTCACTTTATCCGAGGAAAAGCTTATTGACAGTTTCTAAACGGCTAAGCAGAAACATTCTCAATCCCATTGGTCCATCTTATAGCTTGAAGAGTATATGAAAGAAGAAGGCATCACATGGGTTATGTTCTCTTGTATTAGATTAAAGTTATGATCAAAGAAGGGTTCCAATGCCTCCCTGGTAAAGGATTGAAATAGTGCTCGGTCACACTGGTATGAACACTACCAGTTTGTATAATTAGTTTACGACATGAAACCCTGTCTCCTCACCACTTCGACCAAAGCTCAGGAGTTTAACCCCACAAAATTAATTAATTGCTAGTAAATAATATGGTGGTTTCCAGTTGACAAGACGCAACCCTGTGTTACCACGTGAATTGATCATTTGTTTTGTTCAATACCAAAAAAAATCAGTATTTTCCAGAGTACCATTAAAATTTATAAACAGCATGGGCCGTTTTCGGGGAATAGTCCGAAATCCGACCGTTTCCATATCTCTATAAATAACCTTCCATCAGATGTGTAATTTATTAAAATGCACTGATCCTGTCTATAAACTTTGTACGAGCTCTCAGGCAAAGGTTATATTCCAGAAGGCAAATTCCAGTAACAGATTGGAATTTATATGTAGCTTTGAGAGATAACGAAGGAATTAAGGTAATGAATCCTGACAGAAGGCGAAGTTCCGTCAAATTTTATCTTGGGTGTTATAATTTCAACATGCAGCCGTAGGAATTAAGGTAATGAATCCTGACAGAAGGCGAAGTTCCGTCAAATTTTATCTTGGGTGTTATAATTTCAACATGCAGCCGTCATAAAGAACATGCTGAAAAAAGCTGCAAGGCTGCTTTCCGAATCGGACAACAATGCAATTGGTTCAAACTTTAAATAATCCCTTTTATAAAGAAGGGGATTATTCCCTCCGTTTCTTCATTTAAATGCCTCTTAGATCGTTATACACCACACAGAATGACAGGTAGGGTTAAGGATATAGTTATCATTGGAGCATCATACGCAGGTATAATTGCATTAAAGATATTATTAAGATCGAGGAAATGTCCATCAGATCTAAAATTAAATATCTATTTGATATCTCCCAATGATTATACCTACTTTAATATGGCAAGTCCTCGATTAATACTCGAACCGGAATCATGCCCAAAAGTGCTTTTCAAGCTCCAGGATACCATCGACAAATACGTCAAGAATACTAGGCATAGTGTAACCTTTATACAAGGATCAGTGGGGAACGTTGATTTAGATAAACGTGTGGTATGTCTCGCTGAAGATGACGGATCACAAATTTGTTATGATAATTTGCTAATCACAACTGGAACCAGACTAATGGAACCTGGATTTAAATTGGATAATATCCAGGACCAACAATACTCCGTCAATGGAATTAAATCCTTACACAAAAAGCTCGAATCAGCAGAAAGTATTGCCATTGTAGGTGCCGGTGGAACTGGGGTCGAAATCGCCGGAGAAATTGGAGATGATTTTGGAGATACTAAGAAAGTAGTTTTGTATTCTGGTAGAGGTATGCCACTACCCAGATTCCCTGACCCTTTAAGAAGAAAAGCAAGTGAGAAATTGGAGAAGCTCGGAGTTGAAATCGTGAATAACGATAAAGTAAAGATTAATGAAGATGGAAAATCTGTGACATTAAAAGATGGAACGATCAAGGAATACTCAGTCGTAGTTCAAGCACATCGTAACATCCCCAATACTGATTTCTTACCCGATACAGTCTTAAGTGATACCAAATACATCAAAACCGATAAATACCTTCGTCTTGAAAATTACCATAATGTGATATGTATGGGAGATGTTTTGGATATGGGAGTTTCTTCAGCTGTGGATTTATTCCACTATCAAAAGCCAGTCTTGACAAAAACGATAGAGTATGAAATATTTGAAAGGAAATCGACAAAGTTGAAACCATATCAAACTGAAAAGAGCGTTTCGTTTATGTGTCCGATTGGAAGAGATGGAGGTGTTGCACTTTCGTTTGGAATACGAATGCCTAATTTCATAGTTAGAAGTCAGAGAGCAAAAGATTATCTGATATCTAGAGCTCGTTGGTTCCTTACTTGAATTTCTTTCCAGGTGGTTACATGTAATTATGCTAAGTTACTTTGATTTCAATAATTGTCTAAGTAGAGTAGAATAGAATAGATGTTGTGGTTAGAGAAACCTTGCCTTTGTGATTCATACAAAAATGACGTATAGAGAAGTTGATCGATCTTGATGCAACGACTGTAAAATCCTTCTTAATCACTTTCTCGGGCCACGCACTTAAGTATGTAACTAAGATTGCTCTTCAAAATAATAACAATATAAGGGGCTACAATAACTTTTTCAATGGTTGCTATTTGCTTTTTTCTTCAACTCTTTTTTCTTCCACCAAATTATTAGCAGCCATCATGAAGAGAGTAGTTGTCATAGGTGCCTCACAGGCAGGTCTATTAGCTATGAAGACCCTTGCAAGGCAGTGTCCATCGAGTGTATCTTTGCTGGCACATTTAATTTCACCCAACGATTTTGCATACTTCAATATCGCTAGTCCAAGATTGTTAGTTCAACCAGAGCTATTACATAAAGTCCTCTTTAATATTCAAGATATACTAAAGAATTTAAATCACAACAGTAAGGATCAATTCACATTCACTCAGGGATCAGTTTCAGATATTAATTTAGATAAAAGAAAGATTTATCTTCATAAATCACTTGTTCCCATAGAATATGATGCTTTGATTATTGCTAGTGGGAACAGAATGGATTCACTTGCATTCAAGTTGAGCAACATCCAAAGCCAACATCATACAATCCGAGAGATTCAATCATTATCCAAAAAGATCAGATCAGCTAATTCAATCGCAGTTATTGGAGGAGGTACTACTGGGGTTGAAATTGCTGGGGAGTTGACTAATAATCGTAAATTCACCAAAAAAGTGACTTTATACACTGGGCAAGAATCTCCTTTGGCTGAGTTTGAATCATGTCATAGAAAGAAAGGTATAGATAGATTGAATAAACTTGGGGTCGAGATAATAAATAACGAAATGGTTAAGATCATTGAAGATAATACAGCAGTTAAATTACAAGACGGGACTGTTAAGAAATATTCAGTGGTGATTCCAGCGTATAGAAGTATTCCCAACAGTGAATTTCTCCCTTCTTCGGTTTTGAGCAAACGAGGATATTTGGATACTGATGAATATTTCAGACTTAAAAACTATCATGAAGTTATCGGTTTAGGTGATATCTTAGATTGCGGAAAGAAATCTAGTCTTGATCTATTCTATGCTCAAAAGCAAGTATTTGAAGCAACTGTTGCCCATGAGATCTTTGAAAAGAAGGATATTAAACTAAAGAAATACGAACCTGTTCAGACTGACAAATCATTTGTTGTACCAATTGGCAGAGATGGAGGTGTTGCTGCAATTTGGAACATTCCGCTTCCTAAGTTTGTAGTCAAACAATTCAAAGCAAAAGATTTTTTGATCCCTAAGGCAAAACTGTATTTATCCTAAGTAAGTTTCTTATATAATAATTTTCTTCCACTCATTGATTGGTTACATGATACCTATTTTCTGTTCTTGAATCTATGCATTTCTTAGATATCAAACAAGTAAACAACTAATGGAAGACGGAAAAGAAAATCAACATCCGCAGAAATTATAATCACTGCCAACTCCTTTAGTAATTCATTAATAATATGATCTGGCTTAGGGCTGTTACTAATCAAAATCGCCCAAAAATAGTCAAATGGAAAATAATCTCGGAAGATTTCCATTGTTGGAGGTTCCACATCAACCAAGAAATTGGGTTAATTCATTGTTTCATAATAATAAGTTGGAGAGCCACAACAGTTCGGGGTTACACCTTTGGGATGTTTCCGTTCCCCGTAATTGCCCCTGACTTGGTTGCAAAAATTAAAATAAAATAAAATAATTTTTCCCTTATGGAAACTATAAAAAGCTCTTGTTGCCCAACTTAATTTACTGGTTTTTGTCTTTTTAAAACACACAAAGCATCAATGACTAATAACACGAAAAGAGTCATAATCCTTGGGGCTTCCTATGCTGGAATTCTTGCTTTGAGGACTTTGCTTTCCAGGAAGAATCCAGCCAATCTCGAATTGGTCATCAGGATCATCTCGCCAAATGATCATACATATTTCAATATGTCTAGTCCTAGATTGTTGGTCGAGCCTGATTCAATTAACAAAGTGGTTTTCAGTCTCCAAGACTTAATTTCCAAATTGAAAGTTAATTCTAAACATAAAGTGGAATATGTCCAAGGGTCAGTTAAAAATGTTGATTTGGATAATAGACAAGTGGATCTTCATAAATCTGAATCTTCTTTAAATTATGACTATTTAATGGTTGCGACAGGTACTAGAAGTGATTGCTTGGCTTTAAAATTGGACAACTTACTTGATCATTCGTATTCCATAAACGCAGTAAAACGCTTATCTGAGGATATAAAGCACGCCGAAAGCATCGCTGTTGTAGGTGCTGGAATCACCGGGGTTGAAGTTATAGCTGAATTATCATCCAATTATGGAAAGACTACAACGTTCGATTTATACACTGGTAATGAACATCTCCTCCCGGAATTGAAGGAATGCCACAGACGACAAGTTGTTGAGAGATTAACAAATTTTGGTGTTTCAATTATCAATAATGAAAAGGTTAAAGTAAGCAAGGACTCGAAATCAGTTATTTTTAAGGACGGGACAGTAAAAGAATATTCGCTTGTCATTCCTACTTTTAGAAATATTCCAAATACAGAATTCCTTCCCGGAAAAGTTTTAGCCGCTTCAGGCTATGTGTATACAGACAAGCATCTCCGCCTTGAGAAATATCATAATGTGATTTGTTTGGGTGATATTTTAGAAATGGGTGCAAGTTCTTGTGTTGACTTAGTTTATGCTCAAAAACTGGTGCTTGAATCGACAGTAGATTATGAGATTTTCGAGCAGAAATCAGTAAAGTTAAAGACACATAAAAAATATGAACCATCTTACCAGTTCGTTATTCCATTGGGAAAGGATGGTGGTGTTGGTGTTGCGTATGGAATCTGCTTACCCAATTTCTTGGTGAGATACGCAAAAGCCAAAGATTATTTTATTCCTAAAGCAAAAGAGGTTTTCGGGTAGCTTTCTTTACATATATTCTATATTTGCTGTTGCTATTGTGAGATTCTGGTAATACTAATGGTTCTAGTCTATTGTTTTTAAATATGTCCTTCTATTTCTATTGAGTTGGTCAAATGTTTCTTTGCTTCGCAATACAAATTTATAAAAGTATATTAATAGAACGTAAGCGCCCTTTTTGGACAACTCAACCACTTATAAGTGATATTTCCTTTCAATTCAGTAGAGAATCAAACTAGGAAACCGTTCCCAAGATTTAATCTTTATGAAACCCAATTCTACCCAGTTTCTTTCTGGCGTAAGATGAGTCATTTAAGAGTAATCGCTGCAGTTGATACTAAAAATCAATGGCCTACAAATTTATGTAATTGCCTTGGGTCTAAAATCTATCAACAAATACTACTTAGGCAGGTCAAAAGAGTACATTAAGAACAAATATCTCTACTTCTATTTGAAAGTGCTGATTCGCTTAGGAGCATTATTCCATTCTCTAGGTATCAATGTTCCAAGAAACGGTACTAACACGGAGATGAAAGTTCTTTATGTTAATAACAATTGTCCTTGCAATTTATCGCCGGACATCGGTATTCTTGACTAATAACACAACGAATAAAGATTTGTTATATGCATTAAGCTGCAAATCCTTTGGTGGATTTCTCAAACCAAGTCCGCTTCGGTGAACTTTTATTTTTTCGGTCTAAACGGATTTAATACCTGCAGCAAGGTTAATAAATTCTCGGTCTAAACGGATTTATCAAAATTTTTAGTCCACGAATGCGAACAATGAGCCGAAATCAGTTAGAGGCTACTGGCTGCAAAATATGACCATCTCAAATTTCTTTTAATATAAAAAGACTTCCATCAGCTGTTTTAAACTTCATCTTTGATTGTTTTTAAATCACGAAAAAATAAGCAATGACTACCAACACTAAAGAGGTTATAATATTAGGGGCATCATACGCAGGAGTGTTAGCCTTAAAAACATTACTTTCGAGAAAGAATCCATCAGAAATATCCATAAATGTTAAGATAATCTCTCCGAATGATCATACCTATGTGAATATTGCAAGTCCTAGATTGTTGACTGAGCCTGAAAAGATCCAGCAAGTACTTTTTAGTCTTCAAAAGTTGATAGATAGATTAACTGCCAATACGATACATAAAGTCGAATATATTCAAGGATCTGTCAAGGAAGTAGATTTAGATGAAAGAAAGGTATATCTTCATAAATCTGATATGGTTTTTTATTATGATAATTTAATTGTTGCAACGGGTACCAGAATGGATTCAGCTGTATTCAAGTTAGACAATATTCGTGACCATAACTACACCATCCAAGAATTGAACAAATTGGTTGAAAATATTAAAGAGGCTGAAAGTATTGCTGTCATAGGGGCAGGTATCACTGGAGTTGAAGTTGTAGGAGAGTTGGCCTCAAACTATAGTAAAACCAAGAGTATTGATTTATATACTGGTGCTGAATATCCATTACCCGAATTAAGAGAGAGTCACAGAATTGCTGCGGCTGAAAGATTAACAAACTTTGGTGTGAATATTATCAATAATGAAAGGGTTGGAGTCAACAAGGATATGAAATCGGTTATTCTTAATGATGGAACTACAAAGCAGTATTCACTAATTATTCCAGCATTTAGAAATTTTCCAAATACGGAGTTTCTTCCTAAGCAGGTTTTGAATGACTCTGGGTACGTCTATACTGACAAGCACCTCAGACTTGAACAATATCACAACGTCTTCTGCTTAGGAGATATCATAGAAATGGGTGCAGGCTCATGTATCGATTTAATGTTTTCTCAAAAGGAGGTCTTTGAATCTGTAGTGGATTTTGAAATATTTGAGCAGAAGTCTGTGCAATTGAAGGAACATAAGAAAAGTGAAACGGGTTACAGGTATGTGATTCCATTGGGTAAGGACGGAGGAATTGGCGCTGCGTATGGATTCTCACTTCCAAATTTTATAGTTAGGTTATCAAAGGCCAAAGATTACTACATCCCTAGAGGAAAGGACTTTTTCACTTAAAACGGGAGTTTTCAATTATGTCGTAACCGTGGAAAATGATCGTTATGTTGCGTTTGGGCTAAGAGTCACGCTGCTATATGTGCGCTTGCTCAAAGTTATGGAAAGTAAAAACTTATTGTCTTCTCTTTTAGGATTTATATATCAATTAATATCGTACTTGTTTGTCTTCGAAAATGGGCCAATATCCAACATGGTCAAACATAATGTTAGAACCTCTTCGTGACAAAGACGGAAGTGGTATTTCTTGTGAAAATTCCAGTTTAAAAGAATTTAAGGTAGAGTAGCTTGAGAATGTGGTGGGACGGGCTTAGTGTCCTTCAAGGTTTACACTGACAAGTTGCTACTCTTCTGATGAATCTCTGATGCTTATCTTGTATAAGGAAGCTTGATTGATCATTCATCTGAAGTTACAATCAACCGACGAGATGGGTAGCTCTGCCACATGGAAGCCCTGTCAGATGGAACGAGAAAATACGCATCCAACTGTTTAAAGAACACTATGTTTCATCCCCTTAGCTTCCGATCTTCCGATTAGTAAACCGTAATAAATGAAAATCCATGACCAGTTTTGTCAGTTATAGAGTTTTGTGAACGAAACATATAGTTTTTAGTGATGCTGACAATAATTCCAAGTTGGAAACTATCTCTTCGAACAACGAATTTTTTTTTTTTTCTTAAACGGTATCGATTAAATTATACACTAAAATTATAAACTATAATATATAAACTGATACTGACCCTCTGATACATATAGGGCATAACGTTCTGTAGAAATGGTAAAAACCTTTTATAGGCACTTAGGTGTATGATAAAAGCAACATAAGTAGTGTGAGAGTCCAAGACCAGCAGGACTGGGTTGTATACTCACTAAAAACCATTGGTACGAGTTGGCTGGGGGGATAAAGCGTAAATGATTTAGGATGGGGTTAAGCTTAAATCAATATTTGCTTCGGTCATAAACTGTTTGAGGTAATAAAACCGCCACGGGATAATTAAATCAAAGAAATTATCCGTTATCCGCCCAAACTTTTCTCTCCAATCAAAAATTAATAAGTTTTTACTAAATCGTATTTTACAAGCCTTAAATTGTGGCTTTGAAGTTGCGAAATAATTCTCGTTGAGAAAAATCACTTTAGTGTCTGTACGGGTGCAAATGAAAAAACTATAAAATGACTTCCATCGCCTCTACAAACTTAAATTTTGAATTTTTCTAAAACATCCAAACAAAGCAATGACTGTCAATAGCAAAAAGATTATAATACTAGGTGGTTCATACGGAGCTATTTTAGCATTAAGAACATTACTTTCAAGAAATAATAATCCATCTGATATATCCTTATCCATCAGCATTATCTCGCCCAATGATTATACTTATTTCAATATTGCCACTCCTAGATTATTAATAGAACCTGAGTCTGTTGAAAAGGTGGTCTTCAGCATTACAGAAATTATATCACATTTATGTGCTAATAACCCTAGTCATAATGTTGAACATGTTCAAGGATCTGTTAGAGAAGTCGATTTGGAGGAAAGAAAGGTATATCTTTATAAATCTGACATAAGCTATGATTACGATAATTTGATTGTTGCAACAGGCACAAGAATGGAATCGAGTGTTTTCAAATTAGATAATATTCGTGATCAAAACTATTCAATTCAACAATTGAAGTCATTAGTTGAGAATATCAAGGAGGCAGATAGTATTGCTGTTGTGGGTGGTGGTATTACAGGAGTTGAAGTCGCGGCCGAGCTAGCATCAAACTATGGTAAGGACAAAACTATCGATTTGTACACAGGTAATAAATATCCATTACCCGAATTGAAAGAGTATCATAGAAACATTGTTATTGATAAATTGACTGATTTCGGTGCACAAATCATTAATAATGAAAAAGTTGGCATTAGCAAAGACTTCAAATCAATAACTCTTAGTGATGGGACCAAGAAGGAATATTCACTCATTATTCCTGCATTTAAACATACTCCAAACACAGAATTCCTTCCTGATTCAGTATTGTCTACTTCTGGGTACGTATATACCGATGGACATCTCAGACTCACGCAATACCACAAAGTTATCGTATTAGGTGACATTTTGGAAATGGCAATGAGTTCTGTTGTTGATTTAATGTATTCTCAAAAAGCTGTGTTTGAAGCAACTGTGGATCTTGAAATATTCGAACAAAAGTCTGTCCAGTTAAGAGAATATCAGAAATGTGACACGTCCTATAGGTTTGTGGTTCCTTTAGGTAAAGATGGGGGGATTGGGGCAATGTTTGGTTTTCCCCTTCCTAATTTTGTAGTAAGATTTGCAAAGGCTAGAAATTACTTTATTCCTAAAGCAAAGGAATTCTTGGGATATTAATTGGGTTAGTATCTTGACAGCATTTTCTTAGTTTCAACTGTTTTCTATGTATACTTTAATAGAGATGTTTCATATTCTACTTCATACTATTAGAAAGATCTATGTAAATATTTACTTGGACTTGTAGCCACTCTTCCTTACTCATTTCTTTCGCAACCAATCTTTCCAAAGTTTTTGCAACGCGTCTTTCCCGCCATACCAAAAAAAAACACACATCCCCAAAATTTTATATTTCGGTCTAGAACATCTCTAACCGTTATATGATAACTGCAAATGGATGATTTGAAACAACTAGGCCCAAATGAATTCACATCCTCATTCAAATTCCCTTACTTAAGCTGTCTTCTACAATCCCATGGGAAATCCATTATGGATATCCTCCAATATCAAGATGATCATGCACAACTATCAAGAATTGTTGATCGACCGATTCGAGAAATCGATGATTATTTCAAGTCACTCGAGAATGATTTAATGCCCAGACAGACAGAGATAAAACTACTGCAGGAGTTTATATCCACTGGTATACCTAGTGCCGATGAAGAATTAGGAGGCGGAATACCGTTGGGAGAAGTTGTGGAAGTGTTTGGAGCAAGTGGGTGTGGGAAATCCCATTTTTTGTTTCAGTTATTGCTACAATGTCAGGTTAATTATCCAGGAAGTGAAAGTATTCATGTATCCACTGAATCGTATTTGGAAACTAAGAGGTTACAAGATATGTTTCAGAATCATGAAGGGGAAGTAACCATGGAGAATATTTCATATATATATTGTCAAGATTTTGAGAGTCAAGACCATATACTATATACCCAATTGCCGATTAAATTAGAACAAGACAAAGGAAAGACTAAGTTGGTAGTTATTGATTCGATCGCCCAGCATTTTCGAAGGGAAGATTGTTTGTTGAATTCAAATTATTTACGAATGAGAATTGACCAACAAGAATTGGAATTAAAAGATCTACCAGAATTCAAGGCAATAAAATTTCAACAGGCAAATCAATTGAAGACGGTTAGAAAGGATATAAAATATGCAAATAGATCGACCAAATTGCATTATATTTGTTTATTACATCGTCATTTAACAAGATTAGCACAACGATATAATATTGCGATTGTTGTAGTTAATCAAGTGAGTGATCATACTTTTGATCCTCTGAAGATGATTCTGGAAATAAATGAGAATGATTTAGCATATCCGCTTAATTTGGATATCCAAACCGGTATATCTTCAGGATGGGATGCAAATACTCTTTATGATTATATTCCCACACATCAAGTTTCATTAAATCGAGGACAAATGGAATTATTAGATTATGAAATATCAAAATCATTTGATAATAATCTAAATAAGAGACAAAAGATGGGTGAAGATATTGATTTAAGAGCACCAATTGTGGACAGAACACGAGAATTAGAAGATGTGAAAGAATTAATATTAAAATCGTATAAATTGAGAAATGGAAAGACCAAAAAGATAGTACCAACTTTGGGATATCCTTGGACAAGAAGAAATAGCACTAGAATCATGTTGACAAAGACATACAAACCGGTGATGAAAGATAAAACGGAAATAGACCTGGAGTGGCTGCAAAGGGATTCAACTGCAGATTCTACTAAAGGAACAAACAATAGTGATGCAAGTATAAATAATGGCAAAAGATCATATGTGGAAGATAAAAATAAGCCAAATGATAATAATACACCTGATTCTTTAATTTCTGGTTGGCAAGTTGAGAGATTTATTAAGGTTGTTTCAACCAATCATAATGCTCGTTCAAATAGATTTAATAGATATCAATTTAAAATTGATAAAACAGGATTAATAGAAATATAGATAGTATATATACAAACAGACAATAGAAACTGTTGTCAGAGGAAAGTTATTTATGCACTTGTGAAAAGCGCATTCTGAATTATCGCCAATCGCACAAATTGTAAATTTCCGCGGAACCAGCAATTCTCGGCGATAAGCTTACCTGGTTCTGTGTTTGGATTGCTCCTAACAAGTTGTGGCAAATTATACATGTAAGAATTCACAAAGATAAGTTTTGTGTACAAAGAATACATTTAACTAGCCTCAAAAAATGTGCATTAAAAACCCCGGATATGCACCATGCATTGCGTCTCATGCACGCAAACGCAGTTTATCCTGATAAGAGGGTTCTTTTGACTAGGTTGAGAGACCAATCTAAAAGTAAAGAAGACGGTTGCGAAAGTTCCAACAATTGGGCAGCAGAATACTGGAACTTTTCGGAAACGATAGGCAGCAGTCTTTGGATTGTTTAATTATAGAATCTTTTGGCTATCAAACAAATAAGTGAAATAGTAGCTGATGTGCCTAATACTTCTTCTAATACTTTGACTAACAGCTCTTGTGCATGCTTCCTCCTAATAATTTCTTGAATTATCTATAATATTCTTGTTCGTACCTTGTTTGATAACCACACCATTCTGGATAAACTTTCGTTTCGCGATCATTTCACAGGGATATCCAAATGTGCATTGGGATACTACAGCCCTAGCTATAAGGTCTCTTCTTGAAGATTGTTGGAAAAGTTGGTCCCTTTAGACATCTTACCTCACCCTATTCTCATTGGAATACCTAATCCATTGAATACTATGCAAATTTTATGCATTAATATACCACCTGCTCAATCTTTAGGTGTTGGACCATCAATTTGTGAGTTATAATATTGATATAATACTGCTGAAATATAATTAAAAATGATACAAAAGAATGCGATCCTTGTGTATAGGGGGGATAACAGGTACGTCATACCCACCTGGGGAATGACATTGAATAGCTGCAAAATATTCAAAATGAAATCAAGGTCGTGTATTTCAAATAATTATTTAACTAAAATAATAAAACGTGGTCGTGTACCTCGTGACTGCTTTAGTTAACCAGAAGAAATCTTCTTTATTGGTTTTGTGTGCGGTTTTCATTTTGTCTCTGGTTTGGTTCTCATTTTTCATGGTCAGGTCATTTGGTAAAACACAAAATTTAATTGAGAGAACACAAAATTACCCGTTGAACGTTCAACCCCCCAAAAAACTAATATTCAACCCCCACACACCGCACCTACTCATACAACGCGTGTTTATACTAACAACAATATAGAGTACTTGTTACCAATTAAGCTATATAACTCATTGAGTATTCATCATTAACAACATATACCCCGGAACACATCGACGAACGAAAAAAAAGAGATAGAAAAGTCATGAAGGTATGTTTCAATCTCCGGGTTCGGTAAACAGGGCCCAAGACCACCCTTGTACAAGCATGTAAAGATATACTAACGTCTATGATAATTATAGTACATTGATGAAGTTGATTTAGAACTTGTGAATCAAGAACTAAATTTCCATTCACCTGATAATAATTTGGTTATTAGAGGAGGATGTGATTTATTTACAACCAAACCAATTGGATCAGATAGGAAATTATTTAAAACGATTGATAAACATTTAGATCAAATCATTGAAGATAATCAATTATCAAGATCTTTAGAACGTGAACGTCAAAATTCTATAAATTCAATCTTTGGTGGAAGTTCTTCTCCACCACCGTTGGGTTTTGATAGAAGAGGAAGTTATGCTATTGAACGACAAAGAAGAGCTAGTCATAATCTGATAAATTTCAAATTTGATAAATCAAATAATCATCATCATCATAATGGAAATTCACTGCCTCCAAATAATAATGGAAATCAGAATAATAATGATTCGACTTATTTATCTAAATCTTTAAGTGATGCAGATATTGATGCAATCGATGAATCACCATTTGGCCCTTTGAAGAATGTAACCACGAGGAAAACTTTCTCATATTTGATTGCAATCTTGAATAGTACTTTCCCAGATCAAGATTTTACAAATTTACAACCAACAACTGAAAATTTCTATAGAATTGATTCACCAGAAGATTTAATTCAAAAATTCAATAATATTTTGATCTCATTAGGCAAAAAGGAAGATATTCTAAATTGGATTTGGGATATCATAAATTCTTACATGGATGTGATACCTTCAAAATCCGCTTCTCCATATTTAAATGCCCAAACCACGAATCATACTCATTCCACTAGTAGGAAAAATAGTTTTAATTCAAATAGAAGTAGTGGAAGTGGTGGTAATTCACCAAATTTACAATTTCAAAACATATGTCCTCCTGATGTATGTCAAATTTATCAATTTCAACCATCGGATGAATCTATATTTGAAGACTTGACCTATCCTTATCAACCAATGTGGTCATATTATTGGTTTATTTATAATAAAAAGAAAAAGAGAGTTACATTTCTTCATTTAACTGCCATAAATAAAGCTCATTATTCGCATATAAATTCAAAAATACAAGATGATGGTAAACGAAATAAAGACAAGATTATTCATCATGCAGATGAAGATGAAGAAGAATATGATGAGAATGATGAATATGTGGCTGATGATGATGAAGCTGTGATAATAGAGGATGAATATTTGGATGAGAATTCCGATGTGGTTGGAAATATTGAAATTTAGATAACCCAGAGTTTATGGAATCAATTTAGTTAGAGCTACTTCCCCCCAGTCTGTCTTTTTATTTCTTAAGTATTACTATTTATTTGAGCTAATTCTGTTTTATTATATTGTGTAATTATGTATGTATGACATACATAGCAACATTAATTGAATTTCATAGCATTTTTGATGTTATACATCTTTTGTAAAAGATTTGATATCTATACTCACCTGAGGTAAACTGTGAATCTCAATATTATATCATATATTACAAGAGAGATGTACATGGGTTATACGGTGCAGATTGCTAGCAAGCAAGTCGATGCCTGCTGCTTTCTAATGGTTGTCAAAATAACTACTATAATGGTTGCAAAAACGAGTGTTTTGAAACGAAAATTTTGGGGAACGCAATTGTATTCATGGTTTTCTGGAGAGAGGGAATCCTGAAACTTAAGGAACTAGTTTCTTGTCATTCAAACAATTCTATTGAACTGCTCTTTGGTTTTCTTGAGGTTCCCTCTAGTTAGAACATCGCTTGCCAGATTGCTGCAAAAGTATCAGTAGAGTTTCTGCGGGTGCACACAATTCTCTTTAACCACGAATTGTAATTTCTAGTATTATATCTATTGAAGTTGAAAAAGGGTCCTTTCGTGCTCTTAAAATTTGAATTTACTCTTCTGCCGTACGTAGAAGATACAACAGGAGTGATGAATGTATGAGTTGAAACACCCCAAAAAAATAATGTCACTCACTATGGGGTGGTGTATGGGAGTTTTTAGCATCCCAAGAAACCGAATTATTAAAATTACTAACATCGCGAATAAAACTCACTAACCCTCTTCTTCAAATCATTCCAAGTACACTTTGTTAGCATGAAATTGAAGTACACACACGAAATTTAATGGTTAACGAAGTTTTTAAATCTGACATCGTGAACTAAAATAGCCCAAATTACGCTTGCTCTTAGTTGCTTCAACCGGCACTTCACAACGACCATTCTACAAGGAATACAAACCCTAAAGAGAGTCATTTCTGTGTTTTCGGCTTTGCTTGAATTAATATCAATTAAGAATCTGAGTAAAAACTAGACAAGATGTTGTTGTTCATGTACTGGAAGGTGGTTCTTCGTATGCTACATTTGTATGCAGGAGTGCCTAGCAAGAAAGTGCCCAACGTTTTTTCGCTAGAAACTTGACGAACTTTTTTTCGTCAGAAAAGTGAGGAACTTTCGTTCCTCAAAATTTTCAATACAGTAACAATTATTAAAAGTTTTAGGAATACTAATGAAAGCCAATACAGTCTATAATTTCAGACATTTCTAATACATTTTGTTAGTACTTATAGTTCTAGTTCTATACAAATTATGGTAGTAAAATGCGTTCCAAATCGGAAAACTATTTGTGAAGTGTACCCTTTTTTTTCATCAGAGTATGCTATTTTCTCTTCAGACGCTGATGACATTTTCCCCATCAGACGCAGATGCTGTTTTGCCATCAGACGCAGAGATGCTGTTACATCAGACATCAACAACAATTAATTATTAATATTTTTTGGAATAGTCATTAAAGTTAATACATTCGATACTTTCTGAAATTTATAATACATTTTGTTAGTACACATGGATATAATTGTATACAAAATGTGGAAGTAAAAATGCCTTCCAAAAACTTTGGACACGCGACAAAGCCCTGTATATAAATTACGGAGTTTTCGCAGCCAATCTTTGTATAAAAGTGCAAAAAGGCAGAATGTACCCCAACATGGTGTCGCATTTGGATGCTTAAGCTCATGTCTTTTTCGCAGTCCATTGAGTTAATCATTTGATAAGAATTAATAAATTTCTCTATAATCCAGTATTGTTGAATGCGGGAGACTCTGAAGAAGGCGAAAACCACAAGACTTTTCTAAAATTAGGCAAATAATTGCAAAAGATAGGATCAAAAAGGGAAAGGCTACCTCTTATATCACATTTCTTTTGACCAGCATAGTTTGGTTATCAATCAAAACTTTCCATGGCTGTCTTATTTGGAGGTGACTCCCGATGAGAGGCTCCTGACCTTGTCGCTTGTTTGGGAAGGTACCACACGGTCAGTAATTTGAACTTCGGTAGAGTGTTACTTCTGCATTACAAGGCTCATGGTAGTTCAAAGATAATACTAAAACCTCAATACTAGCTATGTAAGTAAATATTACTCATTAAATGTCTATTAATCTATCCTATATGGTTTGGTTTTCGATACATGTTTATATATATGAAAAAGACAAGCTTTGTATTATATCTATTATGTTCAAGCTGTTTTTCTTTTTGACGCATTTTCATCTTCTGTTGCTTCCTCTTCGAGTTTTCTCTTGTTATTCTCTTCACTAGCCTTTTCTTCCTCGAGTTTTCTCTTTTGTTTTTCAGAAGCTTCGGCTGAAGATGCAATCAATTCCTTTTCACCAGCAACTTTCAATAATCTAGTATTTTGCTTCTCACCGTCAACAGTTCTGAAATATGGTTGACACCTCCAATATGGAACTTTCTTATAAGCACCTCCCCAATGTTCCACTGGTCCTTCTACTATAACGTCCAATTCTTCAATATTTGGTTGCTTATAGATTTCTTCCACTATAGCTTCGACTTGTTTAACTATTTTGTCCCATTCTTCGAATGGTGCATGTACACTAGTTTGACCAATTGTTGGTCTTAATTCTTTATGAACGTTCAAGAATGCATGTAATACTTTAAAGAAATGGGCTTTCATTGCCGTTCTTGATCCTTCTCCCTTTAATGATCTCACAATTTCAAAATATTCTCGTAACATCTTATCCACTCTTGCAAATTGCTTATCTTTGTCATCAGTTGCTGTCCAAAATACTCCTGGATTATATAAATTTCCTTCAGCAGACATGACTGCATCGCATGAAGTTTCTTGTTCACATCTAGATAAATCATTTGGATATAAAATGTTACCATTAGCAAAGAATACTTGATCTTTAGGTAAATTATCTCTTAAATATTTCAAAATTTTCCAATTGGCTAATCCTGTGGCTTGTCCTTTCATTTCTCTAGTTCTTCCGTGAATAGTTATAAATTGTGCTCCTGCATCCAAAACCATCTTAGCATATTCCAAAGATTTCTCCCAATCATCATAAATCCTTATCTTTGCCGTCACGGGGACTTTTAAATTGTCATGCAAGGTTCTAATCAATTTATGTATCAATTCCCAATCATCCATCAAAAAAGCCCCATATTTCCCCTTTTTGGCAATTCCTTGAGGACATCCCAAATTCAAATCCACAGCATCACATCTATCTTCCACCATTTTGGCAGCTTGTAATAAATATTCCGGATCATTGGCACAAAATTGTACAATCACAGGACGATCATATTCTGGATCCCCATCTTCTTGAGAATTCCACATTTTTTCACGATATTTGATATCATTGACAAATAATCGAGAGTGAAACATTGGAGTATAACATAAATCGGCTCCATATCTTCTTGATAAGATTCTCCAGGCTAATTCGGATTGATCTACCATCGGAGCGACTATTGTTTTTGGTTGTCCTATGGCATCGTAAAGTTGCCTTCCTTGTAACTTAGTCGATGATGTAGATACTGTCATATTAGTTGATAAGTGTCTTTTTATAAGTCCGTTTACTTGGTTAAACAAGTTTCTATTAATCATACGGAAAGAAAGAAGAATAACTGAATCTGAGATATTTGAACTTTTCAACTCAAATAAGAAATTTAAAAAAAAAAAATATTTTTAATTGTTTCTTTTTTTTCTTTTGATGCGATGCAAAAATCCCCCCATACAATTATAATTATATGATTTGGTAGCGGGTACACGGGATTTTTGACAGTATTTCACGTGTCTTAGTAAAATGCGGTCATTATGAAGGCTCAGTACTACTGCTTTTCAATCCCCAAATAATGACAGATGGAGAAACCGACGAGGAGGCGAATCTGACATTAAACGATCTAGCGAATTCTTCATTTAGATCAAAATTATCATCCCCCTTAGCAGAAGCAATCAGACCCACCAGCCTCAAAGATTACATTGGCCAATCCCATCTAGTTGATCCCCGAAATGGACTAATTACAAACTTCATCAGATTGGGCTACTTGCCATCGATGATCCTCTATGGACCACCAGGTGTGGGCAAGACCACATTAGCATCTATATTGGCACATGAATGTGGATATGCATTTATAGAATTGTCAGCCACCAATGCGACCGTGGGTGATTTACGAGAATTACTGAGTTCAATTATACAAGAGAATAAGAAACGAGAATATGAAAACGTGGGACGATTGAAGATTGTGGTTTTCATTGATGAGATTCATCGATTTACGAAAATTCATCAGGATTTCTTGTTGCCTTTTGTTGAGAATGGGAATTTTGTCTTTATTGGAGCAACCACGGTTTCATTGAATAAAAGAATACGAAAGGCGATTTTGTCTCGATGTCAATTGTTTGAATTATATCCTTTATCGAGCCGTGATATGATTGAGATTGCCAAGCTGGCAGCCAATTTTCAGAATTTGAAACGGAAATATATTCATGGTCAGGGTAGGATAGAATATACTAGTGATGTGTATCAATTGTTGGTGAATAGAGCCAATGGAGATTCAAGATCAGTGATAAATATGGTTGAATTGATTAGTTCGAAATATCAGTCTAAACAAGACATAATAATTCCTGTTATTAAGGATGTTGAAATGTTCGTTAAGAATGTGCGTGATTCTAGTTCGAATATGAGTGGGGTTAACTATAAAATACTAAAGAGAATGATGACATCTATTAGGCATGGTTCAAGGACACCAATTGCTCCAGATAGTCCCTTAGAGTATCTTTATGATGACTTTAAGAGTAGATCATTGGACGATGAAGAACTTAATTCGGAATATTTACATCAAATGCAAGTGTCAGATGACAGCGATGTCGAACCTGGGAATATTTACAGTGACACTGAAGCCAATGAACTCTCATTGGACACGAGCAAGCTATCCCGTGGGCAGTTTTTCAGATTTGCAGCAGTATTTTATCTCAGCTTGTTGCTTGAAAGAGGTGAATCACCAATTAATATTGGAAAAGAATTGATTAATTATTCTATGATGAATTTGAAGATTGATACGAAGACAATGCCGAAATTGATGTCGTTTTTTAAGTATACTAAACATGCAAATATCGTATTGGATAATGTGAAGATAGTACTTACTAATTGTGTTGAATGGATCATGTCGCAACCAAAAAGCAGATCCCATTCTAGCGTACTTGCCAACCAATTACATATATTGAAAGCTTATCATGAAGTAATGATGAAGGAGAAAGAAGTGGAAATAAGTGGTTGTTCGCTTGATGACGACTTTTCAGTATCATTTGATCCAATTGATATTGAACAAGTTGAGACTATGCCAATATTTGAGAAATCTACAATTGATCAGAATGCTGGATTTGAAGTTACTTACGTCAGTGATGATGATGAATTGAATATTGGAGATCCAGAACCAATTGGTTAACCAGGCAGAGAAAAAAGACCAATATTTTTTTTTGCAACCAATTTTATTTAACTTGACAAATTGACTATCAGCGTTTAAGTGAAAAAATGGTTAACAATGCTAATCCCAACATTCAAATCAACTCAATCAGTTTCATCAAAGTGACAAGAGAACTTGTTGAAAGTCTCATATTAAATCTGATAACATATTTTTTAATATTCATTATTTTATTATTATTTCAACTACGCGACACGATAATTTCCGCTAATAAATTACTTGTTATCTTAGGATTAACTTTACTTGAATTTATAATGATGATTCCTTTTATATTGATCAGATTGGTATATGTATTTTCAGAAACAAATAATGAACGAAAACAATTGGATGATCGATATAGTTCTCGAGGAATAATTCGATTATATACTTTACATCTGATGTTTTGGCAATATCAACAGACATTGGGATTTACTTTAGAAATCATAAGAGTTTCTAAAGCTGGGATTAATTTGTTTTTGGAGGTTGTGGATGATTTCGAACATCAAGAGGTAGTGCCACAATTGATAGAAGAGCCAGTAGTGGATGAGGAAGTTGCTGGTGTGGCTGATGTTACTAATCGAGAAATAGTTGTTAAAAATGATGAAAATGATGAATTTGATAATCCTGAATTGGCAGATATTTCAACTGAAGCAATTCCAGATTGGCCTCAAGCTAGACATTTCAGGACCTTCAAAAGGCTTAAAAGGGTAAGTAGTGAGCCTACATTCAAGTTCCCACAAAGAATGTCATTGAAATCATTTGTCAGAGCAAAAGAATTAGATCAACCAGATTTATCTGAATAAGTTTTACATGTAGAGAGGTAAATAGATTTCCAAGCAAAACGTATAAGAGATTAAGTTTTTAAATAATAAAAGAATTTAACTATATTACAGAACTATAAAGATATGCAAAGAAAATCATGAAAATCCCTTTTTACCATCAATATTTGAGATTTCAAATAGAGACTTCAACGTCGATTGAAAAATTTCCAGTAGTTTCCCCCTCTAGTTTTTATTTTCTCTCTCTCACTCACACTCTCTATCTAAGAATCTTCATCATCATCAGCGCCTAATGCGGCAAATCTATTAATATGAGTAGATTCAGACCTCTTAGAAGTTTCTCTTTGGAGATTACCCGCATCACTGGATGGGCGACTACTGGTTGAAGAAGGGGATCTAACAAATGAAGCATTTTTCCTCAAATTATTAACAGGATTAGAACCTGATGAAGTATTATTCCAAGATGAACCAGCTCTTGAAGAACTAGATCTACCACCTTGACCACTACCACCTCTTTCTTGTTCCCTTCTTTGTTGTCTCTTTTCATTACTTTGTCTTTGTTCTTCCATTTTCTTAATTTCGGCATCACGATGAATTTCTTCAATTGTTTTTGGACCAGCATCAGCTTTACGTGAAACCCATTTTGCTGCTCTTAAATCTTGTAAATCCATCAACATAAATTTAATTCTTGAAGGTAATTTCAATTCTTCATTATCTAAAACCTTTTGAACATTTTCAAAAACAAGTTTTAAAATTGGTCTAGTCAGATCATTTTGATCTAATTTAGGTCCAACTGTCTTAACTAATTGTGCCAAATTTTCCAAACTATCTTCAGAAGGATCTTCAGTATTCTTACATTGATCTCTTAAACATATGAAAATAACTTGATCATTCAACATATTCAAATTATATAAATGTCCAATAAATTTCACCAAACCCAATCCTCTTCTCTTGGCAGCAGCCATGGCATAATATTCATCCGACATCATTTCTGGTTCTAATGGAGATCCGTCAGGGTTTGTTGGTAATTTATCAGACCATCCCTTTTCATATTCTTGTTGACAAGTGGTTAGCAACACTCTTCTTGCCAAATCACCTCCGGAAGGATGAGTACCATCTTTTCTAACGGCAGTTTCATCGGTGATTTCAGGTAAGATATCAGTACACATCTTAGCACAGAACTTGGCATACATTTCTGACCAATATGGTTCATCACAAGCTTTTGCAAAGGTTAATTGAACAATTTGTTTAATAGTTTGGGCATCTTTTTCCCATCTTGATTGTTTTGAAACTTCCAAAATTTGATCAGTAATAGTTTGGAACATTTCTAAAGTTAATTTATTCAATAATGATTTAATCTTAGATTCAACATCATCCTTTTCTAATATAATAGAACCATCTTCAGCATATCTAACTTCAACTTCTTTCTTCTTTCTAGATTTAGGAATCCATCTATTGGCAGATTGTTCTAATGGTTTAACATCTTCAGCCAATTTAGCTGCTTCAGCAGCTTGCTTAGCTATTTCTTCTTCTGTCTTTTCACGACCACCATTATCTCCTCTACCTCTCTTAGATTGATTACCCTTTCTAGTAGATTTATCCCTACTTGAAGGACCTCTTCTCTTAGATCCACTTCTAGAATTTTGTCTACCATCATATGCACCACCTCTACTTCCACCACTACCGGCAAATCTTGCAGGTAATCCAGAAGCATATTTACTCTGATTACGTCCTCCTCCAGAACCTCTATCACCACCAGTACTAACTTGTGCTCTTCTAACTCCGATATCAACGGCTTCTAATTGTGCTTTAAAAACTGGATCAATGGTGAATTCAATCACATCACGGAATTGGATTAAGAATTGTGGATCATATCTATATTTCTTCCCTGGGATTACACGGGATGAATCAACACCTTGTATACCTTCTGGATAAGTTGTGGCGAAAATATCATCAATTGGAGTAGCTTTTTGTAATTTTTCTAAGAATTGAGAAATGGTTAGTTGTGGTTCTGGTTCTTCGGTTGCTGTTTCTTCTTCTGGTTCTTCTGTTTCGGCTTCTTCGGCTTCGGCTTCTTGTTCTGCTTCGACCTCTGGTTCTTCTTCTTCAGCAGCAGCTGGGGCTACTTCTTCAGTGATGGTTACTGGTTCTACTTCTTCAGGTTTGGCTTCTTCGGCTACTATTGGTTCAGAAACTGGTTCTTCTATAGCTTTTTCTACTTCTGGTTGAACTTGTTCTTCTTCCTTAGCTGGTGCTGGTTCTTCTTCCTTGGTCTCTGGAACTTTTTCTTCTTCTTTAACTTCTTCTTCCTTTGGCTGTTCTACAACAACTGGAGTTTCCGCCTTTGGAGTTTCTTCACTTACGACAACAGCTGGAGTTTCAACTTTAGGTACTTCTTCAACTGGAGCTTCTTGTGTAGTTGGTTCAGTAGTGACTGATTCTTCAGTAGTAGCAGGAGCAGATTCCTTTGCCTTTTTTTCTTCTTCTGCCTTTTTAGCAGCAGCAGCTTCTGCTCTTTCTCTAATCTTTCTCTTGAATTCTTCAGCTGCTGCTGATAAACTTGCAGCAGGTTTAACTGGAATATCAGCATTTACTTTTGGACTGAGACTTGTAGAAGCAGGAGTTATACTTGAATCTTTAGACGAAGATGCGGTGGTGGCTGTGGCAGCAGTAGTGGCAGCCACTGGGTGAGGAGAAGAAATTGGAGTCTTTTTCTTTTTATCTTCAAATTCCAATGGTCTTCCATCTTTAGTAGTTAATTTAACTACAGTTGGGGGTGGAGTAGTAACTGTGTGTTGAGCTGGAATTGGGGCAACATATGGTGGTTGACCTGGGATATATTGTTGCATTTGAGGAACATATACTTGAGGATAATAGTAGCCATACATTGGAGCACCGTACCCATATGCAGCTGCGGCAGCAGCGGCGTATCCTTGTTGTTGTTGCTGCTGTTGCTGTTGCTGGTTATGTTTCTGGTTGTAAGGTTTTCTATTTGAATTGGATACATTGGATCCCGATGAGTTATTGTATCGTTGATTTCCAGTATTGGTATTGGGTCCATTGCCGCTATTGTTATTATAATTTTGTCTACCACTGTAATTTTTATTGTAATGTTTATTCCCACCACTACCAGTACTACCACCATAATTACCATAATTATTATAATTGTTATAATTTGGATTGAAAGATTGTTGGTAGTTCATATTACTATATTGATTAGCTGGGGTTCCAGAAGCAGATGAAGCATTCGATGATCCAGCAGAATGTGGTTGTTGCGGTGGTTGTTGTGGGAGATGTTGTTGATCTTGTTGTTGAGTGGCATCAGATTTATTATCTGAGCCCACATTGGAACCTATAGTAGTACTATCTGGTACTGTACTGTTATTAGAAGCAGTACTAGTACTAGCACTAGGTTCAACTTTAGTATTATTATCAGACATTGATAATTTAAGTTGATTTAAACGAATAAAGAGAAGAAAGAGAAGAAGAGAAAGAGAAAGAGAAAAAGGGAAGTGGAAAATCATTCATTTAAAAAAAAAAATTTTTTTTTTTTTATTTGTCTTGATTAATTGTTAGTAATTAATTGAATGTATGTATGGAACCGTACAAAAAGTGTAAGATGATTATTTAAATTTTTCAAAAAGGAAAAAATCTTTTTTCAGTAATAAATTAAATTTCAGTTTTTACTTTTTATTTATTTATGTAACCTTTGTTCCGTCTATAATTGAAATAGAATAGTTACACGTTGATCATTGAATCTAAGACGAATGAGCTATATCTATCCACGTAACATATAATCCAATAGACGACACCCCAGTCCCAAATTCTCTATTCTTTTTACAATTTAGAACTGAAACATGTGCATGTAGTATGGAAAGGTTATGAGAAACGATTCAACCAATGGAGGTAGATCTCCAGTGGCACGTGAGTTTTACCTTTTACACTAATTAATCTTTATCTACATGTCGTAGTGCCCTTGATAATGCTCTTACCGTACCAGAGAATATGAAATGAGATTTTGTTCAATTAGTGGTTCAATACCGACGTCCATTGCCTTCATCTTACTTTTTCTATTGAATCATAATGTATTAAACTATTATAAAAATACTCTTATATTTTGTTAAAGTGTAGAATTTCTTAAATGACTTTAAGCTTTTTCTCTCATAGAAATAAAAATTGCCTACTGTAACTTAATTTACTTGATAATTAATACCCAAGGTCCATTTGGTTAATTCCCTATGAATTAATTGTACATATATGTCTTATATCTGTTCTGTCCTCTTCCTCAGTATCAGCCCCCCAACCTCATTTGTAATAAAATGTAAGAAATAAAGCATAAAGTAATAATCCAGATACAAGTAAAAGAAATGAATAAATAATTGTTGATTCTTTAAATGATTCAACTTGAAAACAACTAATTATAATATTAGCTTCTTCCTTTTCCTTATCTTCTTTACTATCACTACTATGATTATCATCTTTTGCTTTTGGTTGTTGTTCCTGTTGTTTCGTATCTTTATCTTTCTTTCGAACACATAAATCCTTATCTGTCTTTAAACAATATTCTTTAGTACATAATCCACATTTTTCAATTGCAGTAATTATTGAATTTTCATTACAATCACAACGACAATATAGTTGATAAGTATATGTAAATTGAATTACACAACTAAATAACAATACCAATGATACCACTCTCATTGTATTTCTCTTTCTTATCTTCTAATAAAGATGGTCTACTGTAATATGTAAGAAAAAAGACTCAAGGGGTATTGGGGAGGTTGCATCATTTTAAATTGGCCAACAGACCTCCCATAATCGCTTGATCTGGCATTCTCCCCCTCCTATACTCCTCCCTCTACTCCCAACAAAAAAAAAAAAAAATAACAAGTCACGTGTTTATAGATTTTAGTCACGTGCCAGACTTTTTTTTATTCCATTTTACACGACCTGATTTTTTCTAACTTCAAGAGAGAAATTTCCATGGAGGCAAATTTGACAACCAAGTGGTTCATACAACTTACCATCTAGCTATAAAGCATACACACATATACATATTTATATACAAGTCGTAGAAAAGCATGGCCACTACTGCATCAATTGATAAGCCATACATCCATGAAGGAGGTATAAGACCATATTTTGAACAATTAGTTCAAGATACTGAAATCAAGATTCAACAAACAACTCAAAATTTACGTCGTTTAGAAGCACAACGTAACAAATTAAATAACAAAGTAAGACAATTAAAAGATGAATTAAGATTATTACAAGAACCTGGATCTTTTGTAGGAGAAGTTGTTAAAGTCATGGGATTGAAAAAAGTTCTTGTTAAAATACATCCAGAAGGGAAATATATTGTTAATATAAGTAAAGATATTGATGTTAAGAAATTAACTCCATCGATTAGAGTTTGTCTTAGAGCTGATTCTTATGATTTATATAAAATCTTACCTAATAAAGTAGACCCATTAGTCTCTTTGATGATGGTTGAAAAAGTTCCTGATTCAACTTATGATATGGTTGGTGGATTAGATCAACAAATTAAAGAAATTAAAGAAGTTATTGAATTACCGGTGAAACATCCAGAGTTATTTGAATCTTTAGGTATTGCCCAACCTAAGGGGGTTATTCTTTATGGTCCACCAGGAACTGGTAAAACATTATTAGCAAGAGCAGTAGCTCATCATACTGAATGTAAATTTATTCGAGTTTCAGGTTCAGAATTAGTTCAAAAATATATTGGTGAAGGATCACGTATGGTTCGTGAATTATTCGTAATGGCAAGAGAACATGCGCCTTCAATTATCTTTATGGATGAAATTGATTCTATTGGATCTTCAAGAGTTGAAGGTTCTTCCGGGGGGGATTCAGAAGTTCAAAGAACAATGTTGGAATTATTGAATCAATTAGATGGATTTGAAAGTTCAAAAGATATTAAAATCATTATGGCTACTAATAGATTGGATATTTTGGATCCAGCATTATTAAGACCAGGTAGAATTGATAGAAAAATTGAATTTCCGGCTCCTACAGTTGCTGCTAGAACTGATATTTTAAAAATTCATTCAAGATCAATGAATTTAACTAGAGGAATTAATTTACGTAAAATTGCTGACAAAATGAATGGATGTTCTGGGGCTGATGTAAAAGGTGTATGTACTGAAGCTGGGATGTATGCTTTAAGAGAAAGAAGAATACATGTGACTCAAGAAGATTTTGAATTGGCAGTGGCTAAAGTGATGTCTAAGAATGATGAAGGTGCTGTCTCTTTAGCTAAGTTGTTTAAGTAGGGTACGAGCTGTTTATAGTTTAAATAATATAATTTTAACCCAAAGCATGAAATCAAAGGACTTACAAAGGCTCTTGTAGTGTAACTCCCTTAAGAGAGATCTAATTCCTTATGTAATTTTTAGGTTTTCTGTCAAAATAAAATATTTTGCAATTTCTTTTTTGTTCTATTTTTTTCTTTTAGTTTACACGTAATTCATATCAGATGTTGTTTTTTAAATAGTTGCGAATCGTCAGTCATTTTTTATCTCTACCTTTCTTTCGTTCATTCCTTATAGAACTCCAAAACTACACCCAATTAAATGAGGTTACTTCAGCTAACGATAAGGTTACTTCTAAGTATCCAACTAGTCACAGTGGCAGCTACTGCTGCTGCATCTTCAACCAATCTACATCAAATCCAACAAAAGATTCAACAAGTTGATAATCTATTCTCATCAGAAGGTCCAACTGCAAATGTGTTGCAAGAATATGAAAGAGTTGTGAATGACTTGGTCAACATTCCCCAAGCAAAAGAATATCTCCCCCAATTATATTTCAAAAAAGCTTTGATTGAAATTAATCTTCATAAAGAAATTGGTGCAATTGAAGATCTTAAAATGGTATTAAAATTAGATTCCACTATAAAACCAGCCAAAACCAAATTAATTGAAATCTTAATGTCAAAAGCCGATTTCAATTCATTAGTACCATTTTTGGATTCAATTGAAGATAAGCCAATATTTGATACTATTAATAATTGGAATAATAGTTTGTCATCAGCAACAATGTTATATCAAAATCATCAATATGAAAAATGTTTAATTCAATTAAATAATGAAGTTATAAATATTGCTCCTAAGAATTATGAAAGTGGGAATTTACATTATTTATCAGCTTTAGAATTATTTAAACAAAATCCAAAAACTGAACTTTCATATTTAGATGATGGTTCATTACCTTTAAATAAAATAATTATTAAAGATTTAACAAAATTAATTAATATACTGCCATGGGGTGATTTAAATCTTTATGAAATCTTATCAAAATTTGTATTATTTACTGAAAATCAATTTGAAAATGCTAAAACATTAATTAAGAATTGTTTAAGAATTAATAATGAATTTAAACCTTGTGGAGATTTATCGAAATTTTATTCAAAATTTCAAACTTTTTTGAGTTTATTAGAACAATATTCAATTATTACAGGACATTATTATGCTACTTTAGAAGGTACAGGACAATTAGATGAAGAATTAATTAATCCAAATATTGACTATAAATTTGTTCATGAATTCTTATTCAAAGATGAATTAAAAGTATCAAAATTAGAAAAGCGGAGATTGGATTCTAATATAGAGACAAATTATGATTATTTAATGTATCGTGCTTCCCAATTCTTAATTTCATTAATGGGGAATGATAAAGAAATTCAACATTTGATATTTGTTCAAGATTTACAGAAATTAGCTTGTGAATCAAATATCCATACACATGCAGATTTGAAAATTACAACCAAGACTTGTGAATTGGTTGATGATTCATTCTTTCCCAAGCGGATCCCTGAGATTACTAAATTATTACACGAGAAGAAACTTAATGAAGCAGCCGTGATATTGGAGAGATATAATAAATATGTCAAACAAACTAAATTATTCCAAGACTTGTATCTGCAAGTAGAAGAATACCTTAGACAACAACAGACTCAACAACAACAACATCAATTCCATCAACAACAGCAACAGCAACAACAATATCACCAACAGAGACAAAGACAACAACAGCAATATCAGCAACAACAACAGAGACAGAGACAACAAAAGAGAACGACCCCCAAGAACGATTACTACAAAGTCCTAGATGTCCCTCGAGATGCCGATGACAGAACAATCAAAAAAGCCTACCGGGCCCAAACTTTAAAATATCACCCTGACAAATATAAAAACACCGATTTAACCCCCGAAGAAATCGAAAAGAAAATGCAAGATATAAATCAAGCCTATGAAGTCTTGGGTGATCCCGAATTACGTGAACGTTATGATCGTGGTGATGATCCTAATGATCCAATGGGCCAAAGCCGTGCCGGACCAAACTTTAACCAAGGCTTCCCTGGTGGTGGCGGGGGTGATTTCTTCCAACAATTCTTCAGACAGTCTGGGGGTGGGAATGGTGGTCAGTTTAAGTTTAATTTTAATCCTGGTGGTGGTGGTGGTAGAAGTGGTGGAAATCCATTTGGTGGGAATCCGTTCGGTGGTGGACGTCAAAGAGTGCGAGTTAAGAAGAATAGGAAAGCCGGTGGTGGTCCTGGTGGAAGTGGTAGAAGATATTAGAAGAAAAGTATTGTGGAGTTGTGGAGCACAATGGTGTAGACTGTTTATTTATAGAGAGATTTCTGTTTGTTTATTTATTTTAAAATATATAAAACATGTACGTTTAGTAAATAATGTTTAGTAGCAGTAGGTTGTGGAGATCCTACACCTAGAGAATCTATGTGCAAGTGGGTCGGGGGCGATCGTGTGGTAGTAGTTGTGGTGGTGGTCGTGGTGGTGGCGTATAGATGATGATGATGCAATTGCGCGTTTTATTATTTTTGCGCGTCCACTCGTTCCTCGGGAACATTGTTTTTTGTAGCCAGCTGAACTGAGAGATAAGAAGACTCATACCACACTTTTTTTTGTGCTGCTCGATTTCTCTATTTCTTCTTCTCCTCCTTTCTTCTTCTTCTCTTCTTCAGCATTTGCAAAATATGAAATTATCCTTAACAGCATCCTTGGCATTGGTAGCAACTATCAATGCTATGCCATTGAATACCCTTTGGCAACAATTCTTCAATACCAATGAAGACATCACCTTAGTTGGTGCAGATGACTCATCAGTACAGGCAATGTCTCTTCATGACACCCATAGACCTTCATTTGATCACGTAATTGATGAAACTGAATACAATTCCCTTCCAGAAATCGATACTGACGAATTACAGTCGTTAATCGGTAAAAAAGGTTTGAAAAAGAGAGCTAAAGAATTATACAAGATTGCCAAATCTTCGGTTCAAGAATACGGCCATCCAACTCGTGTGATTGGTTCTCCTGGTCATTGGAAAACTATTAAATATGTAATTAGCGAATTAAAGAAATTAAACGGTTATTACACAGTTTATACTCAAAGATTTAATGCTATTGACGGGAAAGTCAAATCATTCTCCCTTTTGATTGATGGCGTACAACCAAAATCTTTAGCAGCTTTAGGTTTAACCCCACCAACTCCAAATGGTAAACCAGTTCATGGTAATTTGGTCCTTGTTGAGGATTTCGGTTGTTCATTAGAAGATTTCCCTGCATTCACTAAGGATAATATTGTCTTAATCAAGCGTGGTGAATGTCCATTTGGTGATAAGTCGGTTAATGCCGGTGTCTCCGGTGCCAAAGGTGCTATTATTTATGATGACGCTGATGGACCATTGCATGGAACTTTGGGAACACCTACTGGTAAAGAAGTCGCTACTGTTTCAGTTTCCAAAAAAGATGTAGATGAATATATCCAAAAATTATTAGAGAATCCTCGTCATGAATTTGAAACTTCCTTATATGTTGATTCATACATTAGAAATATCTCCACCTTGAACGTTATTGCTGAAACTGTTTTTGGAGATCATGATAATGTAGTCGCTCTCGGTGCCCATTCCGATTCAGTTGCAGAAGGACCAGGTATCAATGATGATGGATCAGGTACGATTTCTTTATTGGAAGTGGCTAAACATTTAACCAACTTCAAAGTCAACAATGCAGTTAGATTTGCATGGTGGGCAGCTGAAGAAGAAGGATTATTGGGATCTAATTATTATGCTGATAATTTATCCCCCAAACAAAATTCAAAAGTCAGATTATTTATGGATTATGATATGATGGCATCTCCAAATTTCGAATATGAAGTCTATGATGCCAACAATGAAGACCATCCTAAGGGATCTGGTGATTTGAAGCAATTATATATCGATTGGTATGAATCTCAGGGACTTAATTATACTTTGATTCCATTTGATGGTAGATCAGATTATGTCGGATTCATCGAGAATGGAATTCCAGCAGGTGGGATTGCAACGGGTGCTGAAGGGGTTAAGGATGATAAATCAAAGGAAAAGTTTGGCGGTGATGTTGGAAAATGGTTTGATCCATGTTATCATCAATTATGTGATGATTTGAGTAATCCAAGTTATCGTGCATGGGTCACGAATACTAAATTGATTGCTCATTCTGTGGCTGTTTATGCGAAATCTTTGGAAGATTTCCCTGAACGTGAAGTTTCTTCAGAGAATGATGTGACTGTTGAATCGAGAAAGAAGAGTGGTTTTATCTATCGTGGTTCTAGATTAATCATGTAAAGAAATCATTCTTGATTTATACATTAGAATAATTAGTAACATTAAAAAGTTTTTAGACTTTTATATTTTCATATTTCAGAGCTCTGTTTTTAGAGTTTGTTAAATATACAAAAAGTACTCGCATAGTTCTCAATTGCAACCTAGTTTCATCCGTTTATTTGCTACCAGTCAACCTGGAAATGGGCTTTTCGTCTTGCTCTGAATCAAAGTAGTCTATGTCAATAAGTAAAAAAATCAATAAATTCATGTTTACTGGTAATTTCATTAACCACCGTTATGAGTACTTTTCAATCGGTGAACAGTTTTGTAATTATACAAGCTCTTAATCAAGAACAAAGTTGATTAAGAGTACTTTCAGGTCAATGGATCCCCCAAATTTTTTGTTATCCCCCACGCTCCCCCACGATTTTTGAACAAGCTTTTTTTTTCTATGGAGGCGGATATTCCTCATCTTGTTCCACACTGACAAGACAATAACGAAGATGTATCCCCCACAGTTGCTGATTCAGGCATATTTTATAAATAGAATGTATTTCTCTTTTGCTTTGATATTTCAGCGTAGTCGACTATCTCTTTAGAATCATTAGTACACATCTTGAAATCATAATGACTACTACTTCAACAAAACCAAAAGTATTAAGATTAGGTAAAATCGAATTCGCCCAAACAAAATGGGATCAATTATCAGAACTCGCAGAAATCATCGACTGTACTTCTAAATCCCGTGAAGAATTCATCCAAGACCTTAAAACCAAATATAAGGACATCACAGCCATCGCAAGAACCTATGCATCAGTTGAACAGACCGGAAGATTCGATGAAGAATTAGCTACCCATTTGCCATCCTCATTAAAGAGTATAAATCACAATGGGGCCGGCTATGATCAAATCGACATTAAACCATTCACACAAAGAGGTATTCAAGTCTCGAATGTGACTGTCCCTGTTGAGGCTCCGACTGCCGATACTGCTGTGTTTTTGGTTTTGTCATGTTTGAGAAACTTCCAAGAGGGGCATG